TTGTATCTTTTTTCGGACAATTCCTTCTGATAATACTGGCGTTGCTCATGTACTTGAACATCTTACTACCATGGGATCTCTCAATTATCCATGTCGAGAAATTTTTATGAAAATGGCTTCTAGATCGTTATCTACGTTCTTGAATGCATTCACCGGACCAGATTGCACTTGTTATCCTTTCTCAACTACTAATCCAAAAGACATGGAAAATCTATCGAAAATTTACTTGGATTTTGTCTTCAATCCAACCCTCGAAGAAATTAATTTTCGTCAAGAAGCTTGGAGGTTAGAGCATGCTGAAATAACAGACAAGGAATCACCTTTGAAATTCAAAGGAGTTGTTTTGAATGAAATGAAAGGTTCGTATGTAAGTTTATCATGCTATTTCTATTTATTTAATGCTAATAGATTTCATTCCATTAGATTAACATACCTTTTTTAATTCTTATTTTAGTCAAATAACTCGACTGTGTATTACGGATCTGCATTACGAGCTCTTTTACCTGATACTGTTTATCAATATGACTTTGGAGGTGATCCATTGGATATACCTCGATTGAGTCATGAAGAAATGAAAAAATTTTATCAAAAGTTTTATCATCCAAGTAATTCCAGGTAATAACAGTCTTTATCTCATCAAATCATCTCAATATATCAATAGCTTAATGTCGAAAATCGTTTGTTTAGATTTTTCACTTATGGCGATTTACCTTTGGAAAATCATCTTAAGCTCATCGACGAAATGATTTTATCTAAATCAGATCATAATCCACAAGTTAAGACGATATCAAAAGTATTGGACCAAAAGGCATGGGATAGTCCGAAAGAAATTGTTACTAAATGTCGTCCTGATCCAATGGCACCTTTTCCTGATAAACAAACAACTGCTAGTCTTTGTTACCTTTTGTGTGATATCGATAATATTTACGAAACGTTTGTCCTATCAATTATCGGAAAACTTCTTACAACTGGTCAAAGTGCACCTTTCTATGAATCACTCATAAGATCAAACTTAGGAATGGGTTACGCTCCTGGTGTTGAAATCTGGGATTTCATTAAGCCAAAAGTTTTTTCCGTTGGTCTTCAAGGAATTCATGCTAACGACTGTCAAAAGGTGAAAGAGATTATTCTGCAAACTTTCGAAAAATTAGCAGAAGAAGGTTTTCCTCAGGAAAGAATAGATGCTCTTCTTCATTCGATAGAACTCTCTTTGAAGCATCAACCAGCTTACTTTGGACTAAATTTATTCTCGACTATCCAAGGAACATGGAATCACGATGGAGATCCAATTGCAGTGCTAAGAATTAATGATAATATTGAAAGGTTTAAAAAAGAGCTTTCAGATAATCCAAACTTTTTGAAAGAAAAGGTTAGAAAATATTTCCTTGAGAACACTCATAATCTCTACTTCATCATGACTGCATCTGAAGACTATTTGACGGAATACATTGCGAAAGAAAACGCTTTACTGTCTGAAAAGATAGACAAATTGACACCCGAAGAGAAAGAGAAAATTTATCAGCAAGGAATAGAATTAATGGATTATGTGGATAATAATATGGATGCATCCTGTTTGCCTTGTTTGGATGTTAATGGCGATATTTCAAGGAAAATGATTACCACAAACTTGAATCACAGTCAAATTGCATCAATTCCTGTACAAATATCACCTCAACCAACTAATACTGTTGTATATTTTCGATCGTTAATACATTTGCCCGAATCAGAGCTACCCATAGATCTTAAACCATATTGGCCAATTTTTTGTGAACTGATCACTGAGTTAGGAGCTGGATCTAGAGATCACAAGCAGATGGATCAAGAGATTAAAATGCGAACTGGTGGACTGGAGGCTCGGTCACATTTATGTGAAAGTATTGATAATTTGGATGAATATCAAACTGGTATTCTTCTCTATTCACATTGTTTAGAGAGAAATTTAGAAGCCATGTTGAATTTATGGTCAGATATGTTGAACCATTTGCGATATGATGAAAATGAACATTTAACTCAAATAATTAAGAGGATGGCCTCAGAAAAAGCAGAAAAATTATCCCAATTCGGTCATACTTTTGTAATGGTTAGAGCCGCGTCAACACTTAAAGGGTCTGGAGCTTTCAATGAAATTTGTTCTGGACTTTATCATATTGTGTTTCTTAAGAAATTAGCTGAAAAGAACGATATAAATGATTTACGAGAAAAACTGATTACTTTGGGTAAACTCGTTTTCCGTAAAGAATCTATGAAGATTGCTATAAATGCTGAACCATCAACAATTGATAACTCACTAACACATTTTGAGCATTTCTTGAATCAACTTCCTTCTGGTGGATCACCAGGACTCGATAAACCTGGTGCAAGTATTAAATACCCAATCGAAAAAGATTTCAAAAAGGAACATTTCGTGTTTCCTTTTAATACAAATTTCGTTGCTAAATCAATTCTTACTGTTCCTTATGATCACCCTGACCATGCTAAATTACGTATCATGGCTGCATTATTGGCATCTAAGTATGTTCAAGAAGAAATCAGAGAAAAAGGCGGTGCTTATGGTGGCGATGTAACGATCACTCAAGGTGGAATACTTTCGTACTTTTCATATCGTGACCCTAATGTTGTAAGGACAGTCAAAGTTTTTGATGAATCTCTTGCTTGGATCAATTCGAGTGATTTATTTAACCAGCAATCTCTAGATGAAGCAAAACTATCTGTTTTCAAAGAAGTTGATAAACCAATTACTCCAGGAAGTCAAGGAACGAGACAATTCCTTGATGGTATTTCAGATGAAATATTTCACAACTATCGTCTCCGATTATTGGATGTTACCCTTGATGACGTGAAAAAGGTTGCTCATCAATATCTTAGAGCAGAAGTTCCTTATCGATATGCCGTTGTTGGACCCAAAAACGATGAGCTATCTGAAGATAATGGCTGGAAAGTTATTATCGATACTGACAGTATTCTTGAATTCAAATAACAATGGTACATGTTTATCAATCGTTGCTTGTGATTGTATTAAATAATCAAGAAATAAATGTTACTTTTTAATGCTAGAAACCTTTCTTTCTCCTTTCAATTTAATAAACCCAACATAACCAGAAGATTGATTTAATATTGAATATTTTCAGTATCACTCTAAGGCATATAATTTGTGAGCAAAGAAAACCAAATTTAGTCTCAATCAGTTGTCACAGTATTGCCTTGAGTCTTTTGACTTTTTGGAGTGCTGACAGAGAGGCAGATTCACATAATATACATATAAAATTAACTAGTGATTGAATAATTGTTCACATCTATGTTGGTCAAGATGTGTCCTGTGTAAAGAACCAGATGAAATTTTTTATATCCTTTTACGTATGAGGTCACTTTATTCGAGGTAATTTTATGTCATAGAGAATGTTTGAAAACGAACTCCGAGCGTAGCTTAACTACGTAGCGTTAACTTAACGAAGAAATTTTGTTAAATTTGTTGATTTACTTCTGTTGAGCTTCTTTTTTTCGGGAATTACTCAAATGCAATTCTTTATGAACTGAACTTACTAACATAAACGGCTTACATTAGATAGATTGAATATCAACGATTTCTCATCTCACACAGAGACTGACGAATGTTTAGGTAATCGATATTTCTGCAATTGAAATTAATTGAAATCATTCGATTAATCCTGAGGTAAGTAAGTTATCTGGTTTTCCCCACCCAGTTGTCTTAGATCCGAACCTGTCTGATTGATATTCAATTTATCACCGCTTTAGCAGAACTAAATCCTCTGGACTGTCACCCCTTTCCGTAGGTTACTGCTGATAAAAGCTAGATAAGGCCTGGCACTTACAATAAACTTGATGAAACAAAAAGTGTTTCTCATTTTTATGATTGTTGGTGATTGATCAACTGATTTTTCTCAGATTATGAAATAAACTGATTCAATCGTAGCCATTGTGTTCACAGCCGTTTAAAAAATGAAACTTTTGGTATCATATAACGGTTAGTAACAAAAAGACTTCAATCCATCGCAATCTTTTCTCCTTTAGTTTTGTTAACATTTGATAGGCATGAACCAGATAATTCAGAAATCAATCAAGGAATGACAAAGGGTTCAATTTGCAAAGCTTGATTATCAAGCTTCTTTAAGATTATCAATGAAGACTTCAGATAAAGATGCTTTATGCAAATAAAGTTGAATCTATCAGTTATTTTATCATCCAATGCTTGAATGAGTTGTGAAAAATTCGGTAAAATATTAATCAATATAATCATGAAAATAGACTCACTCGTCAAATGTTACTTACACGTGTAAATTGATAAAATCAAATAAATTTTTCTGCAACAACTCATTATTTCAAATCAAATTACTATAAGTGAAGACAACAGGATCCACCTAATACAGTATTGAGATTTGTTTTTGCAACATGATGAGCAAGTCTCTTCCCAGAATTACAATGAAACAATAATGCCACATAAATTCGTGATTGATTGAATCTAATTTTTCCTGATTGATCTTGATCAGATATATTAAGAAAAAATGACTCACAAATTGTCAGTTAGTATACATTACAAGTAAACAAAATTTCAAGTGTATTACAACGTGAATCATCCACTCATTATGAAAATGACATGAATTGTATTTTGTCAATTTGCTAAAATATCATAAACATTTAAAAATCAATATACTTTAACCCACATGTATCAATAAACACTTACCTTGCACTTGCAATTTGCTTTGCTAAATCAAATTTCTCTCGAATCGATTCCAATCATTGCATGGGGCTTCCTTTATGCACTGCCATATCTAATCAGTTACCCTTAATAGCTTTTCTCGCTAAATTGATAATAAAATAATTACATATGTGCACTCAGACACACATTATACTTATTAGTAAATATTGTTCATTAAACATTGTATTAAAATGGTTAATTGTGATTTAGTTATTATTTCTATTAATAGATGTCGACTTGTAGCACTTAAAATAGTCGATGAAAGATGCGATTGTCATTTTGTTGCACTATTCAAGTTAATATTGTTTTGACAGAATCATTGTTGTTATTAGTTGGTTTACATAATTTTGTGTTTTTCATCATTAAACTACGTTAAATACATCTTTAATCAATTGCGGCATAAAATTGTTTCAACCTTTCTCCGATTTTAAATTAACTATCTACTGATTTCAAGTTGCATTTAACATTAATCAGCTCCAAGTCAATAACGGTAACTTAACCTCGTGTTTCTCTGGTTATTTTTGTGCAATAATTGGAATTACTTTTATTGTTAGAAATGATTAAATCAGATAAAGAGGTTAATTACAAGCCTTCTTTGATCTGGCCAATGGTTCTTTTCTTTGTGTTTATCCATTTGGCTTCATTTTATGGATTTTATTTGTCATTTTATGCCAAAACACAAACTCATCTCACAGGTAAGCTTTTCATTTTGAAATCTTATTTATTTGGTGAAATAGCAGCGATTCAGTTTAAATTGTTCCTTAGATTCTTATTTAACATTTAACAACCTTTTTTGCACTTGATAACAATTAAATATTTGACACTTTTAATGTTATTGAAGATGAAAAAATCGAAATTACAAGAGCAACGAATTTACATGAGGCTGATCGATCAACCTCGATCTTCAATCTTGACTAATCAATATAATATTAGTAATATAATATTGTTTGATCAAATTGTGATTCAAACTATGGTTGGGTACAAAAAATCCCCCTTAATATCAACCAGAAAAACCAGGATTTATTCTTAGACCTCTAATTGTTTTGATGATTTGATTAAGAAAAATTGCATCCATCTGTGTTGACTTTATTAGATTGTGTCTTTTATTATCAATATCTTCGATAAGTAAATATGTCTGCAGTTTGATTTTAATCTGCAGTAATCAACATAATGAGTACGATGTTTCATAGTCATTATTTTAATCTTTTCAAAATTTCAACCTAAGCTTAACTAAATCATGTTTGTTATTATATAATGACTTACAGTTTTAGGTAAACCAAGCAAGATTGAAATGAGAAAACTTGATCCACAGTCAGGAAAGGTAAATTTGGGTAATAAACTGATTTGATTAATATAAAGCTATTGTTTTTGGGTTCAAGCTCAGATTTAAGTGAAGCTTTTACATAATGTCGGCTAATTCTGTAAGAGCTTGTAGTGAAGTGATGATGATTGACCGCCTAACATTTATCTTTATATATTAAATCAAAGATAGCCTTTAACCAATGTCACACCCTGTTCTTGGTGAATCTGCAGATTGACTATAAAAAGTCCTGAAAAAATGAAAGAGGAAGCAAGGAATATAAAAACTCAAATAAAGAATAGGAATAACAACATTTCATGAGAAAAATGGAATTGCTAATATTAATAGGAAAAATATTAATCCAAACAGTAAGTTGGTGTGAAAGTTGATTACAAGCAGAAGTTAACATGATAATTAATTAATCGCAACACTTCAAACACCATTTTTGTTGTTTGAAGGCAAAAATGATTACTAATAGGTGAAGTTGATCATTGCAACCAGAAAGTTTGAAAGTCTGGTTAAATCTGTTAAACAAAGAAAAGGTTGACTAACAGTTCACTGTACTAGCCAATAAGGTGGTTTCAAAAAAATCGTCATCGTTCAATCAGTCAGACATGTTAGATTGAAAATGTGGTTTTACATTGAAAGTGGAACCACAGAAGCTTTTTAAGTTAATTATTAATTGTGATTAAACTATTCTCTTGAACTAATTCTGGTAAGCTAAATTCACTTTCTGTTGTGTTACCTTTTTTTTGTCATCTGTAACTCTATGCTCTATTTCAATGGATATTCATGGATATAAAGAAGCCATCTTGAGCCAGGCAAATGAAGAAGAACCATATTCTTTTGGGTTCAACTTTTTATTACAATTGATTCCTGTTATTTAATCGATTTCGAGTTGTTTAATTGAACTCGAGGAGCTAAAGTCAACCGTCCTTTATAATTGTGATTTGTGATTTTGTTTTATTATTCAATGTGATTAGCTTGTTGTAAAAAGTCCAATCTGGGTGAAGGAAGGAAAGTCCAAACCTTTTTGGTGAATTTTTTATTGTGACTAGTCTGGATGGTTTAATTGAAACAAATTTGTTTAATTAACCAAGTTGAAGGATATTGTGTCTTTGTGGTCATTTGTGTTACAATTAATTTGTTTATTGGTGTATCAAACAATACATTTGTTTTAATGTGAACCTTTGGATACAAAGAGGGAAGCGTAAACTAGGTGAAGGAAGAAAATTTCAAACAAAAGGCAACAAAATGCAAGATGCTGATGATGCTGATAATGAGGATTGAATAAAAGTAATAGATGATGATCATAATAGTAAGGTGAAGAAGAGGAAAACGCCCAAAAATGCTATGGATACCTGAGCTTCAATAAGATTGTATCATTGATGGTGGAAACATATTTTTGCTTGTTTCATTTTTTTGTTTCTAATAATAAACCTGGTGAAAGTAATAAAAAATATTGTCAGGGAAAACATAAGAGGTCAGATAATCATCTTTATTATCAATTAATCATTCCACGAGGTTCTTTAATGATATGATTGACTATTTATCTACATAACCCAAACATGATCAAGATCATCCAGCAAATTATTGGCTATTTAGTTGCCAAACAATCAGTTCAACAATGAAGATCATCTTTTGTATTGATGGAAACAAATTGATTGACTTGTGTTAAACTTATCAAATCAATTTACCTTTGTTATAAGTTACTGATTTTCATCGACTTTTTTTACAATCAAAAATCAGCTCAATAGCATTTAATACGTGAGTGGTAATTTCTTTATTCTAACCATTAGTTAATTGCATTCGGAAATGTTATTTCAAGTGAAATTGAAAACCTTTCATTGTTGTTACAATGAGTTACAATGAATTTCAAGGGGTGCAAAAAAGGTGTAAATTCAATTGTGATTCATTCTTGTAATTGATTGAAGATTATGTTTTTCATTTTCTTATTGCTAATACTAATTGCTCTTGCTTCTAATAGTTGACAATTTACATGTTAACATATCATTATTGACATATTTAAATCATTAATCTTTCACTCTATTCACTGGATTTAGTGATGTGATTTAAGATTTACCGAAAAGTCAAATAATTTTGATTGATTATCCACCAAATTTAAGGGCCAAATAGCGTGAGCTGATTAAGATGAACATTGTATTAACAATAATATTAATAGTGATGGGACAAAATATATAAACTCCCTTCAAATCAATCTTATTGTTTACAAATTATTATTACATCTAAACCTTTCATTAAAGAAATGTATGATTCCAAAGGCCTTTGTTGATTAAATGAAACATTGATTTGTTCAAGTACCTTTCAAATTATTGTAAATTTGATTTGTTATCATCGATGATTGTCATTGCTATTAATGTTGTTGATCAAATGAATTGTGGTTAATTTGATTATGAGAACAAGAAAAACAGGAAGAATCGGGTTGATCTGAATTCATATTTTGTTATTAATTTCTTATTACTGTGAGCAAAGGTAAATCAAATAACATTTATCTAGTTCATGACTGAGCATTTATAAGGTTTTATTACCCAGCAATGTTAGCTAATTGTGATTCAGCATATAGTAAACATACTGACATGATCTTAACCTAATTGTTGCAAGTGATCAAGCAGTTTTATCACCAGTTTTAGCCGTTGTTGTCTTGAGTTACTTCAAGTATCAGACAGTTAAACAGATTGTTATATAAATACGTAAAATGCGTTTATTCACAGATTAAATTGTTAAGTAACAAATTAAGTAACCAAAAAATTATCATTGCAGTGTTACACAGGAATTAAAAAGCGATTAACTCGCGGAAATTAAATCACTTATTATTACAATAGAAAGTGTTTTATCCGATTTGTTTAGTTGCCTTGAATGAAAACAAGAAATTTGAAAATTTAAACACTTAATTTACATCTATTGTCGCTCATAAATCTAAAGCTTTGTATACTTTGTTTTAACCAAACAGATTGATTAACAATTGGCACAATTAGTTACGACTGATTTGTCATTTACATTGTCACCATAGTAAATATTGAGGATGTAATGTTGGACTTGAAATATAAAAAACGAAAGTTAAAAGCAGATTTTGAGTTGAAATGAAAATAGTTGACTGAATCAAGAAATAAAATCTTGCAATAAAACCCAAAATTGTTTACAATTTTTATCTGATTATTGGTGACTTAGTGGGATTTCCATTCGATAGATGGCACTACAAACCATTTTTTTTGTTCTGGCTCTCAATCATTTCCTACAATTTGTATTGTTTTGTTTTCATTAAATTATTCAATTTCAATTTACTAATTTATATTTCTTTTTTTATCTTGCAGTTTATCTTCTCATCGTATTTGGTGGTCTTGGTGTAACTGCTGGAGCTCATCGATTATGGTCTCATGGAGCTTACAAAGCCAAATTACCGTTGAGAATATTTCTAGCTGCTCTTCAAACCTTATCACTTCAACGAGACATTTATGAATGGTGTCGAGATCATCGGATTCACCATAAATTTTGTGAAACTGATGCTGATCCACATGATGCTAGGCGAGGTTTCTTCTACAGTCATATTGGCTGGTTAATTGTTCAAAAACATCCAATGGTTAGTATTAGGAGGCAACAAATTGATTACTCTGATCTTCTTTCTGATCCAGTCGTCCGTTATCAAAGAACGTAAGTTGATTGAAATAAATTTAAAATCGGTTTGAAATTATATTAGTAATAGTAATAGCTAACAAATGTTATCTCTCTTTTTTTAGATTTTACATTCCATTGGTGATTCTTTTAGGAGTTGTCATTCCAACTTTAATACCATATTATTTTTGGTCGGAAGATTTGATAATTTCACTTTTTACATGTTTCTTTCTGAGATATGTAATTTCCTTACATATCGCTTTCTGTATAAATAGTGTAGCTCATATGTATGGTCAACGTCCTTATGATAAACATATCAATTCCAGAGATTCATTGGGACTTGCGTTGACTGCTATGGGTGAAGGTTTCCACAATTATCATCACACATTTCCACAAGATTATTCAACATCTGAATGGGGCTGGAAATTCAATTTAACCACATTTTTTATCGACATCTGTGCTTACCTTGGATTAGCCTACAATTTGAAGACAATGGACAAGCAAACAATTGCCGCAAGAAAGTTACGTTCCGGTGACAAAATCAATTAATAGACCAACAAACTTCAAATTACAAGCAACTTAAACTTGGACCAAATTGGACCAAAAATTTTAATTTATTGTTTTTGCTAAGAATAAACGTTTCAAATTTTGCATCGTTACTATTAATGATCATTATATCATTAAAATCATCTCATAGCTATTCTTATTTATTAATTACTATCTTTATTTTTTATTCCTTAGCCCCTGTATTACATTTTGTCGCAGTTGTCTCAATTTTCGGATCAAATTCAACATAATTTGGCTTATGTTCGCGATTAAATACATGAAAATCATTTTTCCATGAAGTCTGGAAAATGATAACTTTCAACATTTTCCTTAAACTATTTTCGTATCTGGTGTGTCATAAAATATGTAAAAAATCTGACGCTATTAGATGTTGCTTCACAAGCCTCCTGAGCAATCAGACTAAAATTTGTATCGTCATGAAGGCAACTCTTAACAAAACATGAACTATTTCTCAAGCAAAATGTATTACAATTTTGACGGATCATTTCAACACATATGCTAGTTAATGATAGTTAATCTCATTCAACAACCAACCAATCAATTTAAAATGAAAATGTCAAATATATAGTTCTGTTTGATGGATTGCAATCATTTATACCAAAGAAATGGCCGCATCAAAAATGAATCTAGAAAAATGTTCTTCTCTCTTAATCAACTTCTCATTGAATTAGCAAGTCACAGTATTGTCAACAATCATTTAATTCATGTACACTAAACTCTGGTTATGAAAATGCACATTAATAATGTTGATTGCCAAAGCTAAAAATTAACCAACCCTGTAAACAAAATTGTGATGACAGTGATTAAGTCAGTAAATTTTGGCAACCAATTCATGGTAATGTAAATCAAGAGATAAGTCCAAACTGAATTGCATTAAATGAGGATCAACAATGATCAACGAAAAATATTAAATTAAAAGGCGAAACGAGGAAATAACCAAAACTGTATCATGTTAAGAATGAAACTGTTGAGACTATCATTTTTGAACTCAACTTACCCTTTCGGTTCCAATGCGATTCAGATTTAGATGAAGTTATAAATTTTTATGGATAAATTAAAGTTGAAATAAATGTTAAGTGTTAGTATAGTTAATAGTTGGGAGCTGTTAAATGATGAGGATGAAAGGAAAAGGGGAAAAAGGATTGAAAAGCGAAGAGGATAAAATATAAATGTATTTTTAGCGAAAGAGTTGTTTGTGTATTGCTTAATGATAATAATAATAATTAGCATTCATCGGCACGGTTTCTTGGTTATTTAACTTCAACAATATACACACAAAAACAATAATAACAAGTCGAAAGGAGAACTTTAAATTATTATTTATATTTTATATTATATGTGTGTGTGTGTATTTATAAAATGTAGTTCCCGTCATTTGATGAATTATATCATTTTGTGAATTCAAGTAGGAAAGGCATAAAGAGATGAGTTGGATATGGATGAATTAATATACGGAAGCTCATTCCAACTCCCATTGCTAACAATTTTTAAGGCCCAAAAAGCTAGCCGACAACCAAAAATAATGTAAGTTTTTTTGGGGGCAAAAAAAGCAAAATATAAAAGACTTTGCTACTTACAAAATATTAACGCATATAAGATGAACAGTCTCGGTAAATCCTATGTGAAAAAAGCAACAGATTCAATCATTGACTAGACTGAAAATGACTAAATATGATTGATAAAGGTGAGATTATTTCGTCGATAAATTAAGCTTAATTGGATTGGTATGGGTCAATGAATAAACGAAATCATCTGATTAGTTTTCAATAAGCGCTTTATTGAACAGATCAATGTTTACACAAAATCCTTAGTGAATTGCTCTTGAAATAAGACGCATCAATATATCGCAATTATTGATAGACATTTATTATAAAAGCGAAAATTTGAGAAAATTAATAAGATAATTATATTTATGCAATAAATTGTAAAAGCCGAAAAATCTCTATAATTTATTGATTACAGATTATTTTATAAAATTATTGAATAATTGATGACTTAATTGCTGTATAAATAACAATAAGGTCTATTTTAACTTCAATCTTGTTTTTGAAAGGGTGAACTGCGGTGTCTTTAACAATTGGAATCAACAATTACTCCCGACTTGTCTAACACTAATTAAATAATTGATTTCATCAACAATACAGTTTAATAACTCAGTCGTAATCTTAATAAGTTTGTCAGCTCAATATGAGCTTGTGGTTTGAACAAGTAAACCTCAATTTGATCTTATGAAAACTGATTTGTGTTCCTAAAACATCTCAAGTGACAGTGGACTGACTTTTATTACAGTGTAACAACCGGTAATCAATAAAATTATTATTTAATTCACTCAAAATTATTGTACATTGAAAACTAAAGAGGCAAATATGGAAAAGAACGATCAACATAAAGAAAAAGCCTAAACAAAAATATTTGCCCAAAAAAACAAACGGAAACATTTTCATGGTAACATTAAACATCATCGCATGGAAGAGGATCAATTTTTGACTCTTTGTGGGTTCAGCTTGGCTAAACTAGACATGTTCATCTTCTCATTTCACATATTATCCTCATCATCATCATCTGCAACTTCAACATCAGCATCATTTTCATCTTCATCTTGACTTTTCTTCCGACTCTTCTTTCGGAAGCTCATACTTTGCTTTTCACGCCTCTTACCTCTCACCCTCAACTCATCATCATCATCATCATTACCATCTTCATCTCACCAAAAATCCAACTAAATTATAATACTGAGCCTAAGAGTTATACCATTTGTATAGACCATCTTCATGTTCATCTTTTGTCAATGGAAACCTTTGTCTTCTTATAAATACTTCATCATCTTATGCGTCTCTATCAGCACCATCTTAACAAGATTTAGCTTCCGTTTTAATATACATTTCTTCCTTATCATCATCATTCTCAACAGCATTCTAGGTTAAAAGACAATTCTTCAGGTTAATTTTTCTTCCCTTTCATGTAGACATTTTCCAGATCAAAATCATTGTTGAAATGCCTATTAACTGCAAATCATGACTATTAAATGTCTCTATTCCAGTGGTTAAACAAACCAAATGTTATATCAATTGTTAATCTTGAGATTCCCTGCTTACCACCAAAGAAGTTAAAATAACAAGGGAATGTTAAGAAATGCATTGATTAGTTGCAATACTTACAATTATCATGTGTGTGTTGACAAAGATTTGATTGATTCATTGATATAGATGTCAATGAAGATAAACATGTTCCTCTCTCCCTTCATGGTCTAATAATACAACAAAAATCGAGTAAAATCATCTCTTCAGCAATTCAGATTATCATTGGTTTACTTGGAATCAGTCAGCTTTGTTCACTACTAATCATTCCTGATCCTGTCAACCAATTCAATTTGTTTCATTGCCAAAAAAACAAAACCAAGATTAGTCTTACAATATTGAAATTATTAATATAAAGTCGACTGATTAAACCAAATCAACACTACTTTAAATCTTGTTTCATCCTTCTTCTCCTCCTCTTCAGGTTCTCATGTAATCTCATTCTTGTTAATCATGGCAATCTTTTAAAGTCATCCTTACGATCATCTTGTCAATAACTCTGTAAATCCAATTGATTGGGATTTTACTCGTTCAAATACTTTATCCAATTGATCAAACCTTTTAACTTTGTTTGTTGGTTAATTAACTCATTTCATACATTATTGTATTAGATTACATCAAGATCAAAGGGTAAAAAAGGTAGCTAATAAGTAATGAGAGAAATGATTATAATTCCGTAAAATTTATTTCTAAACTCAGGTAATAATAAACATTGAAGGTGTATGTTTAAGGTTTTGTTGTTGATTGAAAAGCTGAACGGCTCAGAAAGCGTCTATTAAATTTAATACTTTGAAAATATTATCATTTAATTGCTGCTTTTGTTTTAATTAAGGTTGAAAATGTAAAGAAAAGTTGAGTTTATTTAATGAATTCATTAACTTTTTATTTTTTATTTTTTAATTTTTCATTACAACATTGGTAAGGCTAGAAATACAAAATTTTGCGTTTGTTTAAGGCCTAAAAGGATAATGATATCAGTGAACGGAGTCAAGCCTAAAGTTGCGGTAAATTTCACGCAATTTTACTAAATTTTTCTTGCAGTGTTTGTTTACCCTAACTAAATTAGGATGTAAATTGAGGTTTTAAATGCTAAGATGGTTGCAAATATGAGTGAAAAGCTAAAAAATATTGTTCGTTAAAATGATAAAAGGCATAATAAAACGAGCGCTTTTTTTATACTTTCAACTACTGAGACTAAATTGTCAGTTAACTAACCTGCCAAGAGATTGGTTACTGTATGTGAAGAAGGCCAAGGATTTCTCATTGCATTAGCCAGATCAACTGAATTAAAAGCTCTATTCATGGTGTGTAAGGCAAAATTAGTTGTATCAGGTGTTGTTCCCGGCGGTGGTTGATTAGGTATCTGTGTGTGACCACAAGCAGCCGCTGCAGCCGCTGCAGCAGCAACTCCACTGGCTGCACAAGTGAAACCGGGATAGACAGGAGTGTATAAAGCAGCAGCCGAAGCTTCAACAGTTGAAAAGGCTTTCGACATGTTGTGATAGGCAATTGTAGCTGCAGCAGCTGTGGCAACGACAGAGGCTGAGGTTGACGATGAACAGGGTGAGGTTGAAGATGGAGGTGAATTGGTTTGAGGATGACCTGAGGCTGAAGATCCAGATGAAATGGGATGAGGTGAAGCTGTTAGGGATGGTGAATCCATGGAATGGGCGATATTACCCGATCCAGGATAAGGGTAACTTGAATAGAGTGAATTGTAAAAAGATGGACTTGATCCGGAAGGTGAAAGTGACTCTGGACTATTATGGATGATTGAATTTGATGGTGTCGATTGATGGTGATGGTGATGATGAGTTAAACTATTTGAATAAGGATGATGGTGATGGTGATGTTGAAGAGGTAATGCATGGTGATGATGGTGAGGGTGATGGGTATGATGGTGTGCAAGTGGTGGTGGTCCTCGTTTACAGCTCACATAACCATTCGTGTAAGATAAATTTGTTGTTGATGATAATGGTGATGATGAAGAACATGATACAGAAGAAACCGAAGAAGATGATAAACTGTTCTTTTCCGCTCTTAGTATTCGACTTATGCTGCTTACGGAAGGAACATTTGATTGATGGCAAGTTCCCTCTTTTAGAAGAGCTTCACGAATTTCCCATGCAAATATTCCTGGATCATTCTTTTTCAATCGTCTAATGGCAGCGACAACCTACAATTAAAACAATGAAATGGTTAATGACAGTAAATGTTAAGGCCTTAAGTAGTTTAGGGAAAAAGACTGCGATTTAAAAGCAGACAAAGACTGTGACTAATGGAAAGGCATAACATTTGATTAAATTTTTTGTCTTCGGAATGTTTAATATTGAAGAGAATCAAGTGAATAGTTGAAGCTAATTAACTTACTTCTTTGGTACTGACTCTAGGCTTTGACCCACCAATGTTACCTGGAGCAGTTGATCCTGTTTCGGCATAACGAGCCAATATTTTGGAGACACAACCATGGGATACTTTTAGACGTCTACTTATGTCACAAGGGCGCACTCCAAGATGGGACAGTTCAACAATTTTATTCCGTATTTCACTTGGTAAAGGTCGCCCATTAACAAATACACCTCCAAGTTGATTAACCTCTCCATGGGCTTGATTAACTCGGGCTAAATAAATTAATATAGATGAATAAACAAGCTTAAAATGAGCGTCACAAAACAATAAGATTGAGGTTAAGATGTAAACAAGAGCAAGCAAAAGGCACAAACAAAAGATAGAAACATATCTTGAAAAAAGAGATTCTCAAATAGTTATATTAAACTATAATTTATATTAAAATTTAAAACAACTGACGATGATTAAAACTAAATTGGCTTTGAAATACTCACCAATTGTATTCATTGATGAGGCCTGTTGACAAATAAACATGTGAAAATGTTAAGATGACGGAGAAAAGGGAAACCAAAACAAAATAGTAAATTGATAATGAAAAAGACTTAGTTTTAAATGGAGCTTGTTTAATTGCTATTATCGTTGTTAATTATTGAATATTCACTCTCCCGTGCTAAGACAAGTGAAATATGAAATAAAACAAATCAACTAATCATTGGTGAAAACAAAAGATTATAAAAATCAGTCAATTTCACTTGACTTTTTTCACTTCACTTAACTCTCTATTCTTGCAATTTCAACACCTCTTTCCTTCTTATTCCTAGTCTTCCTCCAACACTAGCAAACCCTAGCAAAAAGTGTTCGTCTCTTCAGTATCTCAAGTTACTATGGATGTTTGGTTATCAACCGGGCATTCAGATATAACGGGTAAGGATGATTGAAAACGAGCACAAGAACAAGAAATGTAATAAAGTGTAAAAAGGGAAAGGATGAGGCGATCAAGATGAAACTCCCAGACCTACTATATGGTTCATAGACGTTGTTGTAGCATGCAAAATACACAGTCAACAATGACGCAAATAACAGATAGAAGCACAAAAACACACAAAAAAAGCCACAACACTTGAAACACACTCAAGCGCAGCTCCAAGCTTTCAAGTTTAATTGTTTACGCCTTTCAACTTACTTCGGGATGCTTCATTCAAACCTTACTTTTTATCATCTTTACCTTCTTTACTCTAATCTCTATCATCATCTTCATCCTCATCCTCTCATCTTCCTCTTTCTCCTTCCTACAGCTCAAAATATAAATAAGATGCTTCTGATTGGTACAAAAGTTACCTTCTTCAGCCTCTCTATTGGTTAACATGGGTTAAGATGAAGGCGGAACGAGTAACAAGGCGGAGAATTGGCATTTCATTCTGAATTCATTCTGTATTCCGTATAAAAATTTGATTAGATCATTATTATTATTCTGTTGTCTTATTATCATTATCATCGCTTGTCATCGTCATGATCATCTGAAACTTGAAAGTATCACATAAACTAACAAAGCTAACAATTGTTGGTTTTCACTGAAGGATTGAGAAGCAAAATGAATCTTTTAAACAAATCAGATTGACATTGATTCCGATCATATAGTTGATTGTCAACCTCTTAATGAAAAATATTCAAAACTCTAGTTTGTGTTATTAATTAGATGGCAACTGTAATATTATCTTCTAACAATATAAGTATAAAGTTACACCAAATAATGGTTATAATTTTATGTTTTACATTTGATTAACTTTTTCATAATTTTCATTCTGTTAAATATCAATTTCATGATAATATAATCATTATGAGACTATAATACACTTGAATTGGTTCTTTAATGCAAAAGTTATTAAAAAATATTACTTTTAACTTTGAAATTTGTATTGACCGCTAAAGCTCATCACTGGAAGCTGAAAAGGCGCTAATTTTTCCCGGATTAACCATTTTAGCTTTTTTTTGTTTGTGATCTTTGGTTTGTTTTTTGTTATTTATTGTTGCAAATGATTTGAACCTAATGAGATGCATCTTCGATGTAATTAATTATATTTCTCACACAAAAGGCAACAATTAACTAAAATGGTCAACTCTTTTTCTGTCTCTATCCTTTTGTTTGTGTGAAAAAAAGTCCAAATGGATATAGTGATCTCAATGGTTTAGTGAAAGTGAAGCCAAAAATATTGTAAGTATTGTAAGAGTTAAAAAAAGTTAAACTGTGTCAAGTTGATTTTTACAGTTAACAGTGGTTTCTTTAACCCAGTAATTAATGCCTTCATCATTATAATTAACATTTTTCATTTGTAAATTTTGACAGTTTTTGGAAGAAAAGGCAAAAGTCAAGGAAAAGGAATGGCAAAGGATGGTGAAAAATATAAGCAAGGCTTAAGGATAAAGCTTAAACTAGGAGGTTCCCCTGCTTTTTTCTGGACGGGTCACCCTTTTGTCTTGAGTTATATATTTATTGTGACAAGTCAATCCTCGAGAAAACATCAATAATCTTACTACAATTTAAACCTCCAAAGTGGTAGCAGTCGCATCATCAACTACAACAGGAATACTGGTAAATCAAAGATAATGTTGAAGCAAAATTAAGTCTCATTCATGGACTGCGTATATATTTAACTTGGCCAAATGGGACTGAGGAAGAGTTTCACTTAACCAAAAAACAACCGCAAAAAAATATGTTTACTTGAGACTTAAGAAGTAGCAAAGTGCATCATCAACATGCCTATCATGGTCGTCAACATCTTCATCTTCTGTCTCTCTTTTTGCCTTCAATCAAATATTATATAAGATTCTTTTCAACAAAATTCTTTAAAATGTGGTTAAAGAGCATTTTGCCGACTTGTGATTAACTTGAATATCATCTTATGTTTGACTTTTTGTTTTACATTTCCCCTGTTCCTACTAAGTACTGACGATGATGTATTTCCTGAGATTCTGTCAGCATAAAAATTTTTTCTTCAACTATCCCAACACATTCATTCACCATCGATTGATCAAACCAATGCCAATCTTTTTGCTATTGGTCAACACCAGCCATCAACATTTTCAGAGTAATTTTGTAAATCATGACAATGAATATTAACAATTAAGTTAACAATTTACCAAAAAATATTGACTAGTTTGTCTGCTTCTGAGAACAGTAACAATTATCAAGAAAATGAATATTCAATTGCAGTTTATACTCTCATTTTTTCCCTTAACTTGAACGATATTTTCCTTCCAACTGTTGAACAAGTTAACCTTTTATTGCAAGAGAAAGTTTAACATTGCAAATAACAACTGGCGAGTTTTGGAGCAAAAATTTTAATCTCAATTCTTGGTAAAAAAGGGATTATCACCAGTAAATTGTTGCATTTTGATATTTTGGTTAAACATTGAATAAGATGGATTGTCAGTGTGATAAATGATTTTCACTTTTTTCGTGTTTACATTGCAATTACGTTAAGCGAGTTGAGAGATTAATTGTCCAACATATTTTGACATTGTTTACCTTAAAATGATCAAAATACGCTAACCAATTTAAACATCAACTACAATCCGAAACATAAATCAATTTATTGAAAATATGTCAAACAATTAAACAAGAATTAATCAAATGCTCCATTCAAAGCAATTGTCTTGAAATTCATAACTCGAGCAAATTTTGCCAGTTTGACAAATCATTGTCATTACATTTGTATTAAAGCTATTTTTCAATTGCGTTAAATAATTCTAAATCATAGTTGTTTCTGTTAATGAAATTAAATTGAATATTGAATTACCAAGTTCAGTAATTTGCGTTTTTCCCTTTTAAATGTCAACAGTTACAGTGATAATTGTGAATATAATGAAGTGTTGAATCGTCAGTTATGTTTGTATTTTAGTCTCACTAGACTTATGAATGTTTATGTTAATCTCAATGATAATAATAATGAAAAATAATTATAATAAAGCAAAGACTGAGACAGTTTGTCGAGGTAAGCAAATTTAAATAACAATTTACTGAGAGCAGGGAAACAACGCGTTCAAAATGAGATTGAAACAGAGATTGTAAAGCTACATTTCAAGTCTATCTCATCATCATTATCGCCATCATAATCATCATATTCAACTTTATTATAATTACGTTCATGATGATAATAATAGTTGAACAGTTGAAAGGAAGAAACAAACAAACATTCGTTTAAATTATGGTCAACTGGTTATTACTATTATTACATGTATCTGTGATTGTAATCATAAGTAAACAGTAAGGAGTAATCAACTAAAATTGACTTTGTTAAATTAACCCAAAATTTTCCCTTTTTTGTGGTTAAATTAACATCTTTACCATTAGTATTATCAAATTTAGAATCACAGTGCTGTTCCGATGCTGCTTCAATGTGAATCAGTTTAAGTTAGACCTAAAAGTAACAATTGACAAAATTATTTACATAGGAATCACGGTCTAAAATTAATTCATTAGTTGATTTATCATCCAAAATATTAACCAAAAAAGGGAAACATTAAATTAATGGAAACATTTCAAGATAATCATTTTATAAAAGGCAAAATTAACCTGCAACAACTTGAAACGCTTAAATCGCCAAGTTGGTTCAAGTTGGGTTAAGTTGATATAGAAAGAAGGTTATTCATTGCGCTGTTAATCCATTAAATTGTCCATTGTAAATAATTCATTAATCAGTACTGCCATTTTGTGGTCCATTGTATTAACCATTGCATTAACAGCTTCTAGATTTAGGCTCAATTAAGCAACAATCAAATGAGTAACAAAGGCTGTGTATACAAAGAGCCTTTCTTGGATACTTATGACAATGTTGATAATGTTAGCTGTTCAATTGTTTTACAGGAAAAGTGTAACTGAATTTTGTGTTAATTAGAATGATAATTTGATGTTGTGATTAACCAAGCAAGAAGCTGGAACAAGGAATCAAGATGAAGATTATCACAGAAGCGGAATACAAGTCTATGTCTATGTACATTGTAAGTGTATTTACATCTATTGGGCCTTTGAAAGACGTCTTCATTGTAGTTGTAATTAACAGTAAATGACAAATTCCTAATTACTTTTCAATAAGGAAATGTAATGATTAGTCTTGAATGTGGCCTACAAGCGACTAGGCTCGAGTGTATTAATACGTGTAACACGCAAATTAAAAGATTAAAAAATAGTGAATCAATCTTTCGTTTTTCTTAGATCGGATGACAGTTAAGACGAAATGTGGTCCAAGATGAAGATGGTGAAGGAGAAGATGAAAAAGGATCCCGCTCGTCTTTGGTGGGTTAACAGACTTTCCAAGTCACAAATATTTTTTTGGCAACATCACCATCAACAGAATATAAAGTCAAAAATTAGTCTACAAACGTTGGACCTTTTTCCGTAAAAAAAAAGAAAGCAAGAAAGGAAAGAAAAAGTTAATTGTATTTACAGTGAAAATACACTTTTTTGTTTTGTCTCATCTTCTAGTCTTGCAGTATTTAGAGATCGCTCGTTGTCAATTGTCGGTTATGGTTCAGATAAAGAGCAATACAACATCAGTGGCTTCATTGAGTGTCACCAAGTGACAAAATAATAACACAGTTTAACATCATCAACGATATCACATCTATTTCTTATTCATCATCATCATCATCAACAGGAAACAAATGCAAAGGTCACTGGATTTTGCCTACTTTTGTTATTTTGGTTTAACGGAAAAATCACAGATTTTAACAAATATATTTGGTTCCTCGGGTTAAAAATATTGATGGCTATTCAACTCATTGTTAATTTGATAGCAGGTTTGATGAATTTGGTGATAATTTTGAATATTACTAATTCATTTAAATAATATCATCACCAACAGCTATAAATAGGCTGTGATGTGATAATTACTCTGCAATGATAACTTTTCCATTAATATTGAATTAATCAACGCGTAAATGAGTAAAGTCACATTTTTCAGACTGAACATGTCATTTTAATTAATGTTCATTTTTTGCTTCGTTTTGCTTTCCTTTTTCTCCAATATAACAGTAAAATATAAACATGTTTTAGTTGTTTTTGCGCTTTGCCTTTGTAAGTCGAGAAAAATTTCTTTTACCATTCCTTGTTCTAATCTTCGAAGTTGGAATTACTCCTGTGCTTTCGGTGCCTTTTTTGTTGATTTGAAGTTTAACTGGTGATGAGTACAAGTCTTTTACACACTTCAAGGATAAAAACAGCGATAAATGAAAAAAAAAATGAAAGCAAAAGTAAGGGCAAAGAAAATATGAAAGATGAGAAGGAAAGAATGAGAATGCAGAAAAAAGGGTTGAATGGGTGAGATGAAAAAAAGACGAAGACATAGTAATCAAAGAAATTACGATAAACCAAAACAAAGATTTTTAAAAATTTATACATGGAAAGAACGAGTTGTTTTCTGCCTTTTTTCGCAAATTTTTGTTTCTTTAGAGGTCTTTGATTTATTTCTCTCCAAGGTGTAAATCATTTTCAAGGTTGTTCACGTTGTTTGCGTTGTTTACAATCTTCCGGTGTTTTCATTGTTTCCGTTTTGGTATCATGGAAATATGATAGTTTCTTGTGTTTTCTCTGTGAATGCCTCTCAAAATTTCACTTTTCATGATATAAGTTTTCCTTTGGATCATTTGTTGAGCTGAATTTTACATAATTGGGAGGCTTAACACTTTTGCTGATCTTCAATAGATAATATTTACTCTGGTTGGTTTTATTTCATCAGATGACGAATGGTTTTTGATATTGATTCCATTTATATTTCAGTGGCCAAGCATTGATTGAAGGCTTGTTTTTCCGTTGGGCTTGAATATTGTTGATTTAAATTAATCAAAAAGATATTTTTAGTTTTTTTCTCAGCACATAATATCATTCATACAAAAGGCCGAGAGATAGAGAGAAAAATAAGAGAATGGGAATATTTGTATGCGTATATGTATGTAGATAGAGACAAGAGAATGAAAAGGAAAGAGGAGAAAGTAAAAGTGGAGGAGAAGAGAAAGCACATCAAACGATGTTTCTAATACAATTAAGTCAATTTACAGTGACTTGGCGGGGCGATCTTCCTATGCAAAAACTTCAAAATGTACAAGGGTAAACAACTGACAATAGTTAATAGGATTACTTTCCATAGGAAGGCACGAGTTTGGATGAACGTTTCGTCGAAGTATTGGGGAAATATTATCAGGGTCATCAAGTAAAAGGATAAACTAATGAACTCGGCGACAATCATTAGCCAATGCCATGTACGAACAGTAAAAGCCAACATCAGTAACTCAGTAAGGATGACCGAGGTGAAGGTTATTGCAACCACATGGATTAGCTCATCATTAAATAGCAACATTGCACCATACATGATTACGCCTCCTTGGTAGATGCTGATTAATACCCAAATGAAAAAGGTTTTGTACGTTAATGATCGACCTTTCATTAACTTATACAGCTCTGGGTAACGAATGACTAGATGAGGTGGTACATCTTTGTCCAGTACCAAGGAGAAAACGGGGAACATGGTGTAAAGTGTTGCATATCCGACCAAGAGTAAACTTGGGTAAAGAGCAACAGAAGCGAAATAGAAAATAGAAGAGAAAATAGCTTGTAAGGTTGATATAATAAGACCACGGTGGATAATAAATTGGCATAATTGGGCTGATCTTTTGTAACTGTAACGTCCATGGAGAAGAATGAGACGATAAATGTGATTAAACTGAGTAATGGAAAAGTCTGCGGCAAGAGAAGCTTGTTGACCTTCTTTACCAACAATACCAATACCAATGGCTGCTGTTTGGATCATCGAAACATCATTACCTCCATCTCCAATTGCACAAGCACGTCGTCCAGTGTAATTTTGAATGAGACGAACTACTTCAGCCTTTTGTGTTGGTGAACAACGGCAACAGATAACAGCGGGACATTGACAAGAAATTTCCATGAAAACTTGAGGATAATTTTTCAAACATATTTCTAAATCTTCACCCCTAATAACAAGTGGACAGTCATTTTTACGCCTAAAGTTGTTCAACTCCATATTTGCTTCACTTCTTGACTCAATTGGCCGGAAAACATACATTTCTTGCATCCTCTTAACAAGCTGGGAAGCTTTGGCGATACTTTGAGCTGTTTCTAATTTGTCACCAGTCAACATCCAAATTTTTATACCAGCGTCTTGTAACCCTTTCAATGTTGTCGGTACTCCTTCTTGTAATCTATCTTCTACACCTATTTATTTAAAAGAAAAAGATGAACAAACATTAGTTGAATGAAAAAATTTGATGCTGTGGGATTTAATAAAAGTCGCATTTCTAACCTGTTAAACAAAGAAGTTCCATGTCTTTTTCTAAAGTTGCGAGTACAGATCCCATTCTTGCTGCTCTATCATGAAGGCAGAGTTTAGCTTGATGATATCTGAATTGGAAATCAGCATATTGATCTTCACTGAGGAATTTTCGGGCAACCACTAATGTCCTAAGACCAGATCGAGCCATATTATCACATTGTTCTTGTAACCAGTCACTGTATTGAATAATTTGATTCATGACAACATCGGCTCCTTTCAGAAGAAAAATAATTTCCTTTGTTGCCATATCTCGGACAATAATACCCATTCTTTTAGTTTCAGAGGAGAATGGAAAAATTTGAAGAATTTCATAGTTCATAATCATTCCAAGAGGATTTCGGAGTTTCATTGAATTAAGGTCTCGGTGAACCAAAGCAAGGCCAACTTTTTCAGTCCACTGAACCAAAGCAACTTCATCAGGACTCGATGCTTGATAAGAGATGCCTCTCATTGATAGAGGTATAGCAACTGATGGATTGCCTGAAAGTGATGTGTTACTTCCCCCAAGTAAATCTATAGTTGCTGAACTATTACCAGCATTGAATGAGTCAAGATCATTGTCATATGAAGGTGTAACATTATGACAAAGAGCAATGGCTGCGACAGCAGATTGAACTCTATAAATAGTATCTCGATCGATTTCGTATGAATCGACACGAATATGTTTGGCATGAAATCTTTTCTCTGATGATATTGATATATTGGATGCTGAACTATCTTGTCTACGATGACTTCCATGGTGAGGCTGATTTTGAGGTGAAAAGGCTGCTCGCAAAATAGCAGCAACTTCATCAAAATATTCTGGTGTGTAAGAGACTTTGCCTAAATGTATCTTTTTGAAAACCATTTCATTACGAGTGAGAGTACCAGTTTTATCTGTTAACAAGTAAGATATTCTACCCAGGTCTTCAGGAATGGTGGTTGTTCGCACAATAGTTCCTGGAATTTCAATATCCCTTTGAATCATGTAAGAATAGACAACACGTCCCATCTCCAAGTTGACTCTCAATGAGATAGGGATGATGTAAGAGAAGAGAAGAAGAAAACGGAACCAATATCGATACCATGGACCGTTGAAGCCTTTTAAGCAAATCATAGCAGTAGAAAGAACAACAACTGCCATAAATAGCACTTTGGTGAGCTCGTTAACTTCTATATCTAATAAACACACTTTACTTCTTGGCTCCAAATTATTCATGACACTTCTTGTCTCAGGTCCTGTATAGATTACAACACCAGTAGCTGTACCTGAGGCGATAACAGTATTTGCCCAAAGTGTATTCTCGATTCCCAGAGAAATGGCAGCATCATTCAAAGTAAATTTACCATTAAAACTGTGGATATCGAGACGAGGTTCTTCAGTATAAACTAGTGCATCACATTTAAATATTTCTTCAATAGAATCAAATTCTTGAGTTGCTGGCACAGCAAGTCGCAATTTCCAATCTGTTTCACCATCAAGTTGATCTGTTCTAATGAAACAGGCACCATTCTTTTCACTTGTTTTAAGAAAAACCATATCTGCAGGTACTCGTTGATCTTTGTCAACAATGATGATATCACCAACCCTAATTTTAGAGCTGGGAAGAGCAACTACACCATCAGGTGTTAAAATTCTGTAAAGTTGTGAATTGACTGCTTTGTCTCGCTTATATCTTAATATATCGTCAACAGCTTCACGAATCAAAGTGGCTGCTAAAACAAAACCCAGAGGAGCCCAGTAAGTGTACAACAAGCCTACTTTAAATTCAGGTATGAATTGTGAACAAGCCATGAGAAGGAAATAAAGGTTGAGAAAAAATTTGAACTGATTGAAGAGAACAACAGGTAAAAAGGTGACAATGTTATATTTTTGATTGCGAATAATGTTAGTTGGATATTTGTCACGAGCATTGGGTCGACCGATGGCAACAGTGCGAGCTTCATAATGTTTTTTACGACACAATAGTCCACCCATCTTGCTGAGTAATGATGAGAAACAATTACAAAGGCAACACAGGCAACTGAAACGTTTGAATAAAGATGAGGATGGGGCAAGTTGGTCCGAGCCCAGGCTGGGCCTTCGGTTACTATATGGAAAAGAAGCGAGAGGAAATATCATGTTATAATATTGAAAGTGGATGCAGTTTTTAGTTCAATTAATCTCCTTGATAGTGGCAATGATAAATGACTGATGGTTGTGTTCAATACTAACAAAAAGGTAACGAGAAAATGACAAAGCTATAGGTGATAATGTAAGAATACACTAACAAACAATCACCCACCAGCATAATGTTATTAAATTGACTAGATAAAAAAATTCACACACACACACGAGAGAAAAAGGGAGAAATTGATAGAGAAGAGAGAACAGAAATGAATATAGACAATCAGATAATAGATGCTAGAAAAAAAGTGAAGGATGGAAGAGAAAGAGTCAAAAGTAGAGTGAAGGGTAAAGTAACAAAAAGTGTAAGAGGAGAAAGAGATGCATGAAATGCGATGAAATAAAAAAGCTTACCCGAGGGGAAGAAGGTAGGTTGATCGGTCTATTCTTGCTTTGGAACTCCTTGAATATAATAGTGAATCGTTCTCAGTTGATTCAATTACACTATCATCAGAAGAATTGCTTCCACCACCACTAGGATTTGATGGCGACCAGCTCTTTTGTTTCATTGATTAACGATGGTTAGATCAATCTTTTTGCTCTTTATCGCATTGAGTACGCACTTTTGGTATTTCTTAAACAGGGCTTCACAGGTATCCTGGTCAATTCCTTTCAGAAATTTATTAGTAAACCAGTCGTCAAAACATTGATCGTACTCTCTTTTCAGATCGTTACACTCTTCTCCAACACTATTCATCGGCTTTAATCTTTGATAAACCTAAAGAAATAAAATTCATACAAGAAAGAGGAAGATAAAGATAAGCAAACAAAGTAATTTCAAAGATAAATAATTATAATTAATCAAAAACAAGAAACAAGACTTAATTAGATGAAAATTGTAAAGCTCTCATAAAAGCACACAAATGATAAAAAAAACAACTCCCATGACAGAAAATTTCATTAGATGGCGTTGTAACACAAAGCGGTTCATTCAATTTTTGTAACATTTATATTTTTTTCATTAAACTTGCAATTCTCTGTTAATTTGTGCTTTTAACCTTTCACTTCATGGCTTTTTGATACAAATCAAATCAATTCACCAACATGATTCAAGCTATTTTTTGACCAGAATAAAATGTAAATAGAAACTTTCAATTTGAAAAATATGAGACGATTTTGGTGAAGTTTGTGTAGGATTGATTATCATTACTTGTTATTAGAGAAATGGCGACTCGACTAACAACTATGAATATGAGATGGTTAGAGATGATGAATCCAAAGCTGTATGAATGTATAGAACTGTAACTAACAATGTAAGATAATTGTTCATTCTAATAATTTAATTCTCGGTTTAAGTAAATGAAGTTTAAACTATCGGAGTTAACTTGAAAAAAGCTGATGCAAAAAACACAAATGACGTGACAAGTCTAGAATCACACCTAAATTAATACTTTAAATTATTACATGAAATGTATTCATTTGAACTGGATAGCTCAATTAAATGGACTCATTAAATTATTAGCAAAAAACGAAGTAAGCTAATTCAAATTTGGAAAGTAAATTTGACAAGCAATTTGTATTGAGATGAAAAGGTCAAGATTGAATATGATCAAGTTCAATGTTTGTTAACGTTTGATTACTCATTACTGTAACATAATGGACACAGTTGAATGATTAATTTACATTCTCACTCAACTATTGACCATGAAAATTGAATTGAATCAACTTATTGAGTGAAGTAATTAGATTCATTTTAAAAAGACGAAATTAAATATCTGACTTGTTGTTTAGTTGAAGCTTACGAGATGGAGACTCAGTCAAACTTAACGAAAACAATTTTTCTGTTAATGATTTTCATTTAGTTTTTAATTCAATCAAATTTGAAATCAACTAATTTTCCTCTCTTACAAACTATTATTCAACAATTCAGTCGCAGTTCTTTCAACAATCAACCAAATAGCTTCACAATGAAGGATGATTTCGATAGAAACGAAAATAAACAACATTGCAAACACAGCAAACTCAACCAGGGATCTCAATAACCAATTTATGGAAACATTAAGCCCATTGACAACATTTTTTGGTTCCAAGATCTTAACTCAAGCCAAACTTGAGAAAATAGTGAAACATGGTGATGCAGATGCTGAAACAGAAGATTGAAAGCCACGAAAATAATTGTAAATTTCATTAATTCCCAGAAAATTCTGTGAAATTCAATGTACGTCAATGAAAGTCAATGTAGGTTTCAATTGAAACCTACATTTGTATAACCAATTACCCAAACCTAGATAATATTATCACAAATTGTGCTTGTACGATCCAAATAATTCACAATAATATACACTAAATAGTCACCATTCAAATTTTCAAATAAATCAACTTCTCTCTTTGTAAATGACCAATCAAGCCGTTTCTAACAGAGCGTCCACCTGCAGCTGTTCAGGTTTGCTCTAGTCGAGTCTATCATTACTGTCTTCTCATCTAATCAATTATTAAATTAGCAGTAAGCTTCAATGATGGACAGAAATTTAAAAACACTTGAAAACATTCAAGGTAAGCAAATGAATATCAAGTATGCCAGTTGATTGTTTGACCAACACTGATTAATCAACTTTAAATGGTCTTTTAAGGTCATTTGGGTTTAATTATAGTCAAATTACTGGTAAAAGGTATTCAGTTAAGGGTTCAAATGTTTCTTTTTCAGCTAATAGATAAATATATCAAAATTCAAAGCAATCTGGTAAACAATTGACCATTAAATAGCTATGTATTAATATATTTTCAAGGGTCAAGGCTGAGTACAATTTGGTCCAGCTCAATTGAGGATAAATTTGTATTGAAAACAATTGAAACAACCGTTGACTATTGTCATCTTGAAATACATCATCCTACATTGATAGTAATTTTGAAATGGCCATTAAAATGGCTAACAAAATGATTAACTTGATTAAAAATAGTTTCATTAACACAAGGTTTCTAAAGTAAAAGTAACTGAATGTTTTCAATATTAGCAGCCAGCGCAGGTCTATCGATGTATAATCCTGTTGCAAGTTAAATTACTTTCCTCTTATCTCTCTGTCTCATTTACTGTCTACCTTTTCTTTTTCTCTCTCCCTTTCAACAGCCAATTGTTTTGCGAGAATTGCGATTATTAGAGAAAATTTTCTCTTATTTCTGATGTTCAATCAACAAGTAACTATTTAAACCTTGTGAGTTGATTAAACAACTACATTTACATTGTACTATTAAAACCCAAGTTTTACTGTTAATCTCCAATTAACCAGTGTAAGTTTAACTGTAATTATTTTCACCAAATTTTACACAATTAGCCAAGAAAACGTTTAACGCTTTTCAACTCAATTTGTCATTCAAACCTTTCTTCCCGGTCTTTGGGTTTCCTTTCTCTATCTCTTTATCTCTTTGTTTTTTAGTCTTAATCCTGGTTTTTATCAGCTTGTTTACCTGTTTTGTTCATTGCTCGTGTTCATAGAACCGTTTTTCACCGTTTAACCGTGACAATTATTTAAATCTCTAGATTTTCTAAAATTTTGTTAGTTTTCATCTTTTTACCCAATCTTGTCACTTGCATTCAAGCCTCGATCACAACTCTCAACGTCTTCAATAATCAAAGTGAATAATTTTTTTCCATCTTGAATTTTTGTTTACAGGTTTATTCCAACAGTTGTGTTTCCAGTTAATCATGTCTGATACTCGGGATCCTGCCAGTGATCAATTGGCCAATTACAAACAACTTTCGCAGCCTAAGGTAAGTCTCATTTTGTATTTGTAGCATAATATATTTTGAATATCTTACGGAGATTATATCTATCAGATAGATATGATTACTCATTTTGTTAAAATCTGATTCAATCATTCTTTTACCCATATTTGTCAAGATATTTGTTTTTCTTGTAGTGAAATCACTTTCAAGATTTCCTGATTTCTCGGAGATTCCCTCATTGACCTTGTATTTTGTTTTCATTAATGCTGTCTCACATTGTCAGTTCTAATAACTGATAAACATAAGATAACTCTATCTAGAATAAAATTTTGTTTATAATTGATTGATGATCATGATCTCAATTACCTTGGTTACAACTCTAGTGAGATTTGAATTTATCCAATTCTAGTTTTTTGTGAATATTTGTCATCTTCTATTGCTCTTATTTGTCTGGTTATATCACTTCATTAACCTATTCAATACCCTGAGAAATTAGAAATATGTTTAAATCATCAATTAGTGATCAATCCTTATTTATTGATTTTGATGAATTAATATCGATTAGAGTAAACTAATAGGAAACTGATTCATCGATGAACTTTCTGGTTCCTAATTTAGTATAAGGGAAGTGGTTTTATTGACATAATTGGTTTTTTGTATCATTATGTATTTCCTTGAAAGAGTTATAATATTTTCACACGAATCATTAATGATTCCTAATGGTTTTGAAGCTCAAATTATGTACTTAAAAACGTAAATAACACACAGTTTAGTTTGGATTGAAAGTTCAGAGCTATTCAGATAATTTCTGTTTGAGTTTTATCCAATGGCAAAAAATCATAATGGTCTTTGAAATTCTCATCCTCATTGAAATCAATTGATTGCTCCGGTCAAAGCTTAACTTCCAGTTTTGACAATGTTTCAATTTTTCACCTAATCACAGACTTAGCGTATAATCAGTAAAATCTTGATCGAGGGTGTTTTTACCATGAAAACTCTTATTTTCGTTTTCTCAAGGTTGTCAGTAGCGAATCGACCAATCTTGTTGCTTGATTGCTCTATTTTTAGAAAAGTGATTAGTCTTGTTTAATTTCAAATGTAAATTAATTTCTCATGTTCAGATAATTATCATGTAAAAACTATCTAACATTTAGTAACAGACATAATACTAATTATATCTGACATGCTATTAATTTAACTATCGAACTAACTATTAATATTAATCAATTTTTCTATACATTTTCAGCCTCATGTATTGACAAATCTTGAGGGATGTCCTGTTGGTGATAAATTCAATTCAATGACTGTCGGTCCTAGAGGTCCGATTGTCCTTCAAGACATTAAACTGATTGAAGAACTGGCTTCTTTTGATCGTGAGCGTATTCCAGAGCGTGTTGTTCATGCTAAAGGTGCTGGTGCTTTTGGTTATTTTGAAGTAACTTCAGACGAGATAAAAAAATATTGCAGAGCTGCAATTTTCAAAGAGTAAGCCAACTCCCATCTATTTAAATCGTAATTTATCGTTACTTTAATTGGATAGTGAGTAATCATACTTTTTTAAAATTTATCGTTGAAAAAAAGTGTTGGTAAGCAAACCCAGCTAGTTGTACGTTTTTCAACTGTTGGTGGGGAATCTGGTTCAGCAGATACAGCTCGTGATCCCAGAGGCTTTGCTATTAAATTTTACACTGAAGAAGGTATAAAATGATAAAATTACTGACACAAATTATTGTCACACACTAATTGTCGCAATTCATTGCTTTCTTAGGAAATTGGGATCTTGTTGGAAACAACACTCCAATCTTCTTCATTCGTGATCCAATACATTTCCCCTCTTTCATCCATACCCAGAAAAGGAATCCTCAAACTCATTTGAAAGATGCTGATATGTTCTGGGACTTCTTGAGCCAAAGACCAGAATCTATGCATCAAGTTAGTTTCTTGTTTTCTGATCGAGGAACTCCTGATGGTTATCGTCATATGAATGGCTATGGATCACACACATTCAAGTTGGTTAATGCTGAGGGTGAAGCTGTTTGGGCCAAGTTTCACCTCAAACCCACTCAGGGAATTAAAAATCTAGACGCTAAACGAGCAGATAAATTAGCTGGTAATTTTCATTAACTTACCTTGTTTACCTTATAAATGACACCTGCTTATCATTTATTACTGTCTTTTTTAATTCTAGGCAAAGACCCAGACTATTCTATTCGAGATTTGTATAATGCAATCTCATCTGGCGATTTCCCTTCATGGATATTTTATGTTCAAATTATGACCTTTGAACAAGCTAAAAACTTTAAATTCAACCCATTCGATCTAACTAAGGTAAATAAACAGTCTAGTAAATTATGTTTTCCCATATTGATCATATTGATTGTTTTTTGTATAAGGTTTGGTCTCACAAAGAGTTTCCCTTGATTGAGGTTGGTAAAGTTGTTCTCAACAAAAATCCTAACAATTATTTTGCTGAAGTGGAACAATCAGCTTTCTCGCCAGCTAATTTGGTTCCAGGAATTGAACCTTCTCCTGATAAAATGCTCCAAGCAAGATTATTCTCTTACCCTGATACCCATCGTCATAGGTAAGTTAATTTAATTTTTGACTTAAATCTTAGTCATTTAGTAATAAAATGTGATCTTCCGACTTTTTTCAGACTTGGAGCCAATTATCACATGATTCCGGTCAACAAAGCTCGATGTCCCGTTTATGCTTTGAGCCATCGGGACGGTCCAATGTGTGTTGATGGTAATCTTGGTGGAATGCCAAATTACCTTCCCAACTCGTTTGTTAACATCAAAGCAAACCCAGTTTATAAGGAGTGTCCATACTCAGCTGAGCATTTCATTGGTGATATGGATCGATATGAATCGGGAAATGATGACAATGTTACCCAAGTTCGTGAATTTTGGCGAAATGTGCTCAATGAGGATGAAAAAAATCGATTAGCATCAAATATGGGAGGTCACCTTAAAGATGCACAACAATTTATTCAATTGCGAGTCATCGATTTATTGAAATCTATTGATGAGGACTATGCTTCACGAGTCCAAAAAGTTATTGCAAGCTACAATAAGGTAACTTCTGGATCAGATTGAATCAATTTAGTCTCATTGATTAACATGCGCTAATTCACGCTTAAAGCTGCTTCATCTCACTATAAATTAACTAAGCTTCAAGAAAATACGTTAAACGTAATTTGCCTTAATATATCTCTGATTTGTCCATTTATAGAGTCTTTGGGACTGCTTGATTAACGCTTCGCAACTTCCGAGTATTCTTTAAAAATCTCATTTCTTAATACAATCGCAAAGTCTAAAAATTCATCAACTCTAGCATTCATCCTGTTTGTTGCTTCATATTCATTCACTTTATTCTCAATTGATGTACTTGATTTATTAATTCTCATTTTAGAGTCACCTTTAATTCCTGGATTGCATGCAAATTTTTACTTGGACTTAAGTTAATTGGGCAAGTCGACTCTGGTTTTTGATTGGGTATTAAATTAGGTGATGTCATCTCAAGATGTTTCAAAAAGTGTTGTTTTATCACTCAAAAATCGAATGGAAAAACGATCTAAGATTTATTTGTAATGTAATAAAATATACAACATATAATAGTTAATAGAATAAAGCAAGTAAAGCTGCAAAATTGCTTTAACAATATAATATTCAAATCGCATTTTTTGAGTCATTAAATAATTTGATTCAAGTTTAAAAAACACTTGTGACCTAATCTCATGATAAGTCTTAGTTTATAAAATAGAGTTTTCATATCGTGATTGAAAAACTCAGTTTTCCACAATATAGATGATCAAGCTGAGATAATGGTTAGTTATCATGCTTTACAAGGAATCGGTGTACCAGTCGTTTTGTACCATTTTGACTTCATTATCATAAAATAATTTAATCAACTCGAAATGATCAAGCAAATATTGCAATAAAAGATTTCATGAAATCTTTCCATTCAAGATATTTCAATTGATTGAAAAATGTCGTTTTAAACCGCATAAGAGTAACTGCTCTCCAATTTGCCTCCAATAATCGGCCTTGTGAATGGAGATAGCCAAGTTAAACTAAACCCTTTACCAAATACATCGCGAAAACTTTTAAGTGATCTTTTGCGCCAAGTTTTGTTCTCTCTTTTAAGAGATTCGATTCCAGTTTCATTATTATAAATTCCTTGAATTTGCACACCAAACATAATGAAAGTGAAAATCGCAAACAAAAGCGATTCAAACACAAGGCATACAAGTAGAATAATGGTCCATGGAGCTGGACCAATATGGGAGGGATTAGGGTTTGAATGACCATTAGATTTAGGTCCACATTCTGTTGATCAAATAAGATAAAATTTAAAGTTGTAATCTCTTTTTAATTATACATTGAAGACGGTAAACAAAATAATCAACTTACGCTTCCAATCAGTTTCAACACACTTTATGAAGTGGAAAACAGCCAGAAGAAGGGCATGACAAGATATCAACGCTATGTAAAAGGTAAACAAGACAAAGAATTTTTGATTGTTCAAACCAACACAATTGTTAACCCAGGGACAATGATGATCCATTTTTCTAATACATCTTTGACATACAGAGCAATGATGAGCTCTTTCAGGCTTTATGCTACAACATTTTTGACACTTATACAACACTTGACCTTCACTTAGACCTGGAATAGAGAAGAAAATAGTGAGAAATTTGTTTTTTATGCTCGTATTGAAATCAAAAAGTTTACCTAATGATTCGATTGCTTCTTTAGTGGCTGTTCCTCGTGGCACTGCTCCAGGATCTGTGAACATAGTTCTCAAATGACTACTTATAGCGAGGAATGCTAGTATTTGGAAGATGATGATGTTGACAAATTTGTAAAAACTATCTTCCTCAGGTAGTAATATATATCTCATCACAACATATTCACCAAAAAGAATAAGTAACCAGGTAAATATGGCACAAATGATACCACAAACATCACGGACAAGCCATAAGCCACCTAAGCAGCGGTTGTGTTTATCTATCATTTTGAATTACAAAATAAGGATAGAGAATTGAAGCAATCAATCAATATAGGTGGATGAGGTCAGGGTACATTCAAAAACATGATAAATAACTTAATATTTAAAAATCTAATACACTAAATTAACATAATTAAATTTTTTTGGGCAGGCTGGATTAATCAAAACATCCATTACTTATCTCATTGACAAATGTTGGTGAAATTTGTTTATTTTTGTAGCTATAGTAACAGCGCTAAATTCAATACAAAAAAATGGTCAAAGAGTCAATTAAAAAGCTAGAATTGATCTCTCTATATCTGAATGAACTTTCACTTAAGAGTTAATTAAGTGTGTAAAAATTAGCTTAAAAGTGCTTAGCTGTTGGATTAATCAACTCAAAATTACAATTGAAAAGTATTAATGAGAAAAAGTTTTAGAAAAAAACAAATTTAAGTTATTTTATGAACAGTAGGTGGCACTTTATTTCAGCTCTCGAATGAATGAATGAGATTCAAAAGATTACAATCATGCTCATTGATTGTTACCTTGATTGGTTTGTCTCTAAACATTAAATTACCTTTAAGATTAACAGTTTGTGATCTCAAAATGTGATTTCAATAGCCGCTCACTAAGGCCAACCATAGGATTAAATAATTTTGTCTTCTCACCATAAGTAACAGTTCTCAATACAATTCAACCTAAGTAAAGATAACCAACATTAAACGGAGTTTTTTTTGTTCCATTGTACTTGTAATTTAAATTTTACTATTTTATATTAATTGTGGTTACTAATGTGGACGAATGATTAAAAATAGATGGAGGGTCGAAAATTATCCTCGACAGAGGGTTTAATCAAAGAAATTGATTCATCTAATTCATCTACTGCCAATAACAATGATAACAATAACCAAGAAGCTTTGTCAACTCATCATCCTCATACAATTTCATGCCGACCGTTGTCAGAAAGTTCTTCCATTGCCCAGTTAAGTATCGCTAGTAGCCTAGCAAATGACCCTAATGCTCCTATGTGTAAAATTTGTCACTTAAATGCCAAAGATCTGGATCCATTGATTACACCATGTCGCTGTGCTGGCACAATGAGGTACATCCATTGTGGCTGTCTCATGGTAAGTTGCATGATCTCATTCATTTTCATTTCTTTGTCTTCTTTTTTTTCTTTTTGTTAGATGAAAAAATTTCCAATTTCCATCATTTATTTGTTTACTTTCCATTTGGTTATTGTTCTTTGTTGAGGAATACTTGACGCAATCAGCTTAATTCAAATAAACTCTTGCCAACAAAAGCTTCATTTTCCTCCACTTTTATCCATACGATTGTTTTGATGATTACTTCTGTTGCGTATCAAGTATAATTTTGAAATAGTTTAGTCTTTAAATCTGTCATAGTATGTTAAAAATTATAATCTGAAGCCAGTGCCTTCAGAACATGCTTCTCTGCTTAAAACAATGAAAGTTTAATCCTGCAAAATCTTGAAATTTGATACAATTTACTTTCAAATTTCTATTTGTTAGCAATTTCTTTTTTTTATCATGTTACATCTTAAAATGTTGCTCAAATCGGTTGGCGGTTACATTGTTTTCTGGTTACCTGATATGCATCATCAACCATTAAAAATGTAAATACTTACAAGCCTGTATACAAAATCATTTCAACATGATAGCCTTGAGTTGTACATGTGTAAGGGACCCGAAAAGACGGTGCTCAGCAAAACAAACCATTGAATTATCATTTTGTAAATAAATTCACTTTCACCACCTTTTCACCAGTTTCAGGATATAAATAGCAAAATAAATGGCAAACAAGTTTATGAAAACAAATTTACAATGTATTTAAAAAAAGGTAATAAATAATATAAATAAACTTCCATAAATATAATATCATGTAAAGTGAGGCTATCATCTTTTGAAATAATCAGTGGTAAGACTTAATCTTATAAAAGGTAAATAATAAACAAAATTGTGAAAATAATCATTTATAATTTAAAATTAACCTAATAATAGTGATTTAAAGCCAGAGCTTAGGATTGATACTTTAGTAAATATTTTCCTTGAATTACAAATATAATAAAATTGAAGATAACATTTCAAAATAATAAGTCTCTGGCAAAACATAATTTCAACTTGATTTAAAAATAGTAAATTCAATTTCCAACTCATGGAGCACCTTGAAAATTTATCTAAAATGATTGAATATCATATTATGAATGATATTAATAATTATGCATTAATGATGTTTGAAATTGACTCCATTAGACAATAATGTTCAAATTAATATAATCAGTTTATTGAGCGTCATTTTTACGCCTGTTTGGCCTCTTAACTTTCAAATTGTCCTTTAGTCAAACTCATATTTGAACAATTGTATATATTGGAATGAATAATTTGAATTCTGGGTTTCAAGGCCAGTTAAGGTCATCCATAAAATAAGTGACCTTAACTGAAGGTCAATACAAAAGTCTGCTGTTTAACACAAGATACTTTGTTATTGAAGTTGTCTTCAGGTGATTTTGGTTGATGACATGAAAAAGTCACTTATTCACTATTTTGCTAGACTTTTAACCCCACAGAATATTTAATGGACTATTGAACTTAATTATTTAATTTTCCATATCAAATCTAATCGTAAAATTGGTGTACAGCCTTCACAACAATTAAGGTCACAAATTTTATAGATGACCTTAGCTGGCCTTGAAACCCAGAATCTACAGTTACTCATTTGATTGAGAAAAAACGCTTTTTATTTCTTTCAACTTCTATCAATGAGTTAACCTTTACTGTTCAGATATATATATATTTTTTCATTGCAAATTACATCATGATTTCATTATTGAACTGAATACTGTTACTAATAGAAATTTTGTCTTTCTATTTTCTATTTTTCCTCTAGAGATGGCTTGAAATAAGCTCCAAACGAACCAGAAAACCGTTAAGCTGTGAGCTTTGCCAATACAACTATCAGTGGCATAAAAAATTCAAGGTAATTGTTGCCCGTGATCAACAAATCATCATTAGTTACCATGACTCTTGCAACATTTGGAAAGGCAAATGAACATGAACCTGGTGATGGTTATGATAATGAAGATGATAATGAATGGCAATGAAATGTAACTTTGCTCTTGAGGGAATCAAATAGGATAATGATGATGGTGATGAAGATGAAGATAATTATGCTGATGAAAGATACTCCAGTGAATGTATAATAGTCCTGAAAGATTCACGAGATATTTGGCCATGGAAAGAGGAAAAAATAAAGGAATAGAAGAAAAAAATATTCTGATATTCGGCCAAAAAATGAGCTTTTTCCATCTGTCAGATTTTCCAAGAGCCATGGTAACAAAAAAAATAGTCGACTATTTGGTTCTCTTTCTTTCTCTTCCTTTTGTTTCAAGAGAAACTTCTGTAAATTTGTTGATTGTTCACCATTTCAACTCAATCATCGTCTTAATCACCATCTGAATCATCATTTTAGACTTCATGGTAAAAGAGTTACTTCAATGAAAAAGAAAAATAGAAAGCATTGAAATATTTGTTAACAGAAAGTTGTTTTATTACATTATTTGGCTGATGTTTCCTATTGATGGTGATTCATGGATTGATTAATGATGAACTCGTTGACATATTTATGAAATTATTGCTAATTTTATCGTCTTTTTTCTCATACCTTTCAGGTTCGCCAATGCCAATTCCCTCATTGCTCCAGACGAGACAAGATTTTGCATTCATTGTTTTTCGCCTCGGTTACCATCATGATTGCTTGTGCCATAATAACAATATTGTGCTTCAAACATGACAAAGGTCCACAAATTAATCCAAAGCAAACTGAATTGACTGAAACTGAAATAACCACTCTGGTCTGTGGAGTACTTTTTTTCCTTGCGTTTTTCCTCGCCATGTATGTTGAAGTCAAAGCTCGTAATACTCTCTACAAATTGTTCCTTAAATTTATTTATCTCAACCAACAATGGTACATCGATGAGTACGAAAAGAAGGATTCATTGCCTGTTGATATTTGATTGTACTATCATCATCCTCACCGTCAGATGCAACAACATGGCAGAACTATTGACTTGATCTAGAATCTTGATCAATGTAAAAACTATTCACAGGCAATTAAGGATTCGATGCATAAGTCAAAGTCTTTTGGATTCCCTAAGCTATTCCAGCTTATTTTTGTTGACAAGTTCAATCACCAATGACAAGCTCAGTTACTTTATGATAATTAATTTAAAAGGTGATCGTCATTTTTGATATTTTTCAACAAAATTGCCAAAAACATTTAACGAAATTGTTCAATGGTATTTAAAATCAAGAAAAAAACTTGACATTGGTGTTCCTTTTTATCCATACTCATCAATTTCTCATGATAATGGAACATTTCCTTCTACAAATCGCAATTATTTATCCATTTCACTACAATTTTTTTCATCTTTTTGTAATAAAATGCTAATGTAATTAATGGTTTTATCATCAAATCTGCATCATCATTGCAACTTATTAATATCATATTATTGTTACACTTCTCTATCATCTTATTTCAAATATTGATATGAAACGAACATTTAAAATCGTTTTTCCTGCTGCAACTCGAAATCAAAATTCAAAGCGTCTTCAAAGCTATAAAAATTCAACATTGAGACACAAAAATAAAGCGAAATGAATAAAATCTCATTTTATTAATGCGATATAACTACAGATGCAATCGATAAACAAAAAAGGCTGAATTAACTAGCATCTAATTACATTTACGACCCACTACATTAATGAACATAATGAATTTAAAGATGGGATTAAAGTGAAAATAAGTCAATGGCCAAATACGCAGGAATAAGAATCAGATACTTATGGTTGCAGACGTACAACCTTTAAATTTGGAGTATTTTAAATAACATTAAGAAAATGAAAAAAATCTTTCTCGAAAACCAGAGATGAATTAATGAGCGATAATTTTACTGCCAGTGTTAGTCCGATCCAGATTTTAGGTTTTTTCTGGTTGGTTTTTGTACTAATCAAAATTGTTATACGCGGCCTTGTGGCCCAACGGATAAGGCGTCTGACTTCGGATCAGAAGATTGCAGGTTCGAATCCTGCCAAGGTCGTAAATTTTTTCGATTTTTATGTAACTTCATACTTATCTCTCTTCTGAGTGCAATTGCTTGGAATTTCACTGATTTTTCTTCTTTCGCTTTACCTTTTTCTTATGAATTTGTTATTTTTCTTCAATCTGTTTTGTGTATTAAGACCAGAAAGGTTTGCCTGAATTGACATGGATTCAATGATCACCAAGCTGAATAGATTTGAACGCTGCTGAGGTTGAACTTTTTCTTATCATAGACTGCACGTTGAGGAGAGAGTGGACTCCATTTGTTTCGCAATGTTGATATTTGAGGTGCTTTTGGACGAATGTTTGAGTGTTCAGCTAACCAGCTGGGTTGGTGGTAATGAATTGGATTTTTATTAAAATAGCGATTTTGATTAGGTTGATATGGATGTAAGTATTGAATTTTCATGTTGTTTATTGATGATGGTTTATTTGAAATTGCTGCCAGCTGAGATGGTGATTGTACTTGGGTTTGTTGACTGATAAAATTGAAACTAATCAAATTATTTCTCAACCATCCTGTTAGGAATCGATAAAAATTGATAAACGAAATGCCATACCAAAGACTCAGACAGGAAGCAAGATAACAAAAAAATTCAATTGGAGCCAGTCGGGCTTTGTACTTGTAACCAAATTCAACTCCAGATGGGCGCCGCACATAAACAAGAGTACTATTTGAATTGGCCAAAGATCGCCTCTCTGAAAGATATACATTAGTAGTAGTGTAATAAACGCCTTTACATTCTGGTTGACTACAGACAGAAAAGCAAAAATTTTTTTCCTTTACATGGCAATCGGAGGTTCCATTGCTTTCGCTAACCTTTCTCATAAAAGGAAGAGCTACACTAACATTAGCAGGAGATAAAATGGACCAAACCGGACATCTCTTGTTAGTCTCCTTAACAAAACAATCAAAGATGCAGCCAAGTCGTCCGAATTCAAACTCATCATATGAACGACAAGCCGTCCGATAAGGTGGAGGCAATAAAAGAGTGACAAATTTGGACGTAAGCAAGACGATCTCATTCAATTCACCAGTTGAAAAGGTTATGGTGTCAGCATCAGAAATTTGGTTGATTTGACTCGGATTATGAACATAAATCGATATCACTTTTGGTTCAAAAGTGTCAATCTTAAGTACATAAAAATCTTTAGCACTGTTGGTGAAAACGTCAAACTCTCCTCCAGCTGAATCTTGATAGAAATATGTAACACACCGAGCAATTGTCCCAGTAATTAGCATGTAATGGATAGTTATTTTCGTAGGAACAATATTGCCACATGTCCAGTCCAATGAAGTGTTTAACCGAGGCAATTCAGTAGCTGGAACATTACAATATAGCTTTATATCGGGTGAAGCAAAATTTGCCAACAGGTTAATCGGCAAATATGAATATTCATATTTTGTGAGATAATTTAAAGATGATACGCTTGATTGTGATAAAAACTGAGCAGCTATTTCAATGTCTTGGCGAGTTGCATTACCAAATGATAGTTGATCAATTTCAAGACAAACAGTCAACCCAGGCATCGCGATCTTGGTTGAAACACCAATAGAAATGTCGACTTGAGTTTCATAATTGAAGTAAACCTTTGAAATTGAACTAACTTGCCAAACAAGGCCAATGGAAGCAAATGCGTAAGATAACAACGTTTGCCAATTATCCTTAATATAATCTGGTACCATTTGATGGCAGAATCAAATTGCGTTACTTCTTGATGGTTAATTGTGATCACTAGAAAAAGATGGAAATGTAAATTTTGGGTTAATATTAAGCATAATGGAGCGTTTGGTTGAAGTAATTGAGATGGTTTATGTCATCAACTATGCTGACAAAATGGCGACTTAATTTAATTTAATGCAATCAATCAATTTTGATTTTTTGGGTCCACTCATTGAATTATGTGTTTGGCAAAGTGGAGAGTCAATTGTTCAGGTAAACTATTTATAAATGTTGGAAGAAGCTTATTAAATTGATCATTTCATGGCTCATCAAGCCATTAAATGTAATCAATCTAGTAATTGATAGAAGACATAAAAGATCTGTTAAAATTGATTTTTCATGATGAGTTAAGATGAAGGAAATAATAACAAAATGATTATTTTTGACAAACAACAAAAAAAAAGTGTTGAAGTTTTATCAACAGGTTGATGTATAAGGAACCATCAAGTTGCTATTAAATTGATGGAAAGCACACTTCAACAAGTAAAAATGGGAAAGTTGATTAAAGGGAAAATACGTCAAAACAATTGCCATCTGAAAAACTGGTAAATCAGTTAATTACAGCAATTCTACATTGATTCAGTTCTAAGAATGATTTGACTTTATGAGGAAACGTTAGAGTCAAGATTGACCAATTTCCCAGCTAAATTTGGATTTGCTGGAATCGATTGAAATCAATTTCAATTTCATCGACAATCAAAAATTTTCTTTGCTTTGATTAGTGAAATAATTTGACAACTTACACTGGAATCAAAGGGCAAAATGGTTCCTCCAAGTTGAACCCGATTTTCCTTCTGGGTTGATACAGTTTGATGCCTATCAAAATTGAAGAAATGAAAATTAATATCAATTTGACTAATTTGTACTTTGCCAGTTCAACTAGATATTTGAATAATTGTAATTACGCCGTAATTACAATGTAACAATTACCATTTTAAATGAAGTAATCCAGTTAGACTTGGGCAAAAAGATATCAAACTGACTAAACTCATTGATTGCTCAGCTAGCAATTACATAGCTAATTGAGTTAGATTGAAATAGCATGGATAAGCTTGAGTTGTTACCAATGTTTGGTAATGATTCAATTTAGGTGTAATTCATCATTGAAGTCAAAGGCCATTGTCTTTGATTAGGTTTACTGCACGTAGTTGTGTAAAGGGTTGAGTTAATTGCGATTGAGTTGAAATTTGAGTCTCCAATTTACTCATTTAATAGGAATAATTGGAAATATTCAGTCATCTTAAGTAAACAAGAAAAGGAAAAACAATAACAATTATAAGCTGTTCAACATATTTTTGGGTTTTTGCTTAAAAACCTTTTGAGGTACGGAAGCGTTTAACGGCGATGATTTATCCTGTTTAAGCCGTTTATACATGATCATGTTGAAGATGATGATGGTAAAGAGATGATGAACATTTGAAGGAAACAAGTTCAAGTTTGCCAAGAGAGTGAATAAACTCGTCAGTGAGAAAATAATCCAACTTGAAAGAGCCAATTCCTTGAATGAAGAGGAACAACGATGATGATGTTGATGATAATAGTGATGATGATGATATTGAAGTTTGCCTGAAAGAAGAAGAAAGGTTAGTAAAACAGGTACATGATGCATCATGGATCCATATAAATATTTCAAACACATTTATTCACCTCTAAGTGAATGATCCATCTAAACCAGCTTCATTTGTTAATTTTTTGATAACAACTTTATCACTTTTCATAGTTGATTAACAATACAATTGTAATTATTTGCCGATTTGGCCACTTAGTATTCAATCTATTCAATAAAATGACAAGTTAAACGTAAATAATTTAGATTAAAATAAGACAAATAAGATACAAAACCGACAGTTTATTTGGTGTTTACCAGGTTGGGCGCGTTTATTTTGCCAATTTAAAACTATCATAAAATGATAATTTATAAATCTATTTTGATTGTTAGCTATGATGTTGAATCTTTATTGAATATGGTGATTTTAGGTCTTGAGTACTAGTGACAGTCTTTTGCGCTTTAAAAAAAGGTCTTCTTTTAACATATTCCTTGGATTCCGCACCATATCCGATTAGAAACGCTACTTACAAGGTAAACAGAGCTAATAGTGTTTGGTATGATAAAACAACATTCAGGGGATCTAATATGAATATTATCTTTCTCAATGAATCAGTTGAGCTTGGACTTGAGTCGATCAGAGAAATGTTCTAATTGTTCAAATGGTCTCAATTTTATGTTCTAAGAGAAGTCTTACGAGATAATAGCCATGATTTGACTTCTGGTTCGAGAAATAGACTGAGTTTCCTAGCAATTCAGGTTCCTACGAAAATCATGTTCTATCAGGGTGATCAAAAAACAGAATCCGTACTCTGGAGCATTGTGGAAGAGTCGAGCTCTGAGGGATTTTTAGGGGCATAAGAGGATTAAAAATTTATTTGGTCGACAGTTTTGGATGAAATCGCTTTCAAACTTCGATTGTCAGGGTTTTTTCATTTATAATTTGGAGATTTAAATTGTCGATTGAATGAGTTGTACTCGGTAAAACAAATGTTTGCGATCAGTCATGATCCTAAGTCTTATTGTACTTAATAATCAAAACAAGAGTTTATTTACAATTGGCAAAATAAACACGCCCAACCTGGTAAGCTTGCACTCATAACGACTTTAGCGAAAGAAAAAGCGGTTTAAAAGAAGAAACGAAAAGAAAAGAAAAAGAAAGAGATACAGCGACCTCTACCTGGTTTGCCCGTACTACTGGTTTGCCTTTAGTTTGGTTTAGGTTTTAATCAGCTTTTTGTATCATCTTTTGCTGGTTCTTCATTTCCACTTTTGGGTAGTTCATCATTGAAAAGCTCACAATCAAGTTAACCCTTCACCATCATCTTGACAATGGATACCAACCGAACGTGGGAACCATCACCAAGTTATTCACAATTTTTAACAGAGAGTAGTAATTTTGTTCGTATTAATTTCCACCAATTGGTCAACAATTATTCATTTCCAGAGGACACAGTTAAAGATTTGAGCAAGTGTTTAACCAATCTTGATCGTTATGATTACATACTCATGTTTGTTTTGGCAATCTTCTGGACCATAGTGCGGAATATTTTAACCACCAATCTTTTCAAGGTAATTCACCTCCAAAATTTTCTCATTTTGTCTTTGTCTTAACTTTAACCTTTCTTAATCATCTGGATATTTTTTTTCTTTTCTAGTTAATAGTTGCCATAGTTTTCCTTTAAATCTTCAATTTTTTTTTCTTCAAAAATCTGGAATGAGTTTACATTTCTATTTCAAGAATGTGTGCAATTATATTTTGTAATACGGACAAAGAGAAACCTCAAAAATTAGCGATATCAAAGTTTAATGATCTTCGTGAGTCTATTGAGGAAACTAATCTCAGCTCTCCTTACCTGTACATTGTCTTTCTTTTTAGCTTTCTTTTTGGCCCTCTCTTACCTTTTCTCTCTTTCTCTCACGCATACATCTCTCTTTTTTCAAGTTCAATGTAACCAGTTGTCACTGTAAAATCTTGTCTGTATGATAATTAATTTTCCAAGCAAACCTGTTCCGGGTTTATGTTAAAATCTTATTTTTCTTTTTAATATGATGATCCCGTAATTTTAGAAGCATGAAAGACTTCTGATCTCATTGGAAAGCTATGAGACCTTAGCAGCTATTCCATACCCTGATTTGTCTAATGAGCTTGAACTCAAGTACTATGGATAGAAATTTCAATCAGTTTACTTTATGGATTAGTTTCTTCTGAGCAATTCTTGATTGAGACACATTTCAAGCGCTATTAAAGACGATTATTTAGATTAAAATGTATTGTCTGTGATCTGTTGTATCGCTTCAATAGTAATTGCTCGTTCTTCTTCCTTTAACTTCATCTATTTATCAATTGATTGAATCTTGTCAAACACCTCTAAGCAAGTCCACCTTTAACATTTTAAGCCTGGTTTGTTGGGCCTTCTCTCAGGTCAAACATAACTTTCTTGATTACCTTTTTTCATTTTATCTTATTTTCTTTTTTTATCAACAGCCTATTGCCCGTTACTACAGATTACCAAAGCAAGAAAGAGAAAAATTACCCGAAAGTGCCTGGAAATTCATTTTTTATCTATCAACATGGTGTTACACTGCATACATTTTACTATGGCAATCAGGAACCAACTACTTCTACAAACCCACCGATGTTTGGAAAGGTAACCATGAATTCAGTTTTTGGAAATAATTGAGATAAGACTTCTGGTGTTATAAATAACCTTAGATTAATCAACCACCAATGATGACTACCTCTTTAAAATGACATTTGATTTCAATCCTTTTTTCATCTTTACAGACTATTCCATGTCCCTGGATGTTCCGAAAGATGTCTACGCTATTTATATCGTTGAAATTAGCTTCTATCTCCATTCGCTCTATGCAACTATATTTGTTGATCATTGGAGGCGAGATACATTGGTCTTGATGGGTCATCACATTGTTACATCATTACTTCTTGTCTTCTCCCTCTCAATCAGGTAATTTTTTTACTCTAATCCCACTCCTGACTATTGCTACATATCAAATAATCATTGGTGCACTCAGGATTTATTTAGCTCGAGGCTTTGAACTGTTTTAAGAATTAAGATGAATGAAAAAAAAGGATGAAAAAGCTTCACCATTTTTCATATCTTGATGGGCATACTATTACGATCTGAGTTATAAACCTTTTATTTCTGATAATAATTATGATAATGATGAACAAATCAGATGTTAAGGTAGGTTAGATTCTGAAAAAAAAGTTGGTTCTATCATGAGAAGAAAGATAATCATCTATCATAAGAAGATGAAATGAAGTATAGAGACCTGGTTACTGTTTTTACAGTTTATTTCAAGTTGAACGTCCTTAGTAAGAAAAAATGGCACTACTCTTAAAACATTGTTCAGTTTTTAACAACAATCAAATTTAAAGGAAACAATACAATGTCTTTTATGGGATGTTTGCATAATCACTATAGCCATTTCAAAGTTGAAAAGGTTTACACATGTTGTAGTTTGAATCTTTTGTGTTTAATCATGCTGTTACTTTTATCATAACCAGAATATTAACTTCTTTTTATCTGCAACAACAGCATTATTCATTCATTTCTGCAGTGCTTATCAATTTTCTTTGATTCTTTTTGAATGTTTGCTCAATCATCTAATCCATAGTTTTTATTCACTTCCCTCACCGATCTTTACAGATGCCATCGAGCTGGATTAATTGCTATTTTTCTTCATGATGCTTGTGATATCCTCCTGGAAGGAACTAAAACCTGTCTTTATTTCAAGAGACAAAATAACAAGAATATTAATATCTTTGAATTATTGGCCAACATTGGTTTCTGCTGTTTCACGGTTACTTGGTTTGTAACTCGACTTTATTGGTTTCCATTGAGAAATGTTTTCATTTCTTCAATTTACGTCCATCAACATGGAATCCAAGTACCATTTCCACTTTTTCTCAATTCGCTTCTCTACATTTTACTCACAATGAATCTTTATTGGTTTTCCGTAAGTTAATTGAATACCAAAGGCGTTAATAATTTTTATTTAATGAAATACTCTTTTCCTTTTTTATAGTTTATCATTAAACTTCTTTACAAAGTGGTAACCGGTCAAGTTAAAGAAATCGAAGACAACCGAGAATATGAACACGATGAAACTAATAATACAAGTACAGAGTCAAAGGAAGAAATCAAAAAGTAAGAAATTGATTCGTGCTAAAAAATTGTCTATTGATATAGCTGAACAATTCATTTAATTGATATTTTGATTTTTTTCACAGTGAGGTGCAACAAAAGGTGAAGACGTTTATTAAAGATGGATCTTCAACTGTTTTCTTATTAAACCAACGGAAAGTAGATCCAAGTGTAGGTCGATCTGAATAGGAATGAATTACAACCTGGCGATATAATCGTTTTTTTGAGATCAAATTTTTACTCATTGTAATTTTATGTAACGACAAACGCCATCAACCCCTTTCAAGTCAATCAATCATCTTTCATTTCATTTTCGAATTTGAATTCTATTTTCAAATCAACTCAAAAATAGACTCCTCAATCATGCCAACAATTAATTCTATTTTGTAGTTTATAAATAAATTTTATTGACAATGGGTTTTGTAATATTTTTATATCTCACAAAGAAACTTATAACAATTATTTAACTGATACATTAAATTGCGTTAAATTACATTGAATCACGTCTATATGCGTAAACACTTCCACTAATTAAGGAAAAGGCCTTACTGGTACGATTTGATTCGGGAAATTTCATGATAAATCGATAGAAATAAGTTAAAAAAGATGTTTGGTAAAGCGTTAGGACTTCAAATCTTCGCTATAATTTTTATTCCGATTTCAAGTCTAACCAGGCCTATTGTATGAACTGAAACTATGAAAGATTGCCATTCTGAAGTTGAGAGTAACATTCACTTTGTTTGCCTTTTGTGAATTTATTTGTTTCTGTCATTTTTAGTTCATAACTACATAACAATAAATCTTGCTTAATCAGAGATCTTTTGAATTATAAATCCTATAAAAGTGACTTCAATTTATCAATTCATAGGATTATCTTGTTAGTTAAAATAGCAGAATAATTTTACTAGAGTTTCTAACAATCAAATATCCAGTCTTGACTCCAAAATAAAACAAGTTCAACTTTAGCGCTCACAAGCATCTCTATAGAAACAGAATGGTTTAAGTTTTTAAATTTTTTTCGCCAAAACTTGCTATAAAACATTCTGCGGCAAGTAACAAAGTTTAATCATCATTAGTTCATAAGTCCATTAAATTCTCATCTATTTTATAATAATTTCTGACGATTGATTAACCCGCTTTTATCTACACTCATTAGTGAAACGGTACCATGAAAGTGAAACAATTGGACGAGAACAAAATAAATCGTTTGATTAGTAAAATTGACTCTGGACAAGATGAATTATATGGTTATGACGAGGAGAAAAAAATTCTTGAAAATGTCCTCAACAAAACTTTTAAAAATGGTGAATCAAGCAGTGTAATTATCTATGGGTGTCGTGGTTCTGGTAAAACATGCTTATTGGATCATTGTTTAAAAAAGAAGGTTACTTCATCTTCTCGTAGACGCACCATAATCAAATTGGATGGTGCGATACATAATACTGATGCTTTGGCCCTTTCTGTGATAGCTCAATGTGTGGATATTCCTGTGACTAATGCTTCACAAATAGGTACTGCACTTCAAGAAAAAATTTCATCCTCAAAGACTATCAAAACATTTTGTTTTATTTTAAACGAGATTGACATCTTTTGTCGCCGACAGCAAACGCTGTTGTACACTCTTTTTGATGCCGTTCACTACGTGCCTGGTATATGTTTGATTGGATTAACAGCTAAAGCTGATTGTACTGATTATGTTGAAAAAAGAGTTAGATCCAGAATGTCTTACCAAACAATTGTATTGTCATCACCTTTTAAAAACCAAAAAGAATACTTTGATTACGTGAAAAATTACCTTGAAGGTGCTTTCAGTGACAGTATATTGAAACCGCTTGTTTTCAGACAATACAAGAAATCACGAACGCCTGGTGATATGAAAAAATTCATGCTTGATTTACTTCTTAGCTGTGATAGTTTGACTGCATCAAAATCTTTAACCAATGACCGCAAAGTTCAACTACTGGAATCGTTATCCTTTCTTGAATTGGCTGTTGTTTGCTTGATCTCTAAGAAACTCTCGGACTCTGGGAAAACTTTTTTCCGACCCATAGAGATCGCACCTTTACTTCGTAACATTCCTGCACAAATCTCACACTCTAAAGAGCTGTTTCTGTTTGTTTTACATCGTCTAATCGATTATGGATTGCTTTTTATAAATCCTGGTCAAAGATACAATTCTTACATCTCTGATTGGACTTCTTTATCTTTAAATGCTGACCTAGAACTACTCAAATTTGTTCTAAATAAGAACAAGAAAGATTTGCCTACAAACTTTCTCCATGTTTTAGAAACAACAGCTTGAAAGTTCACCTTACTTTCTACCTGCTATCTGATTTTAAATCTATCATAAAGTGCCATTGTAGATTTTCATATTTTTAATAATTAATAAATTTTATATTCCTCAAAAATGAATTAATTTTTAATTGCAGTTGAGTGTAAATTGCTTATGATGATTAAACATGAGATCGTCTATAATCATTAACAATATCAGTTGAAAAAATAGTCTTGGAAATTACAGGGACAACCTTTTCGCAGCACGCAAAAAGGCGAATTTCGGAATATAAAGTAATTTTCTTTTCATTGATGATCCTGATCTGGCAAACTTTTTTTCAGACAAGCTTTTAATCGCTTTAATCAATCGTGGGCTTGGTTTTGAATCACAAGACACAAACGATTCATCTTCAGAGTCATCTTTTAATGACACGAAATCTGATTCATCCTTGACATCTTCATCTTCACTCTCGTCATCCGATTTTTCAATTATCGTACACTCGTAAGAAATGCCCAATGCTTCTAATTTCTGTATAGCTTCCTTTATCAATTTGATTTTCTTTGCTTTGAGCTTCTTCCATTCAGCATTATTCTTAGATTTTCCACTAATTTTCTTATGAGTAGTAATTGAAGATACTTTTGGTTTTTTCCAATTCTTGAAGACACCTTTTGGAAGTTTTCCGGGTTGTACAACTTCACCTGAAAGATAAATAAACAAATATTAGAGCCAGTCAAAATTAAGTGATGAAAGATGAAGAAACAAACATGAAGAAAACAATACTCACATTTTAATAACTTTTCAAACATAAGGTAATTGTCCATAGTATGAGCTACTATCTTAGCGACATCATCATATGCAAATTCAACGAAAGCAATCCCTTTGCTTTTTAAATACTGTAATTTCAAAAGACAAGATTAGATAGAGTAAGTGATAATTTGCTCAAAATTAGACAGCATTAAAAACACACTTACTTTTCTGCTTCTCAATAATTTGAGACGAGTTACAGGACCAAATTGTGAGAAAAATTCCATCATTTCCTTTTCATAGAAACCATGGGGGACATTTTTAACCATGATCACTCTACTATTTGCACTTTTAGTCATGTTGTTAAATTAAATTTTAAACCGATAAAAAATCAAATCAAATAATTGAAATTATTGAGACGCACGTGTTGATTTAAACACAAATCAAAGCCAGCTGGCCGAGGAACTTGTAGCCACCTATCGGACTTTTCTTCGACGCGCGAATTTTTCTTTCAAGCAAATAAATAAACTCTTGAATCTCTCTAACAGTCAAATTTAAATCTATTGGTAATATTATTTCAAATTCAAAACTTATCAATTGCGGTAAAAATGTTTGGAAAGCTAAAAATAGCTCATATGAACGTAACAATCTATTAAATCTTAAAGAAATTGTTTACATCGTTGATTACATTCGACTATATCATCGATAATTGATTGCGATAAATAATTTGGATCAACGGGATGCTCTAAAATATCTTCTACTATATCAGCAGCTGGTTTGCCACCACCATGAGCTAGAACACGAGTTTGGTAGATGTGACCAGCTTCTTTGGAAAAAGGATCGGCTGAAAAATATTTGGTCCAAATTAACCGAGAAACTGATCTTGAAATTAAATAAGAATAATATTTGGCTCCATAACCGACTAGATGACCAAATCTCAATTGCCAAGCAATATCAGGTGAGTAGCCAAATTGGTAATATTTTTCACACACTTTCATGGCTTGTGCATTTGTTGAATTCGACCCCAATAATGGATCTCTTCCGTGGTACGCTTGATCGAGAGCTGCATAGAAAAGTTGAAGTTGCGTTTCACTTGCATTAAAAAACTTTTTTGAAGCGATCCATGTTGATAAAAGGTTATCAGGAATAGGTTGATCATTCGCGTAGTGTTTTGCAAAAGTAGAAACAACTCGAGGATCTTGAATAAAGTATTCCATTAGAATTGAAGGAACTTCAGCTAAATCAGTTGAGCACCTTGTTCCGGTTGTGTGTTGAAAAGGTGTACGAGCTAGAATTGAATGAACGGCGTGACCCATTTCATGAAATAAATTGTCAACCATGTGCGGTGATAGAAGTGTAGGTATAAAGGAGTTCGATTTGGGTAAGCTCAAAACTAAAACAACAATCGGATTTTGATAATTTCCATCGGATAATTGACATCCTCCTCTTATAGTGAAATGACAATCTTGGTGGGGCTTTCCATCTCGTTCAAAGAAATCACAATAAATTGAACCCAGTTCTTGTTTATGTTCATCATAAACATTCAATTTAATCACATCAGGATGCCATAATTCACCTGCACGTGGAGCACAGTACTCTAAATGAATGTTGAACAAAGATTTAAAAATGTGATTCAAGCCATCCATGCAAACACCAAGTGAAAAATAAGATAAAGTTTCCTGGAGAGCACTACTCAATCTTGAGTATTTAAAATTTTCAATTAAGTATTGAGGATCCCAAGGTTTAACTTCGGATGCAGAAGGATCTAGTTTCTTTTTGATTGATAACATTAAATTATAGTCATTAGCTGCTAATGGCTTCAATGAATCGGAAAGAGTCTCTAGAAAAGAATTAACTTGGGCCACTGATTCAAATATTCCTCCTCTTATGGCTCTTTCACCAAAAGAAGGGAAACCACACAAATTTGCCAAAGCGAATCGAGCGGTTAGCATTTGAAGTAAAAGTTTTTCTCGGTGCTCATCGGGTTTGTAGAACAGTTTAAAAGCAATTTCTCTGAGATCTTCGTCTGATGAGCTAGTGAAAAGGCCACGAATAGATAGGTTATAACCGTCAACAGGAAATTTATCTTGATATTTTTTAGGGACTTCTTCTTTAGGAACTAGAGTTGGTTCAGAGACTCGACTGACAAAATATCCTCCAATATGCAAGATGAAATCATTCAGTTGAACCACTTTGTCACGATCTTGGTCATTCAAGTGAACTCCTGACTGCTCAAAATCATGTAAAAACAATCTAGCAACTTCTTTATCTACATCTGTGGTTGGCACAACATCTCCATTATCAACAACCTTTTTCAAACAATCGTACAATTCTCTATGTACATTAAGTTTTTCCACTTCTCGACTGATTTTGATAGAAGCATCAGTAGCATTTTTGCGAAATCTAATAAAAAATAAAGTTAAGAATTAGATAACTTGAACAATTTTAAACGATGAGTAATTAATAAAGTGAACTGAAATTAAAAGAATATTGAATGATATTTACAATGGATCTGGATGACCAATGCGGACAAATTCAGCAAGATCTGCAACTTTACACAGACTATTGGACATCTCGTCAAATATTTCAACCATTTTACGAGTCCTGTTTTTACTTAAGGCTTCATATAACAGCTCGTAAGACTTAGCTTTAGCACCTTCACTAAACTCCATAAAACCCGAAGCATCTGCAAGTTCCTCGATCCCAAACAATCCTTTATTATCCCAACCATCGCCAAAGAAACTTGGTTTGGCTGGAGCTATTTCATTGAAATAGGGTTTCAAGCTAGTGCAAAAGCACCTACGAACTAGATTACCAAAAGGTTGTCTCATAATTGTTGAGTGTTTTCGATGTCAAAAGAAATTAAAGTTTCGAGTTTACAACCACATTTGTAGCTCATGTTGCACAATATAGAAAGCAACAAAAGTAAAATAATGTACAGCTGATCAGACAACACATCGTTCATCACATTTCCAACACCGGTTTTTTCAAGTTAGATAAACTTATTTGAATCAATGAAAACAGGACTCCTCTACCATGTTATATAGACCAATTCAATTCGGAATGACATTACCGACCAGAATTTTTTTTAATTTTAATGAAAGATTATCAAAAGACATTTTATTTACAGTCGAGATGAATAAATTGCGACTTTAATCACAAAAAAAATCATCAATGATAAACATCAAAGACAGTACAACACTTGAGACATAAGATTGACGATATTGACCTTATGGGTCAGCGTGAAACCTTTGAATGTTGATATCAATAAAAAATTATCAAAACAAAATAGTTTAATCGGTTAAATTGTCAAAATTTAAATTATCCATCTGTGACACCATCTATGATCTAATCTAGAAACTTAAATTCATAATCGGCGATTTATGCGATTGCGTGGTAAATTTATTTATTTTTTTACTCTTTTGCCATTTGTTGCTGAAAGGTTGCATTTAACAGTTGAATTGATTGAATTTAAATTCTGATTTACATCTTTAAGGACTATTTGTTTATATCTTGGAAATTTAATTTATATCACCCTGTTAATTGTTGTTTAAATAAGGACTACCTGTAAATGAATGAGTGAATATTGATTTGTGAAGGCTATTTACCTGTGTGTTATATAATCTTCAACTATTTACTCTCACCGTATTGCTACTTTTCTCATCACTCATCTCCACCTTTGTCACTAACTATAATCCTGTGAGAATTTGCTTTTTCTATTTCTCGTGATTATTCTCATTCACATTGGTGAGCAACGATTAAGAAAAGGTGAAAAGATGATCGAGCTTGAGGAAAAATTGAAAAAAGCTTTGATAACTAATTCTCAGCTTGACAATGAAAAGAACACCTACTCGTATCAAGTGGAATTACTTAAAGATGATCTGGAAGAGTTACAAGAAAATTACTACCGGTTACAACGTGAATTGAAGGAAAAGTCTAGGGTGAGAAATATTTACTATCCTGATATCCTTTATTACCATTTTCGGTTTCATTATTCATTATGATAAATGTAGTGTTGTTGTTATTACTTTTTTCATGTTTCATTTTTTACAGGTATATGATCTGCTGAGTCGCGATTACAAAGAACTCAAGGATAGGCATAAATATCTTGAGGAATGCATCAAACAAAGGGACAGTTTAATTGAGGTTAGTGTTTTTGATGGATGACGTAAAAAAACAACCTAACTTCTCTTTCATTATGAACTCAGGATGATTTGAGCGTTTTCATTATATTTTTTTTCTGCACAATCAGCCCCACCTTTCAATCTTCATTTGTTGTTTTTGACTTCATCTTTTTTTTCTTGTTTCTTTTCCCCTTTTCTCTTTTACATTCCAGGAGCGAGGTTTAGTCTTTGTTGAAGGATCCAACCTGTTGGCTCCCTTATCAACACCCCGTGATTCACTTAGTGACACCAGTGAAAAAAGGGTTAATGGTGAAACCGGTGAAAGTTCATTTTCAAGCTCAAGAGATGAACCTCGAAAGTTAGGGGCAACTTTAATTTCAAGAGAAGTTGCTGAATTATTCGATTCTATAGAAGGAGCTTCTCTGGAGGAGAAACTGAGAACCATAGCTCAAGAAAAGATTGAATTAGTTCAAGAAATTGAACAATTAAAAAGAGACCTGGAAGACGAGAAACAGAAAAGTTTACAACTCCAAGGAATATGTCAAATGTATAGCAATCATTCTGTGAATGGCTCCGAGAGTGAGCTAGTCGAAGCTCAAAGTAAGGAAATCGAAAGTAAAACAAGATCGTTCAATATAATCTCATTAAGCTGCTTAAAACAAGAAGTAACAGGCTGTTAACATTAATGTGTGATAAAATTTTTAACCCTGTGATCGGGTTGAAGGTTTTTTCATTACTTCAACATTCGTACATATTCTCATTGCCTGCCTTTGTCAACCTAGATGGCAGACAAAGTTTTATTGGCACCAGTCTCTCAACTTAGAATTAGAGAGTCCATTAAACTCATGAAATGAAGATGATATAACAGCCAAGATGTGTTGCCAAACTATCTTAGTCGGATGAACAGCAGCTTAATATAAATAACAATATTCACCTTCGTGATGGTCTATGTGTAACTCCTAATTCTCACTCTTTTTTTTCTTTCATTTGTTTTATACAGGAGAGAATAACAAACTGCTTTATGAATACAAATTTAAACTGAAAAAAGCCGAACAAGAAATCATTACCTTGCAAAACACTGTTTCCCGAGTTGAAATGCAAGTAGAAAGGTACAAAAAACAGCTTGAACAGGCTGAAAAATCTGAAGATGAATTGAAAACTGACAAAAGAAAAATTCTCAGAGAGGTAAACTTTATTCCAATTTTGCTTCCATCCTCTTAACATATGATGATAACAACTTATATCACCATTTCCATCTCTTGTTTATTTCCTAGTTTAAACTTTCCCTTTTTTACTACTTATTTAATTATCATTGAACATTCGAACTCACTTGTATAATTTTATCACGTTTTTTTCAGTTCCGAGAGGCTCAAGCAAGAATTGAAGAACTGGAGACATCAAATGCACATTTACAAAAGCGTATCGATAAACTTAAAAATAATCGCATTGCTGTGATTAATTCGTGATCAAGCACTCGTTACCTTTCCTTTTTCATAAAATTTATCTCCATCCCTACTATTTTCTTCCTCTTTCAATTTCCTTTTCTTGTTCCATCCTTTCTTTTCTGGCTAGTTCAATTTCTATCTCCATAGTCAAATATAATGATATATATCTTTCTGATAATTGCTGACTCCGGAGACAAAGAAAAAAGACGATGCAGATACAAACAAGAAGGAAGGATATAACAAAAGAAAAAAGAATCCTAGAAATATCTGTGAATTAATGTGAATTTTTGTGAATACATCTGATTATACTGAAACAGTCTTCACCATCTAATAATCTTTGAATTTAAACAAACGAAGGATGGAGAAGAAACAGCCAACAAAACCAATAACACCAGCGAAGGAGAAAATCTTATACAAATACAGATTGTGAATTACTCCATCATCAATTTTATTTCATCAAAACAACAAAGCAAAAAACCATTACTCGTTGGAAAAAAAGAATCAACAAAAAGATCAAGAAAGCGTTACAACCTTAATTTTTTGTCTCTTTATCCATTTTTTTCTAATCTGATTCAATCTTCCTAACCTTTCCTTTCCTCTTGTCAAGAGACTGTGATCAAACGACAAGACTTTGGCCCTCAGCAGACAAGATTGCAGAATAAATCTCTAAATTGTGCCAAAAATAACGGCTAAAGGCTTAAAAATACATGAAAATAGTGATCCTGTATCATTATTATTATTAATATTATTATTATATACTAATTATTACTATTATATTATAAATGTATACATTTTGTTTTTTGATTGTTGTAAAAAGAAATGAAAATGTTGTCAGTGTATTCTACTTATGCATACAAACATATATATATTATAAAATAATTGTAATGTAATGTCCATAAAATTAACAAGAGTAATCAAAGAAACATTTGATCAACCAAACAGTTGAATGATCATGATGACCATTGGGTTTTTTTTTCGTGAAAGTAAAATTCATGCAAAGTCATTCTCTGGTTAAAGAGAGGTTCCATTAAAGACTCATTAAGAATGTTAAATCACAATTTAGACATGAAGCAATTTAAATAGCTTTAAAACAGGGGCTGATTGACAGGCAAAAAATTTCCTAATTCCCAATCAAATAACTACAAAAAACCGAACAAAACAAAAAATCAACAAAAAATTGATGTTAACAATAATTTCCATTATTTGTGACTCAATGGAAAACCAGAAAATCAAATGAACATGTTTTTTCATGTATTTCTAATCAGATGAATAATCCTTTCTTGAATAAGACTAGTTATGAATAGTAAATAGTCAATTAACCATAAATACTTGAACAATACGATCAATTATTAAATTAGTATTTGACATTCGAATGTCAAAATTGTTCAAATGTTCGGTTGCTTGAAAACCCAAAACTGTTTCCAATTTTGATTCAACTATGAATCAATTTCCATATTTTTGCTTATAACTCAATCATTTTCAACAATTTAATGGCTCGGTATCGATTAAGAGGAAAAAATATATCAAGATAGATTGTGGGTCAAGACAACTTGTTGATGAACCATTCAAATGATAACCAACTTACCATGTTAGCCACACTGAATTATGACTTGATTCATTAGTGCCCATTTGGTTTGCAATCAATATTGCAATCAAACATGATTAGTAATAATAGTTATTATATCGGTAATGATACAGCTTGATTACATGATTCGGTAAATTCATGAAGATCAATAGCAATCATTCAATTTTTAAAAATGAAACAAAAAAATTGATTTGATTTTCATAAACCAGTGTTGGCCAAACTGTAACAAAACTAGCTCAATTGTAAATTAGTTATTAATGTCGTATGTCAATGAACCAATAATCTAATCATGTTAAAAATCAAGATCATGATCATTGGGTTAAGAAAGGAGTATCAAGTAAAAGACATTTTGTAATAAATCAAATTCACAGAGATTGTTAACTAAAACTGGTATTGAACTGGTTTCACGACAGATTCATCATGTCAAGACTTTGTAATACAAAGCACATGGACGATGAACATGATATCCAGGTTAACAATTAGATTATCAAGTAATCAGGTAACCTTGGATGAAATGGTAATGACATTAACAGCTAATATTGACTGAAATGTAAAAACATTCACCGCTCCATTCAATCAACCAGAGGATTGTTGGGATTGATAAATGGCGATAGGATTGGTGAGAGTTAACGATTCTTGCCCGAGTTAATGAAACAATTGAAAAACCAGAATATCTTATGAAAGAGATTGTTATTGGGTAAGGAATAAATTTGGGTTATTTGGACCCAATTTTTGATCAGAGAGGCAAAGGAGTGGTAGGAGTAGGAGGTAAGATGATAATGAAAAGAGATGGAGTTTCTGAAAGTGTCTGATGAAAGTGAAAGGTAAGCAAAATAAAGGTGATGAAGAAAGAGAAAGAGAAAGTTGATTTTTAAAAGAGGACAAGGACAAGAGTTGGACTATTAAGAACTGAAAAATGTAAAGAGAAGGAGAAAAGAGAGAGAGAGAGAAGATAAGATCGTGAACAGGATAAAAGGTATGTTTGAGAGTGAGAGTGAGAGAGTGGGATGGATTTAGTTGAGAAAGAGGGAGAAAGTGATTATCGAAAGTTTCATTAACTCGAACAAGAATTAATAGAAGATGATGAAAATGAGAAAAGTTAACTTACCGAACTAATGTTTATTACAGAATTTCCGTTTACTTATTTGCTATCATTTGTACTGATCAAAACATAACCAACATTAAGCAATTGTAACACAGCAACACAGTACCAAATACAATAATAATAGCTCAACTTGTAACAATTAATAATAATTGACTGCAAACAGTTTGCTCTAGTGTCTTGTCTAAATGTCTAATGACCAACTGATATTCATCGACTATTGATATTCTTAGCTTTTACTCAGTTAGTTATTACTGTTTACTGTGAATTGCCTGTAAGTTGGATATTATTATTATTTGTGAACAATAATTTACATTTGCGATCGCAACACAGTTTTACACTTTTTATTAACGTGCAACTGTTAAGTTCAATTGTTCGCGAAGTGAATCACCGCTTGTGAAGTTATTAATTGCCATTGTCATCTTGTCAACCAAACGTGAAATGGGTTCATCTCGTCACTGACCAAGGAATTATTTTGTGCCCATCTCTACTTTGATTCAAGTGTTACGTTCATTTTCATCTTAACCTGGATTTGGTTCTTGATTTTCATTCCTTTGATTCACTGTCATCATGAGTTAGTTGTGTCTTGGTGTAGTTAAAATTTATCCCAGCATCTTTAGTGAATCTGACGAGAAAAAAAAACGAAAGTTTAGTGATCACTTATATTTCTTGACAAGTCGATTGTGATTAAATGAACAATTAAAGTCAACTTACCAAAGGAAGAAAAGATAACCTTTTCGGATAATCATTTCTGACAAGAGTCTTCATCATCATAACCATAGTCAAATTTAAATCATCAGCAATGAGATTAAAAATATTAACCTTTCTCACATTAATCTGTTTAACAAGAAGCCAGCTTAGCTCATCACAGTCAACAGGTATTTACAAGTTACAATTACAATACTAACTCCAACTACCAACAAAAGTCCAAATTGATAACAGTATTAATTGTTGAGCAAAATCCATGAATAAAAGAAGAATTAATTTACACAAAATCAAATTGAAAACAAGAAAAATAAATCAAGATTTTAAAATCAGCTGAGGATCTGATAGTGAATTAGTCCAAAGTGTACTATCGATAAACTGTTACCTTAACAAATAGATACTGAATCAACTTATTTTTTCAATTTGACTATTGTTTTTAATTGTCCCAATTAATAGCTAACTTATTATAATCAAGGTTAAGACTAATTTCGTTTGAAAATATTTCTCCAGATGTCTTTCAATTTACAAATGATAGTGTTGATCCAAAAATGGAGTTTCAAACTGAAATGCAACGCTATGATGGCTGGTATAATAATCTCGCCCATCCAGCTTGGGGATCGATAGGTAAGTTAATTGTCACTGATAATTTGTTATTCCTATTTATTCAAATCAAAATTACGACGACATTAAAATGCCCATTCTATCAGTTTTTGCTAGCTTTTTACTCTCAATCTTTGAAAACAAGACTTTCACCAGACAGAATAACAGTAACCAGAATATCTCGTTAGCCCAACATTTTTAGGAAAATTTTCAAATGAAGCATTTGCTCATTGAAATAGTGATTGAAACAGTAGGAAGAGAATAAGATTATCATGAATGAACAAGAAAATTTTTGAACCCCTCCTAGTATTCAAGGATACTCATGTTATCCAACTAGAAATATAATGTTCATGTTTACTGATTTCCTGGTTAACCAACGTTTTAACCTTTTTTATATATAGACTTATCATATGAGATAATTTTGAGAAACCCATTTAATCATTTTAATGTAATACGCATTTTTTTGTCCAATTTTTTGATTTATTTTTAGACTAAATAATGAATTAATTATTATTTATCTCTTTGTACCAACAGAAAGCCAATTAACCCGTAAAGCTCCGTCTTCTTATGCCGATGGAGTTTACATGATGGCTGGTGAAGACCGTCCAAGTCCAAGAAGCCTAAGTCAAGCTGTAATGAAAGGTGAAGATGGGATTCCCTCTGCACGTAATTTAACCACATTATTTGCCTTCTTTGGTAGGTTAATTGTCACAATCAAACCTTGATTGGCATACTTTGATATTCACACATTTTCTGTCAACACAAGTAAATCAATTTGCGCAATATAATTGAATTTTAATTTTGGGTTTAATCAATATTCATTTTTGCTACTGTTGCTCGCTTAGTTTCACAATAAAACCAGTTTTGGTTTCTGTCCATTTTGCTTATCGGTGCTTTTCAACTCTTTACCGCTTTTTGGTATCTCCTTCTCACCGAGTAATGTGTTATGTTTCAATTTGTTGATTAATACAGTTGCTTAATTTACCATTACCTTTGTCTACCTTATATCATATCTGACCTTGGCTCAACTCTTTTAATACTATTGATCACTTAATCACAACATTTTCCTGTTTTATTACAGCAAAAATGAAGCCAGATATTATTTACTTCAATCAAATTCAACTTGAGTCAGATTTTTTTCATGTTAAAGCATTTATTTGTTTACTAGTGAATTATAATGGACAATTTCTTGCTTTGAATTTCCCAGATTTTATTGTTTTCACCCAAACCAGAGTCTAAACCCAAAGAGTTGAAATGTTGCACAAATTGAAATTTACATCAATAGTAATCATTGAAGCTTTGAGCTGATTTACTAATCATTTGACTTCTTTTTTACAGGACAAGTTGTTTCCTCTGAAATTTTAATGGCCAGTGAATCTGGTTGTCCAATTGAAATGAGTAAAATTAAAATTGAAAGATGTGATGAAATGTACGATCGAGACTGTAAAGGTGGACGTTACATGCCGTTCCATAGAGCAATGTACGACTCAAGAACCGGACAGTCACCAAATCTACCTCGAGAACAAGTAAGAAAAGCTAAATTAAATCACATTTAGGGAAAAGAAGGCGACTTTGTAACAATCTAAACACTCTTACCAGACACTTTAATTGTGTATGATTTTGCATAGCTTTACAAACCTTTGATTATTCACAGTCAACCATCAAACACATTCATCAGATTGAATCATTTACTTACAACCAATTGTTACCAGAAAGTACAATGAAACAACAATAACCAGAAATACCGAAAAGCCCTTAACCTTATAGACTAACAAACTCTCTACCAATTTTTAAACCATTTGATGGTCAACAATTGTAGGTTTTTCATTTCACACCAAGTTACTACTGGGTAAAGGCTTTTGTTTTCATTCAACAATAAACCGTTGAGAAGTTCACAAATTGAAAATAGGAAGAAGAAGAAAGCAAAAAAATTGAAAACAATTTGGTAACAATTTAAAATTCTTGACCATTATACCCATTAAATGTGAAAAAATTTTCATTTACTTTACGGGTTATTCCCTGGTAATTCATTTTTGCCGTTATTAAAGGTTGTTGTTACCTGATTTTGTTATTAACATTCAGTATTGATAATATCTTCACTACAAATATAGTCACAAAAGGTACACAGAGTTATTTTGGTATTTACAATTTTCATTTCAACTAAATTGTTGACTTGAAGGTTAATATACATTAATGGGTCCATGGTAATCCCATCAATTCCCATTAATCAATCCAATCTTTTGTTACTTTCTCATTCCTTTACACTTAACCAGAGTTTATCCTTCCTCCTTCCATGTTAATCATCGCACTGATCAACATAATCAACCCAATCATCCTCATCAACATTGAAAACATTGTTTCTGTTGATCTAACATCTTTACCTTTCCTCTTAACTGTTAATCATCTGACTCCTATGATGGATAATGTTTGATTAGTATTGATAGTAATTTCAATTGTTGACCTTGATAGGTAAACAATTAAACTTCGCACAATTTAATTTCACCATTTATCCAAATTTGTTTTTGAGATTAGCTTTTCATTAAAACATTTTATATTCAGTGAGTATTACATTCATGAGATGAAAAAATCATTCACAGTTTTTTAATTCAATTTGAATCCAATCTTATTAAGGTTAGGATTATTGAATTTTCAAATATAACTTACATATTTGTATGTAAATCATTGTCAGTTTGATCATTGTTGATTGTTGTTAATAAACGATCAATCATTTAAGATTTGTGTTCGTCCAATTAAATAGATTTACAATTAACTATTCAATAATCATGATGATTTGTTTGATATTGAAGGAAATAAAATATTAACCTTTTTTGTACCGTTCATTGAAGGCCAATATCAGTATAACAATTTATCTTTATGAGTAAATGAACCCAACTTTGATACAAAAATCTTAAATTGTTTTCCCAATTTTACAATTTGTAAAGCTATGATTAATGATCATGGGAAGTTGCATGAAAATCCAGATTCACTTGGAATTTCCTTTTCTCATGATTGTTATATTCAAATATTGTTTCCAATAATATTTCATTTCAACGGAAAGAAGCAACAATCTGAAGCCTTGATACCTTGCTATTGATAGTTGATTGTCATTTATAAACTTGAATCATTTCAGTAAAATGGTGTAAAATAATAGCAACAAAAGCAAAGTATCAATCTGGTTAAATCACAATAATTTTGGGTTCAATCTTAAGGCTATTATTTGTCAATATAATGCATTATCTAATGTTCCCAGTGTTTAATTGTGGTTGTTTATTATTGGTATTACTATTAAAATTGACAATGAACGATTGTGAATAATGTAATCATCGTATTGACTGTTAGTGTAATTGTTCAAACAAAACCTGAATAGAGGAAAAGGAAGAAATTTTAATGTTGAAAGTGTTTCTTGATTAGGTTATTTGTTTGTTGCTTTTCAAGTAAATTGATTAAAGGCAATTTAATGTAATATAAAAGAGTATGATCTTTCAACAATAAAGGTAAATTGTTATTGTATCAAGTACTTCATCTGAAAGAGTTCCGTTTGTGATTAACAATTTGTGTGTAAATGGGATTGAGCAAAGGTTTTGTATTGTTCATGGTCAGTAGTGATATTAAATTGACTGTTAACAGTTCAGTTTGTATGATCGGTAAACAGACAAAATCTGGTAAAAATCTGGTAATCATTTGTTTTAAACCAGTTTATTGAAATTTTAAGATTGAGTGAGACTCAACCAGAAATAATAATCACCTAAGATTTAAGACTATTTGAAGGTTTTGATTTGCATTTTGGTTAAATCACAATTTACATTCAAATTGGTAAAGGTAAAGATTGACCCAAAACAATAGCCAATTGGCCAAGATTTAGATTCCTTGTAATGAGTAAAGATTTGCTTCCTAAAATTAAGTTGATTTAGTAATTTTCAATCTTTGATCATCTTTTGGTTTGTCCGAAACAATTTACCAACCTTTATTGATTCAATGGCGCCTTCAATCAATCGGCACAGTTTTTGATTGAATTAGGATTAGTTAAATTGCTGTGGTATTTACATTTTAAATTTTTGATTGCCTTGTAACTCTCGTAACCTTTATATTGATTGAAGCTTTTCTATGCAAAAATAATTGTTCTTGTTAGATTGAATCATCCTTCTGATTAACAATGATTTAAGATTGTTAACTGTAGACAAATCAACTTGAGAAAATACCACAATCGAAGGATATTTAACTTATGAAAGGTATATTCAATTGAATTACTGGATCATCGTATATTCTGAGAAAGATTGAGCTTTTTTTTGCTTCTGATTTCATATTCTTTTATTGCAACCTTTTACTGTTATGATTACAATTACAATTACAATTATCATTATTATTTACCATGTACAAGGCTTTGAGAATTTCCTGTTTCAAGGTTTTATTAGTTTTTACTTTATCAAGTTAAGGTCATTGGATTGAAAAGATCAAGAGATGGAGAAGAAAAAATTGAGATGATGAAGGGAGGAGAAAGACAGAGTATTAAGAAGGGAAAGAGTTATGGTAAACATGATTTAGTGTGGGATTGATTTAAGTTTAATTTAGAACTAAATTCACCCAAATATTTCATCAGATCTTTTTAATCCACATTTAGATTCACACACATAACAAGGTATTGAAATATTAACTGACAGCCGTTAATCGCCTTAATCTTTATCCTTATCCAAGAACAACAATAGCATTGGGTGAATTGAATTTTAGTTGAAAGGTTGAGATGATTGGCTGTGTTGATGTAAGTCAATTGATTTACATTGAAACAGGACAATTGATTGACTATTCAAATACAATTAAAAGATCCGTTATTGTTTAACACGACAAGGACACCAATTTGTAAAACATGAATACAACATGTAACTAAACATTGGGTAACAAAGCAGTACCATTACTTATTATTTTATTTGCTTTAATGATACTTAAGCAAGTTTAATTAAACCAAGAAAAGAGAGTATCACAGTTGAGTAATTAAAATCCACAATTGGTCAGTGATGATTAACTTTTAAGTGTTGAATAACGTCAACAATTAACATTAGATTTTTCTCCTTCTTATTGAAAGTTTCATTGTTTACAATGCATATTTTAGGGGGTGGTTGACTAATTGATAATTTCATTCTTGATTATGAAAATTTTTAAAATGGTTTTGCACAATTTCAAGTAAATCATTAAATTTTTCATCTAATTTCAGGCCAAGGTTGAATCGATAAAAAATTAACGATTATTGAGCATCCTGAAGCTATTAAATATGCTGTTAGTTTTCAATAATTTTAGTCAGCCATTTGATTGATTTAATTTGATAAATTTATTGATATAGCCGTTAACATTTTCTGTTAACTATTATATCTAATATTGATTAAGATGAAAACCATCATGCTAATCATCACCATAACCATTATTCAACAATTGATTGGTTTTAATCAAACATCAGATTCACAAATTATGCAAATTGAAACACAAAAGGCATTAAGCTTGAAAACGGCGTTAACAGCCGTTGATGATTCTGTCATGATTCATAAGTCGTTTGGTTACATAAGATTGTTATTTTTTTATCGCTTTTCCCTCCTTTTTTGGTTAAATATGTTGATGTTTATTAATATTTTTTTTTCTCAATGTATTTTGTCTATTTTAGATCAATCTCGTCACAAGTTGGATCGATGGAAGTTTTGTGTATTCAACTTCAGAGACATGGTTAAACACCATGAGATCCTTTAAAAATGGTTCACTTAAAAGTGACGAGTCCAACATGTTTCCACCTCGTAATAGGGAAAGAGCTCCTTTACATAATTCACCACCAGCTCACCATATTAAAATGATTTCACCAGAAAGAATGTTTCGTAAGTAATTAAGATCAAACCAACCTTGACTACCTCCAATTAATAAAGCCATGTTAATGAGAATCTTTTGTTAATTTTTGCTCCACTAAAGCTTCACCCTAGAAAATGTAGACTTTTTGCAGTTTTTTTCATCAATCTATCAATTTGTACTTTCTCTTTATGTTCCTTTCCCCATTGAAAACTAGTTTTATCCACCAAAAAAATTCAACGTGAATCTGAATAACCCAGAAAAATACCCATTTAGTAAAAAACAACAACCATTGCTCTTTCTCTTTGTAATCTCCACTTTTTTTTCTTTTTCTCAGTTTCAAATGAAATCTCACGCTAATCCAATAAATTTCTGTGTTTACTCAGTTTTACTAATTATTGTCTCACCCTTTTTTAATTACAGTTCTGGGTGATCCCCGATCAAATCAAAATCCAGCCTTATTGGCATTTGGATTATTATTTTTTCGTTGGCACAATACATTGGCTCAACGGATTCAAGCTGAATATCCTCATTGGTCGGATGAAGATATTTTTCAAAGGGCCAGGCGCCTTGTAATTGCTAGTCTTCAGGTAATTATCTAACAATGTAAAAATCCATAAATGTTGATTCCAACAATTTATCATCGAGTGTTTCACCATATTAAGATCATTATTAAGTCCTTTTGCTAATTTAAATTTGTTTTTCTTGCAGAATATTATTTTATATGAATATTTGCCAACCTTGTTGGGTTCAGATGAACAAATTGCTCCATATACTGGTTATAAACCCGATATTCACCCGGGTGTTAGTCATGCATTCCAGTCAGCCGCATTTCGTTTCGGCCACACAATGATTCCTCCTGGTCTTTATCGAAGGTATCACGTGAATCATGATTGCAATCTGCAAAGCTGATCGTCATTGTGACAGGTTAATATGTAATATAATGGTTAAGATGACTTATTTCCAATTTTAGCTGTTTGCCTCACTTTCACTTTCATTTCAAACACATTCTGAACCGAACAATCGTAGGCTGCCTTGTGTATTATAATCATCGTAATTATTATCACCATTATCAGAAGCTGTATAATTTACCTTGATAACATAATAATAACTTATCAAGTGAACACAGGGCTGAACGAAAAGTTCAAATTACAATTTAATAGATTTGCAAATCAAATTTTCTAGTCTCGTTAATCTGAAATATTGTTTTCACTATTAAGCTGTAACTTTTTTATATCTCAATTTAGGAACATTGACTTGTCAAATATTTCTACTTGATTAGTTTTCCTTTAATTATATGTATTCATATTTTCAGAATTTTAAATCAACATTGTTAATTTTTGTTCTAGGATTGAATCAAATTGCATGTTAAACAGTCAAAATGCTCGCTAAATAACTTGATTATTAGTATAATTAACCACAAGATAAACACCTAAACACTTGAAGTTTACAGACTGACAAGTTGTAATTAGTTGAACAATTGATACAAAACACTGATTCTATTATTTTATATCAACAATTATGAAGATAATGAGTGACAAATTAAAATTAATTAGAAGTTTTTCTGACAATTGAGCAGCAAAGTGAACAATTTAAACAATTTGAAGCCTTTTTTCGGTTCCATTTTTTACTATTTAGCTTGATGAGTTGATTTGATTTTTAAATGATTTATCCTGTTTCCAAATCAAATGTTGACTCGTTTTTCAGTTCAATTTTCAGCTAATAATCTCAATCTGTCAATGATGAAGATAATAATGAAACACCTTGAATTGATATTTGGTTAGACTAATACAATCAAAATATCTCACCAAAAGTCAAATCAAACAACAATTTCGTTATAACCTTTTCAATGATCAAATTATTGCTGATTTAGCAACGCCTTGTATTAAATAATGTTTAACAACCCTTTAAAACTGCAACCTTGATTGACCCATGTAATCAACCAAAGATTGTTGATTGTAAATTCAACAGATCAAGTCAATTCCTTTAATACAAAAGCAAGCAAGTCCTGATAGACAAGTACAATTATACAATGAAATAATTATTTGTTGGTAATAGTTTTAAATTGTAATCAAACACTAATCAAATTGCTCAGACTTCAGAAATGTATCAAAAAAATCTCAAGCAGCGTTCAATGAATCTAAATCCAGGTTTAAAATTAATAAACCTTTATTAAATACTCTTATCAAAATTTATCATTTTTAAGTGAATTACTTGAGGCTAGCTTTTAAATTACACAATTATATCACATCTATTATAACCATTAATCATTCCTTGTTAATTGTGATGATTTAATGTGGAGAAAATTTTTAAAAATCTGAAAATTTTACTCCATAAAATGGGTTCAAAGCGATTTTTATCAACTTAAAATTTACTTACCTTCCATCCATTGTATTACTTTAACCTTGTCAATTATGATGATATCAGTCCAATTTAATCAAATTATACTGTTTACTAATTGTATTGTAATTGTCTTTAATCAATAGAGATGCTCAATGTAACTTCATAAAAACTCGCCATGGTCATAATGGTATACGTTTGTGCTCCACTTGGTGGGGCTCTGAGGTAAGCATAAATTTAAACAATTTGCATGATTGTGAACCTAACAATCATATATTCATACTCTGTTTCATGTCATTATGGTCAGTAATATAATTAAAAACAATTGATAAAATCTGTTGAAAAAATCAAACTGAATAAATATAAACCTGGAACCTATGAAGTCTTGAACCTCTGTAATTACAATGGTAAAATTGGACTTTCGTATGTTAGGATAATTTGTTTCCCACATTATATTACTGATTGTATTGATATGGTTCTTAATTTTGTTTGCAAATTTACTAATTTTATTCACTTTTTCTTGTTATTAGGAAGTGATACCAGAAACAGGATTGGAAGAGTTATTAATGGGTCTTTCATCTCAAATTGCTGAACGAGAAGATTCAATTTTATGTTCAGACGTCCGTGGTGAGTGAATCCAGCAAAAATTATAATCAACTTTATCTATTTAATGTTAACATTATTGTTAACTTAAATACAACCTTGATCATAATCAAAAATTATATCTGTTTACCTTGACACACTCAACGTTGACTCGTTATTTGCTGTTGTTGCTATTGCCGTCGCTGTTGCCTGTTTTTTGCTGTTGTTGCTTGAGCTTCAAATTTTCACTTGTGTACATTTTCATTTTTTGGTATTACGCACTTTAAACTAGCAAAATATAAAAATACCAGTTGATTGTTGGTTAAAGGTAATAAGAAGAGGAAAAGTAACTATCGTAATGAGCACAGCTCATTTGGAGAGAAACTAATTTTATCCAATTCACGTTACTATCAGTGTAGTCAACATGAGGTCAAGGGTAATCACCATCATTCAGAAAGATTCATAAGGAGGCAATTTGCTTGTTGAGCTCTTGTCCAATCGTGTAAATCATCATCAAACATGATCAACATTATCATGATCAATACAATCAACACCTCCATCCAAGATCCTTTGCTGTCTCACGGTCATTTACATTTCATTATTACCATCCCAATATCATTCATTTTAATATCTTAAAACGTCATCTTCCTTCCTCACTGATTGTGAATGCGGGATGATCAACAATCATTTTCGTTGTTTAATTAACATGTTAATTAAATCAATTGTCCTGTGTTGATAGTTAGTTTAATAGCCATTTCAATGTTTAACCTTTCAAACATCCATTTCATCATTATTACCTATTTCAATGCATTTTGCTGCTTCTCTTTGATTTCAAACACAATCCCTTTAGATTTGCGAGCAACTATTCTATAACATGTTTAACATTTTATATTATATCAACATGTTATCCCTGTTGATTGTTGATTAACTTGAAAAAGATAGGAAACATTATGTTAATTCAACTGTTAACATAACTGAACCATCTTCTAGTTGATAAACACAATGTTACATGTTTTTGCTATTAACTTGGCGCTCTTACGTTCAGCTTTTTACGCATTTTGTTCAATGGCAAAACTCATAACTATATTATTATTATCATTTTAATTCTTGGTTCAACCAAGGTTATCAAGTGTTAATTATTGTTAAATTAGTGTTTTTAATTTGATCTTTAATTTTTACAAATTAATGTGTGCTTGTAAACACAGCAACGTAATATGAAAATGTCCAACAACTCAACTTATAATCTTAATCCAATTTTAAGCTTTATCATTCTTTTAATTCCATGGGAATTTATAAACTGTTTAATATTCATTCCTCGTCATTAATTCCTAAGCTCATTAGATAATGATTGTCATTGTTCAATTGAACAAAGCTACCAGTTGTAATGTATTAGGTTGCTCAAAAAGCTCTGCACGAAAATTGCATTTCAAAAAAATCTAAAGCTAAATTAAAGCTATTTAGCTAATGAAACGACCACAAATAGCTTTAGCTCATAGCTTCTCACAAAAAGGTAGATAATCCAAAAATTCATTTCATAGCATGTTCAGACTCTTAGGCCTTCGATACTACTTCGTTTCTCGCCTTTTCAGCCCGAAATGAGATTCTTCTTTGATCCATATTTGATTTTTGATCTTATTTGGCCAATCTAATACATTAGCGGCAATAGACCTAAAGCTTGTTGATTAAATTGTTTGGTGATCTTCAAAAGCTAAGCAAAACAAGCTAATCAAAGGCTCTAGTTAGATAATTGAAGGAACCCTTCTATTGACGTTTAACCCAAAGGCTTCCATAGACTGTTAACCCTGAACAGTCAATATTTTTCCTTGCCAATTCAGTTTTAATTGTATTCATGTTTAATACAATTAATATGGCAACATGTTAATGTCAAGTACACCTACTCATTGACTTAATTATTGATTGAATTGCCTCGTAGTCAGACTTGCGGCAATTCAAATTTTTGTTGTGAAATTTTTAGCAAAATTTTCATTATTGCTAGCCTTTTGTTTACTAATTAATGGTTAATTAAGACACCTTAATTTAAATCTTGAACATATGGTAAAGTACAAAATGGATTTACCTCTATCAAGGTTTTTTACCCAATTAGCCGTGTTTTTGTTAGCATTTTAATTTCCGTTGAATCGTTACCTTTATTTCAAGCAATAGCAATCTGTCATATTTGTATCAATTATTAACAATGCTAATAATTTGCTAATTGTTGTCTCTGTTTTTAAGATCACATTTAAACTTGAATTGAAGGTTTATTGATTACAATTTCATCTCAACTGTTCAATACTGAAGGACAGTTTAACCAAGGAAAGGTTGACAATTTGGTTCAATGAAAGGTCAATCAATTATGTCTGTTCTCATCACCTTTAATAGTCTGATTAAATAACTACCAACTAGACTTAACCCAAACAATTAACTGATTTACAAATGAAAATCAAGAGCTTGGTAAATGATTGATTAATGTAAATAGATGTTGAAGCCGTGAGCATTTTAATTCTGTTATTATGTTGATTAGAAATTATTGATTGATTTTCTGATTTCTCTTGGAAATTAATCTTCCCTTAAATGAGAAAACCTAAATTGCTATTTTAATCGTTTAACCATTGTAATCAATTAGGTTATTAACCAAACAAGTTTCAGCTAAGCTTAATTGTTATCCAAAGATACTCAATCAAGTCAAGTTAATATTGAAAAACTGTTGATTTGTAAGGCAAACCTATTAATAGCAAATCAACTGACATTATTTGTTCAAATGATAGATGTTTTTATTCATATTTAGATTGAATCCAAGATTTTTGGTTAACCAGAAATTATCTAAATCTGGTTTAACCTACCGATTGGTTGAACGTTTAGGGTAAATTGTATTAACCATTAACTTGTGAGACCTAATCAAGTTAATTGAATGTTTTTTGTTTTAATTGTTAATGTTGCTTTTTGTAATTCAATTTCCCTTTCCATTTTGTTGCATTCAAATTGCCTTAAGGATAACAATTGAAGATCGACCTAAATCAAGTTAACCAGCAAATCAGGTTATTTTGAAAACATTGATATCTTCAACAATATTGACATAAATCATCAATACTTTTGATCAACCTTTCCGATTGAAATTAACTTCCAATTGTTTGATAAATATTGTCTTAAAAAATTGTCTTTTCACTGATTATTGCAACTCAATCTTCAGACTAATTCAGTCCTGACTTTTATGTTAATCCAATAATAATCATGCCGTGAAGGATCTAAAATTGAAACTGAAAATTGTCTAAACCTTGAAATTTTCATTTCTTGTTCATAATCTTCTCTTTCTTTTCTTTCTTTTCTCTCATCATCGTCTTCCAATTTTAAACCTTGACCTGAGCTTGAAAAATTACTAAAAAACCAAAAGCTGAATGCTGTTTGATGTAATCTAATAAAGATTACATCGTTTCAAGCTCTTCCCTGAGACATGAATTAAATATATATTTATACTAACCATGACATTAAATGCTTGGCTTAATTGTCCTCGATAATTACAATTAATAAGCCATCAATTGCAAAAATTTTGGGTAAAAATTAAAACAAACAAAAAAGGTACAAAAAAATTGATGAATTATGAAGCCTTGAAGTTAGCCAGTGAAACCCATAAAACCATTATTACGATGGACTGTATTTAGTAATTTGATTAACTATCTAGGGAAGAGTAAAGCTATTTAAATTAACTAAAATTAATCAACCAATTAACCGATTGTCCTTCACCAATTGAATGGTGAATATCATTAATCAAATGGATCAGTCGATGGTGTTCATTGTTGATTGTTATCCAAATGTTTCCCATACAATTGAAGTTACCCAAAGTTAACCAATACTTTCAATACCAATGGTTAAAATGGGTGAAATGTTGAACTGATTTTATATTTCAAATTACCTAAAACATTGTTTATTGTGCTTAATCAATGAGTCCATTAAATTGACTTATTGTTACTATTAACTGATTATTGGTTAAGCTTTTCACTCTCTCTTTCATTAACTTTGCTTCAATGTCAAGTGATTAACTAAATATATAAATAGTTAATCACGTTTAACTGTTGCTATTGTAGGAGTTGAAGGAGTTACCCAAAAAAAATTAGAGTAAAGAGTTAGGCTTAAAGGGGTTTATTAATTGTTTCCGATTATGATTTGCTTCAATAGATTTTCACTGAAAAATGATAAATTGTCTCATAAAATAGTCATGTAATCTAATTGTCAGTAAATTTCCGTTTCAATGCAACTCCGAGTTTAACCCGGAACTTTGCTGTTTCAATGTAAACATTTTCAGAAAGTGTAACATTTGAAATTGAAATCATCCAATGATTTTAATGTCACATGAATCAGAAATTTATTTTTGTTATTATTTAGTATTTTCAAAGTTAATTGTTGATTGAATTTTAAATTTTCACCTTTTGTTTGTTATAATAGCAATTTTTGGTTGATGGTAATTGACTGAATTGTACAAGAAATGTATTCATTTATTTGGTTAACTTAAAGACTTGTTGCCCTTGCATTAAATTGTACAATTAACTGTTCCTCTCAGTTGAAGTATTAATATAAAAAAATCTCATTTTCCTTTCCAATTGGAATCAACCTTCGATTGAAATCAATCAAATTGTGAAGAATTGCGAAGCTAAAAAAAGTGCACATTAAATTGAACAAACTGGGACCTTCGATTGATTCAGTAATTTGTATTACCCTTGTTAACTGTTCACGATTAGTTGAATGCACAGAGAGAGACAATTAATCGAAGTGTTCATTGAAATCACTTCATAAACTTCCCATGTTTAATAATAATGATATTTTTATTAGCAGTAACTTGAGCTGAACAAATTGCTACAAGCAATTCATGATTTACCAGTTTGTTGTTTTGTATCAACAGATTCTGTATCATTAATCACATTTTTTTAATTAGGAAGGTTGAGCTTTAAATTGAAAATTTGGGTTGAATATACTTTTAGTAAATATTGTTTGATTTAAAACAATGAAAAGGTTGATTGTTACTAGCTTCATAGACTCACATTTTATTCCTGTTTTTACAATCAACATTTGAAATCAGCTGTAATGATTGCCGGTCATGGACAGACTCATTATTATTACCTTCACACAAATTTCAACTCATTTCAAAGCTTTGATAACAACAACAGCAATTAATTAGTCAACAAATGTGCAACAATTTGTTTAATTAGAGACTCCATTTGGTCTCTATACAGTTATGTAATTTCAATTGTAAATTTCAATGGAGGCTTTTTTGTTTCTGGTTAACCAAACAAATTTAATGGTAGCTTGGGTTTTCATTGTATTTTAAATTGTAGACTAATCCATTGTTTTCATTTATTCACTTTTAGATAAATTGTTTGGCCCATTGGATTTTAGTCGACGTGATTTAGCTGCTTTAAACATAATGAGAGGTCGAGATAATGGTCTACCTGATTACAATACAGTGCGGAAAGTATTTGGTTTACCTAAATTAAATTGGACTGAAATTAATCCAGTCTTTTCAGCCAATAATCCTGATGTAATTAAACGATTATATGATCTTTATAATGGCGATGTTGATAATATTGATCTTTATGTTGGTGGAATGTTGGAAACCAATCCAACTGAAGGTAGACCAGGTCCAGTGTTTAGACGGATAATTAAGGAACAATTTGAACGTATTCGTGATGCTGATCGATTTTGGTTTGAAAATGAAGCTAATGGCATATTTTCAATTGATGAGATTGAAGAGATTCGTAAAATCAGGTTATGGGATATACTGGTCAATGCAACCGGAATACCGGCAAATGCGGTTCAAAAGGAGTTATTCCGATTCCAGGAGGGTGATCCATGTCCACAACCTGGACAATTAAACAGCAGCCAATTGGAACCCTGTATTATACTCAAAGGATGGGATTATTTCCATGGAAGTGAACTTCCATACATTTTTGTCATCCTTCTTCTCATCTTTATACCAACAGGTAAAAAAACATCAACAGTTGGTCAACTAAACATTTCCAGACTGCATATTGATTGATTATCATCACCTTTAAATCAATCTATTTTCATCATTTTCAAGTCATTTCATTATCTTTCCATTTTTTTGCCATTATCATCATCTTAACCCAAATTTGATTGTCTCGATGAAATTGTTATTTCTCATTATCATTCTCATGGACTTGAACAATGTCCTCCAAAGGCTACGTAAACTTAACAATTGAGAAGTTTTCCTCAATCAAGATTATTATAAAAATTTAAGCTTGCGCTTTCATTTGTTGTTTTATTGCGTGTGTTATCCTTACGATGATGATGATGGTAAAAGATGATGTTTAATGAGATTTAAAAATAATATTAAATGTTGTACTCATTTTAAACTCAAGGGTGAACAGTTATTACCTGCCAATGTCCATCAATATGTAAACCAGATGAGGTTGTAGACTACAATAGTCAATTACATTTTGATTAGAAACAGTCAAAGAAATAATTAATCTTGTTACATGAAAATAACATTGAGAGACAATAATTGTTTTATTGTATTTTTATAATATAATAATGAAATTAATAAGCTCCCTTATTAGCTCTGTTTCAACATTAATTAACATTTGATTATTGAATTGTCATCTTACCTACGTCATCCTATCATTTACGTAATTTTTAGATATTCAATTGTTAATGCAAATTAACAATTCTCAATGTGATTAACCCCCAAAAAAAGAAGCAATTTTAGGTTTTTTACTCTTTTTTTGTCAATCTCAACCATTAACATAAAGGCTTACAAAATCTGTACCTGACAATACAATAATCAAGGTGATTTCAGAGTAAATGTCTTTTGTATTAATAATTGACTCTAATCATGTTGTAATCTTTGACTACCTGCTTCACTGATTTAATTTTAAGAAACAAATGGTTATGTAAATTTGCAAATTGTCCTTGACAGTTTGACATAGCAGTTTATCCGTATTTAGCTTCATCTTGATTTTCATTATTTACTAATTGTATCCTAATTTTATTGCAGTTGTTGCCCTTGTTGGTTATGGAGTAATCAAATTACAAAATCGTCGTCGCCGTCGATTCAAAGCAAGACAAGAAATGTCTGATGGTAAAGAGTATGACAAACTATGTAAGTAAATGATTGCATATCAATCGATTGATAATGTTTACTAATTTCACTTTATTTTATCTTTAATAGATGTTCGTGAATGGCTTCACCAGAATCATAAACGTTATGTTAAAGTAAAGATTGGTCCTGATGAATCATTGTCTACGGTTAATCGTAAAGGTGAAACATTGCGTCGTATTGATTTCATCAATGTTAACTCACTGATTGTTGAGGTAACCCAAGACTCGGCTAAACCAATGGTTTTGATCCGTTCAACTCGGGATCATGATTTGGTTTTACAGTTTAATAATTTAAGTGAACGTAAACGTTTCTTATCTAAATTGGAAAGCTTCTTATTGAATCGTAAAAAGACTCTGGAAATAATTCATACTTATCGGGATATTATGTTGGCCAATGCTGAAACCAAAGAGAAACGTCAGAAACGTTTGGAGCACTTTTTCCGTGAAGCTTATGCTTTAACCTTTGGCTTGAAGCCGGGTGAAAAGCGTAAACTAGATTCAGTTTCAAATGATGTTATCATGGTTATGAGAACTAGTTTGTCTAAAAATGAATTTGCTGAGGCATTAGGAATGAAATCAGACTCATTGTTTGTCAAGCAAATGTTTAATTGTGTTGATAAAGATAAAGATGGTCGCATATCTTTTCAAGAATTTCTTGATACTGTTGTCCTCTTTTCACGGGGTAAAACAGAGGATAAGGTACGCATTATATTTGACATGTGTGACCATGATGGTAATGGGCTTATCGACAAGGTGGAACTGACCAAAATGATGACTTCTCTTGTTGACATCGCAAAAACCAATTCACTTAGTGAACCTCAAGTTTTGGAATTGATTCAAGGCATGTTTGCTGCATCTGGATTACAGGATAAAGAAGAGTTAAATTATGATGATTTCAAGACAATGATGAAGGAGTATAAAGGTGATTTCATTGCAATTGGATTAGATTGTAAAGGTGCCAAACAAAATTTTCTTGACACATCTACCAACATTGCTAGAATGACCAGTTTCCAGATAAGTTCACCTCCAGAAGCTGATCCTTCTTGGGCCAAGAAAAAGTGGAACTCTTTGATTACTTATTTAGAAGAGAATCGTCAACACATCATTTATCTTATCATGTTTTACGTGATTACGTTCACTTTGTTTTTTGAACGCTACTTTAGCTATTCCTATTTAACTGAACACACTGATCTTCGCCATATCATGGGAGCCGGAATTGCCATAACTAGAGGTTCTGCTGCTGCTTTATCATTCTGTTATTCACTTTTATTGTTGACCATGTGTCGAAATTTAATCACAAAAGTTCGAGAATACGCTATACAACAATATATACCATTAGATTCACATGTTCAATTTCATAAACTTGTTGCCATGACTGGACTTTTCTTTACCCTTGTCCATACCATTGGACATTGTGTCAATTTTTACCACATTTCAACCCAGCCATTGGAACATTTAAGATGTTTAACCAAGGAAATGCATTTCGACTCAGATTCTAAGCCCAACTTTTCATTCTGGATCTTTGGTACTGTTACCGGTATTACTGGTATCATTTTGTTTACCATTGTCATGATCATTTACATCTTTGCCTATCCAAAAATTAGACAAAAGGCTTACAGTTACTTTTGGATAACTCACAGTCTTTACATCTTTCTTTATGGACTATCATTATTACATGGACTTGCTAAATTAACTGGAGTAAGTTTAATCTATTAGATTTATAATAATCAATGTTTTACAAATGCTAAATTACCTTTCTTTTATTTTGTTTCATTTCACTTAGACACCAAGATTCTGGGCATTTTTCATTATACCAGCAGTTTTGTTTACCTTGGATAAAATAATCAGCCTTCAAACTAAATATATGGAACTCGATATTTTAGAGACTGAACTTTTACCATCAGATGTGACCAAAGTCAAATTCAGTCGACCTCCCAACTTTAAATACTTATCAGGTCAATGGGTCCGTCTTTGTTGTACCGCATTCAAATCAAACGAATACCATTCGTTGACTTTAACTTCTGCCCCTCATGAAAATTATCTGTCAGTTCATGTAAAAGCTCATGGACCTTGGACCTGGAAGCTTCGAGGTTTCTTTGATCCGTCAAATTATTCGCCCAATGCACCAACACCTAAAATAAAGTTAGAAGGTCCATTTGGTGGAGGAAATCAAGATTGGTACAAACATGAGATTGCAATTATGGTTGGTGGTGGAATAGGAGTTACTCCATATGCATCCATTCTCAACGACTTGGTCTTTGGTACTTCTACCAATCGTTACAGTGGTGTTGCTTGTAAAAAGGTTTACTTCCTTTGGATTTGTGCCTCACATCGACATTTTGAATGGTTCATCGATGTTCTTCGTGATGTTGAATCGAAAGATGTTACCAATGTTCTTGAAGTGCACATATTTATTACACAATTTTTCCATAAATTTGATCTTCGGACAACAATGTTGGTACGTATAACTACTCAATCGATCTGCAAGGCAACTCAGTTTATTAATTTTTATTAATTTCCTCTATTTCAGTATATTTGTGAAAATCATTTCCAAAGAATTTCAAACCGAAGTATGTTTACTGGATTAAAAGCAGTTAATCACTTTGGTAGGCCTGATATGAATGCTTTCCTTAAATTCATTCGCAAACAACATGCATATGTAAGTTATTCACTTGCTCTATTCAATCTCAATTTATTTTCATTTTTATTAATCCATCTTTTTTATCCTCACAGGTCAGTAAAGTCGGAGTTTTCAGCTGTGGTCCGACAGCTTTAACCAAAACAATCAGCAAAGCTTGCGAAGCAGTCAACAAACAACGAAAATTACCATACTTTTTACATCAATTTGAAAATTTCTAGGCTTTTCTCAATTTTTAACAAAATTATCATTTTTTTACCTTTCATAATCAGCTGTCATTACAATATTTATTCATAATTAACTCTATTTCTGAAGTTCTGTTGGTTTAATTATTAACATTGATAATTAACTTCAGAGTCAATGAAATGTGACTGATCGTGCCATCAGTAAACTCAATTTTTGCATTCACTTAGTTTTCAATTGCTTTTTCTTCATTTCTCGTCCTTTTTTTACAAATAACTTTGTTTTATCTGATACAAGTTGTACTTATTCATTACAATGATCAGAATTTAGTGATAAATCGATGATACAATTTTTTTATTCAACTTCACTATAATCAACTGATTCGATCTGAGTTTATTCTTATTTTCCTCTTCTTTACTAAATTTTAAGATAAAACAAAATTACTTTATTTCTAGACCAATTGATTTGACGCTGTTTCATCAATCTTGTAATATACTTTGTATAGCAAATCATCTCAACTTTTCTATTGTGATTATCTTGTTGTAAATTAACTTTTCTTCCTTGTTGATTGATTATTTTGAAGGTAAATTTTTGTAACACTCGACTTCACCTTGATCCCATTGAATCAATAAAAATAAACTTTTTTTATACAAAAAAATTGTCCCTCCTGTAATAGTAAACTTGATCATTTCAATGTTAATTTTGATTTACATCATATTCACGTTTCATTTCACAGATTATGCAAATTTGCGTGTAATTATTATTTCAAGTAGAAAATTCAAAGTGCAGTTGGAAACTGATTTAAGTTCACGATTGATTATCCAATCTAAACTGTCTATCAATAGTAATGTTCACTATTTTCAGGTTTTGATAAGTTTATCATTAACGCTTGAATACTTTCTATCCAGAATTATAATAACAACAATAAAAGCCATTGTAAGGGGAACATGAAAAATATTGTAAAATTCATTTTCCAAGATGAAAAAAACAAAATCTGAATCAAGTACAGTAAATAACAATATCAGTGTGAGAATGTTGTTAATATTGAATACAAACTGGCTAATTGTTTGATGAATGTAGATGTATTGAAATACGGTTTACTTTACCTTCTTTCCTTAACTTGACAGTATTTTTCTTGTCTCCAGGTTAACCAAGTTTATCATCCAATAACCCATCAACCTGATTGTTAACATTTTGGCTTTTACATTGGACATCGTATAAAAAACTAGTTAACCTTGTCGATTGAGTTGTCTCTATCGGCTTTTGCTTTTCCTTTCACTCCTCAAAGCAGACAAGCAAGAAACAATCTGGTTGTCTAGCCATTTTCACCATTTTTAAAAAAAAACTAATTCATTTAGAGAAGTAATCATTTTTCATTCCTCAAAATATTCACCTGTATTTTGTTCAATTACAACTCGTTTTTTGGCAAAAAAGAGCCCTCTATTGACAGAGACGATTAAATGGGAAAAAACCAATTTTAACGCGTTTGCAAAAATCATCGAAGCTGCAAGTTGGTACAAAGTAGTCGGTGACAAGCCACTCGTCAAATTATCTTTGATTGCTGGATAGCTTTTAATATAAATTAAATTAACAATGGAAACCTCGATTTGTTTTTGATTACATAGTTTGAAATAATATAAATAGATGGAGTTGTTCCAATTTTTCTTTGCTTGTTTTTGCTGAAAAATCGAGGTATTACTTAATCAATTTCCAACCTGATCACTGATCAAACCCTTTAAAGCAATAATCTTCATATAATTTTTATCAATTATACGTTCTTAGCTTTACAAGTGCACCTTTCAGTATTTTGTTTATTCCAATTAGTTTGCATTTCTGTGCTGATTTTATACTGTTTACAAATACTTCACTATATTGTGTTGATTGATTTTCTTGTTATACTTTGTTGAATTTGGTCAGTGATCATCTTTTTGTGCAATCAACATGGGACTCTTTAGCAGCTGTTGGAGTCTAACCATAAGACTACTTATAACTGCAAGCATATTACTTGTAATACTGCCTAATCTACCAGATAATCTATTCCCTTCATTCCCATTGGATCCTGTTTCTTATGATATGCCAAAAATTGATAATTTTTTTACAAAAGTCAAGTGGAATTCATTGATTAGCGATAAAGCCGTCCCTATATTAAAATCGAAAATAATTGGACCCGAAGCATTAGCTGTCAAAGGAAACAAAATTTATACAGGTTTAGGTGATGGTCGACTCGTTGTTATTGATAAAGAAAGTCTCAATATAAAAACAATAGCTAATTTAGCTGATCCAAATGCAATAGGCTGTGGTAAGTTAATATTTCAAGATCATTATTAAACTGGATGTTTGACTATTTGGCTGTCTGATTATCTGATGATGGCAATCAAGATGCTTTGCAAACTCTCGAAGCAGACATATTGCTTTAACTTAAGCTTTAATAAAATATGACATCGGATGACATTTGCAGCAATGCTTTTAAAATTGTGATAATGCAACAAATGAGCCACACTTTTTTGTAATGCCATCTCCTAATAACTAATTCAAATCAAGTTATCATCGATATTAGTTCATTCAGAGGTATAAGTTAATTATAAGAATATGAGTTTATGTTGATTAGTTTGTTTAGGCCGAAATATTGCAATAATTATTGTCAAAGATGGTGTCACTTTTTTGCATTTTGTATCACAGTTTTAACAGTTTTTATATTAGACTTGAACTCTCCTTTGATTCATTGATGTTGTAAGTTTTAGTTTGTTAATTGCTTACGTTAATCATTAGATTATCGCCTCGTGTTTTTAGACAGCTGTTTGATAAATAGCCAATGTTACTTATCTTTTATTGATATTTTATCCAACCCTTTTATTTGTTATCATTGATAACTCATCAACTGCAGCTTTTATGTAGAAGCATTAGAAAAGTTGATACCTCGATGTTATTGTATTGTTTACCTTTGGATTTTATTGATTTTCAATACTATGGAATCCATTGAATGCAGAATGATAAAGAGTGGTTGTAAAGAGATCTGAAATCTAATCATGGTTGTCCTCTCTGTCTCTCTATTTTAACTTAGGAGATAATATCATTAAGAATACTTCTACATGTGGCCGTGTCTTAGGATTACGATTCGGTGATGACAGTAAATTATATTTTGTTGATGGAGCCAAAGGTCTTTACTCGTATGATCTTGAAATCAACAAGCTCAGTCACATTGCTCTTGGAAGCTCGACTCCATGGAAAGGAATTTATAATAGTTTAGTTTTTGATCCAAAAGATAATGATCTGGTTTACATATCTGTTTCAAGCAACCGTTGGACATTGGATGGAATTTTATGGTCTTACTTAGAGATGAGACCTGATGGCTTTGTTTTAGCAGTTAATATAAAAACGGGAAGCGTCCACAAAATTTTGGAAGGACATATATTTTACAATGGATTAGATATTAGTCCGGATAAAAGTTCACTTCTTGTATCAGTTACCGGCGAATATAAAATTCTCAAAGTGGATCTTGACATCATCAAAGAATCGATTCAAACGGACAAGCCTGTCACTAGTGTTCAAGTTCTCGTTGATGGTTTACCTGGAGCTCCCGACAATATTCACGTATTTGCTAATGAATTGTATATTGCTATGCCAGCATTACGATTGAACTCAACTTTACTAGACAATCTATCCAGTTTGCCAAACGTAAGGAAGGCCGTTGGACGTCTAGCAAATCTTCTTAGTCGATTGCTTATCTTAATTTCCGAGAAAGTTTATTCGCATCCTAAATTGCAATATTTAAGTGTAGAACTGCTTAGTGGTCATGTTTTAACTTATGCTATGCCAAAAGCATCAGGTGTCTTGATTGTTGACGCTAATACTGGCAAACTCAAAAGAATACTCGGTTCAGTTTATCCATTGATTGCAGATGCAACACTAGATACCAATTCAGGCGATCTTTACTTAGGTTCATTTAAAAACGATTATCTCCTCAAGATCAAAGCCAAAGATCTAAAATAATTGCATTATAATCAAAAAGTTAGGTCTATTGTGTCTAACTCTTTGTGAAGACGAAAAAATAATAACTTCTTTTTAACATTCCAGAAACGCTTGTTTATTATTTTCTTCAATTGGAAACCCAAAGATTTTATCAGCTTTTCCTAGAATATAAGAAATTGTTCAAATTTAACGAAGAACGAATGTACATGAAAATTGAATTGTCAAGATTTATAGTAATGATGAAGATCAGCTTGGTGAGATGTGATGCGAGAAGGAAGTATCCATAAAAAATTATAAATAATCGCGGATTATGCAGCTGTTAAGGTGGCAGTAGAAAATGAAATCATACTTTCATTTGTTCGACAGATCCTCATGCACTTTGACTGATAAGTTAACAACTGGTCCAGTCTTCCACTGAGCTTCATTTTCATCTATAATTGAAGCTTCAATGTTAATTGAATGAATTCCCACCGTGGTCAATGCGAGTAAAAATTGCTCTTGGAAATAATCATTATGAGGAGTTACCAAAGATTGAAGGCTAACATTAGTATCTAAAGGTTTACCCAATTGGTCAACGGGTCCACTTCCAGTTTTATTTACGAGACAGCTATTCACATTCAGCATTACTTTAGACACATTCCTTAAAATGCGACAAGATGCACCATAAACTATTACACCCTCAACTTTGAGAGCAAAATTAGTATTAGCTTGAGTTACTATTGGGTCACTCGGTGTTTTGGGAACAGGAGAGATGGCCAATTTAATACAAGTATTCTGAATTGATTGGAAAAATAGTCTTGGTATACAAAGCGGAACTTGAAGTAACTTTATAGACAAGGCGAGTAAGGTTGCGATATGTTTACAGTCAATCAGATTTCCTAGGGAATTTTTTTGATCGCTTAAACGAGTTCGAACTATCTTGGAGATTTCGTGGCATGCAGCATTCAATTTGCTGTATTCAATTGACGTCTCTATTGAATCGGTAACACGATCACTTTCAAGGTGCGTGTCCTTGTTGACAAAGAGAGAACTCAGCCGATTAGTCTGAAAGACTGATTCAATTGCCTCGGCAACGATTGTACAGCTATGTTGGATTAATTGAAGATGAGAAAGTGTTTCATTATCTGCATTGAAGGATGTTTGATAGAGACAACTATAAGCATCAGCCAAAGATCGGAAATCTTTAGCACATTTCCTCATTTGAGAAACAACAGAACCACATTTCATTAGTTCATCTCTGGATGTTGTAGCTGCTGTACCAGCAATAGCTGGAGCCGGTGAGGTTCTGATTAAATTACAAGACTGTCTTAATGCTGCGTGAGCTCTTAATAATTTACATCGCAGTCGAACATATTCACCAGCAAAGATGAGACAGTAAGAGCCTGAACCAGAAGCTTTAAGAGCTGAGAGAGCTTCTGAGTAAAATGTGATGGCTTGGACCAGACTATTAGTTAATTGTGGTCCCTCTGATGAATTCACTAAGAGACTTTCAGCCAGAGAAATTTTGAAGAGACTAAGCATCCAAAAGTGAACGTTTTCAGATGAAGCAGAATTTTGAAGAAGTTCACAAAAAATTTGAGATACATGATAATGACCATATCTCATAGCTTGTCGAATGATCTTGAAATAGAACCAATGACTTCTGCCTTTAAGATGTTGAACGAATTCGGAGGAGCATTTTATGTCGAGTCGCGTCGATGTTTGAAAATGTAATGTTAAAAGTTGAGACAAAATTGATTCATCCACTTTTTCATCAAGACTAAGTTTGATAATCATCTGGGAAAGATGAATTAGAAAATCAGGACTTATGTTAAGATGCTGTAATGAGCAGAATATTTGACATGTGTAGCCAATCCATTGATTTGACAGATTTCCAGATTTTAGTTTTGATTCCAGGCAGGATACTAATTGATCTGCAACAGTTTCATCACTATTACACATATTTTTAATGCAAACACAAATTATTTTATTTGACTCTTCATCCTGTTCGCTACTTGGAATTTCATGTTCTTGAGTCGCTTGAGAGTTGATAAAATTTTGTAGATATTGAATGGTTTGAGCTTTAATCCTGTCAGAATGTCGAGATAATGCAGTCATCAGCTGGAATGATACAGCTATGAGGCGCAAATTTTTTCTTATCTCCGTTACTTGAGTTGATTTAAGACAATCATTGTGAACCGTTAAGCAAAGCTTTTCAAGTTCTTGATAAAAAGGTTCAATATAATTAACATCCGCAGCAAGTAAACATGGACATTTGACTAGATAAACAAAAATTGCCATAATACGCGAAAGTAAAGTTGGATTTTTTGATAAAGCTGGGATAATGAAGTGTACACAGTGCAAAAAGTCTTGGACATTTTCTTTTGACCACAAGTGAGGACTTGTGCGAGCCATAGTTGTAAGTTCTTTTATGATACTCATTTTAACCACGGGACGTGTATCATGGCGAAAATGTTTCAAAAGTAAAGAAATATGGTCAGGTATGGCGAAAAGTGAAGTTGTTGCGATGTAAGTTAAAGTATTAAGGATTGCACAAGCAAATTTGTCAGAGTTTTCATCGGATAAAAAGGAAAGACAAGCGTCTTTGACATCTTTAGCAACCTGAGAATTGTAATGAGAATGGTGCAGAACCGAGAGTAATCTGATTTTCTTTTCCATTGGTGTTTCAGATTTAGATAATAGTGTTAGAACTTTAGGATAAATGCTCAGAGCAAAATCAACCGATCTTTTAGAAAAGGCTGCAGCAGCTTGAACTGCTGATAGTGATTCAGTTTGGTCCTCAGCGTCCAGTGAATGACGAATAACATGGTGAATATTTTTTCTTTCCGCAATAATACAAGAAATGCTTGCAAGAGCTCGTAAAGTTATACTCCGAGCAATAGGATCATTAGAATAGGTAACATTAAATAAACGGCGAACAAATTCATCCATGTTTATAATCTTATCCAAATGTTTCTCACTTTCATGGATAACTTTGAGAATGAGAAGACGAGAAAAGTTTGAACCATTGCGAAAAACATCAGCCAATTTAAGAGATGCCGAGTTAATCAGAATGGGAAAAGGATATCGTATAAAAAGCCAAGGAAAACCAACAATGGCCTCACACTCCTCACCCATTTTTCCACTTCGCAAACCTTTATCAAGCTCACTTAGCAAACTATTGGCATCCAAGTTAGGATGATCATCCAACTGGGAAGAGTTCATTTTGACGTTGACACAGTGAAATACAATCAAACACAATTTAATTGATAATTTTTACAATTTTCAAAATAAGTTGTCATTCACTTTCTACAAATTTTATTATTGTAGCCATAGCTTATAACCGGCTAATCTGTGCTACAAATTTCTTGCCGCCAAATTCGAAAACTAAATTGAATTCATTCCTTCATTACTTTCTTTTTGAATATATCTTTGCATTTAACTTAAAAGTAAACAATTAGCTAATGATCGATCATGAAAATTACTGATAGACCAAACAAATCAAGAGAATAAAAATAAATTTTCATTTTCATTTATTATCGAGTTGAAAAGCTTGTAAAGCGAATTGATAGCTCGTATTTTTTCTCATTGGATTTTGAAAACTTAAAATCAATTAATTGCATTCACAACTTATTTTCAGCTTAAATAATCATGAAAATTCAATAATTTATATTTCTGTTGTTGAATGTTTCTACAAAAAATATTTTTATTACTCTTTGCTTCCTGAAAATTACGTCTGACCGCCAAAAAGTAAGTAGAAACTGACTGTCGATAGGTGGCGATATGCGTGCACTTGCGTAGTCTGAAGGATTGAATTTATAAATCTTGATTTATAGCAAAATGTGCAGAATATTTAGAATGTAAATTGTGACAATTTCAACTTTAAACTGGCAAATGATTGTCTTTTTTTATTATTCTGATCATTTTGCTTCTTGTTATCAGCTTGTTATTCAATTGTTTATGCATTGTTTTTTTGTTTACGTGAAGAAACCAAGAAACTCTTCACCTTAAACTTCAAATATGAGTGATTCAAAGGATGATGAGGACTATCCATTGAGTTTTGCAAATTTCCTCTTTGGAAATATCGATGAAAAAGGTGAATTGGTTGATGATTTTCTTGATGAGGATACTAGAAAACAGTTACGACAGCTTGAACAACTTGGAATTGGTGGAAGTTTGTTGAATGACTTGAGGAGAGAAGCTAAAGCAAAAGATGGAGGGAATGACGGTGACAGTTCTAACAAAGACTCACAATCGGATTCAAACTTGGATGATAAATCAGGTAAATAGACTTACTACTACTAAAGTTCAAGTTGCAGCTAAATTGTTGTTTATAATTTGATATTCTATTTCTTTTATTTAGATAACAAATCAGAAAATAGTGACGATGTCGACTTTGATGCTAAATCCCCGTCTGCCATTGACTATTCTGATATCAATGAGATGGTTGAAGATGACGAGGAAGCAAAATTCAAAGAAGCTCTTACTATTTTACCATTTAAAATGCCAACAGCTCCTGTGAAAGCCGTCGCCAAGCCTAAAATTCTTGATGATGATGATTACGATGATTCGTCGTCTGATGAAAAGGATACAGATTCACAAACCAAAGATAAAGATTCAGAGTCTGAAAAACATTCAGTCCTATCGCCAAATAGTCAGAGTAAAGATGCGTCCAACAGCAGCAAGAAAAAACTCGATACTCCATTAGCTGCTATGCTACCCTCTAATTACGAGGACTGTAATGTAACTGATCTTTTCCCTGAATTTAGACATAATAAGGTGTTGAGGTTTTCTCGTCTTTTTGGACCAGGAAAATTAGCCAACTTACCTCAAATTTGGAAGAATGTTAAAAGTAAAAAGAATAAGAAAAAACTTCTACAATTAATGGCCATGCAAAATTCAGAAGATATGAAAGATTTAGATATCTCTGATGAACGAGATAATTCCGACAGTGAGCGAAGGAAAAAAGATTTTGACCTCCAAATACCAACAACTATTGATCCAAATCAACTCGATTCAGATGATGAAGAAAGACTAAAAAAGCCTATGCAGCTTCGAGACAGCTCAGGTCGTGATGGATCTGGTTCATCTGATGAAAGTAAACCAAGAATTGCTGATTGGAGATACGGACCAGCACAACTTTGGTATGATATGCTAGGAGTTCCTGATTCAGGAGATACATTTGATTATGGATTCAAAATCAGTGAAGATGGTCGAAGAATCAGAACTTCTACTGGTGATTCATGTGAAGAGTCTCTTAACGGTGATAGTATTGATGATCCGGATGATTGTTTTCATATGGTTACCCAAATGCAATGGGAAGACGATATCATTTGGAACGGTGAAGAAATCAAGCAGAAAGTTTTAGCTAAATTAAATGACAAATATCATGCCGCCGGGTGGGTACCTAGTGGTCATTCAAGAACCGCATCAGCTTTCACTCAACAAGTTCGAGGTACATCGATTGGTACTCCAGTTCCAAAACCTACTTCACTCTTGAGTAATGCTCCAGTTAGCTCAAAAGGCCAAAGAGGAGATAAACAAAAGAATGAAACTCAAGAACAAGAGAAAGATGAGACTTGGTACTCGATTTTCCCTGTTGAAAATGAAGAACTAGTTTATGGACTCTGGGAAGATGATATAATCTGGGATGCTGAGGCTATGAATAAGATTCCAGAACCAAGAATTCTCACGTTAGATCCTAACGATGAAAATATTGTCCTTGGTATTCCAGATGATGTCGACCCTAATGCTGTTCGACCAAAAGAAGCTCAACCAATTCCATTAAAAGAAAAGAAAGAGCACCATTTAAGAAAATCTCGTATTCTTTTAGGAAAAGCCGGTGTTATTGCAGAACAAGAACCAGACTCACCTCCACCTCCGCCAACCACTGAAAAGGATCCATTTAATATTTCAAATGATGAATTCTACAATCTAAAATTAACTCAAGATACAGCACTTAAACCAACTGTTGGAGGCAATCTCATTCAACATTCCATTCCTGCGTTGGAACTTCGTCAACCTTTCTTCCCAACCTTTATGGGTCCCTTCAAATTACGTACTTTCCATCGTCCTCCTATGAAAAGATTTTCTCATGGTATGATCGCAGATACTTTACCACACGGTGTTGTTCCTCTGCTCAAGCACATGAAGAAAAAAGCTAAACAACGAGAACAAGAACGATTAGCCTCAGGAGGTGGTGAAATGTTCTTTATGAGAGCGCCTGAAGATTTATCTGGTAAAGATGGAGACCTTATTCTTTGTGAATACTCTGAAGAACATCCTCCTCTTATGATGCAAGTAGGAATGGCGACAATGATTAAAAACTACTATAAAAGAGTGAGTTTTTTTACCAATAAAACATTTATCATTTGCATTATTATTTTGTACTCAATTTTTCATTTGATTCTTCTTTGTACAGAAACCAGGCAAAGATGGAGGAACTCCTAATTATAAATACGGAGAGTTAGCTTATGCTCACACATCACCTTTCCTGGGTAATTTAGCTTTGGGTCAAACCCTTCAAGCACTTGAGAATAATCTTTTCAGAGCACCAATATACGAGCACAAAGTTCCTGATTCTGATTTTTTGGTTATCCGAACAAGAAACAGCTATTTCATTCGTGAAGTCGAGACAATATTTACATCTGGACAAACTCTTCCTTTATTTGAAGTGCCTGGTCCAAACTCCAAAAAAGCTAATAACTTTATTCGTGACTTTTTACAAGTCTTTATTTACCGTTTATTTTGGAAAAGTACTGATAACCCTAGACGAATAAAAATGGAAGATATCAAAAAAGCTTTTCCTTCTCACTCTGAAAGCTCTATTCGGAAACGATTAAAGCTTTGTGCTGATTTCAAAAGAACTGGTAACGGATTAGATTCTAACTGGTGGGTGCTAAAATCAGAATTCAGATTACCTACTGAAGATGAAATGAGAGCTTTGGTTTCTCCTGAACAATGTTGTGCATACTACAGTATGTTGGCTGCAGAGCAACGGTTAAAAGATGCCGGTTATGGTGAAAAATCTCTCTTTGCTGCAGAAGATGAGAATGATGAAGAATTACAACTTAAAATGGATGATGAAGTGAAAGCTGCCCCATGGAATACAACAAGAGCCTTCATTGCTGCAATGAAAGGCAAATGTCTTCTTCAGTTAAATGGTGTTGCTGATCCAACAGGTTGCGGTGAAGGTTTTTCATACATAAGAATACCCAATAAACCTCAAATATCCAAAGAGGATGGTCCAAAAGATCCCACTCCTAAAAAGACTGTTACAGGTACTGACGCCGATCTAAGAAGATTGCCTCTTAATCAAGCTAAAAATTTGCTTCGTAAATTCGGAGTTCCTGAAGATGAAATCAAAAAATTATCTCGGTGGGAGGTTATCGATGTGGTTCGTACACTTTCCACTGAAAAAGCCAAAGCTGGATCAGAGCAGATGAGTAAATTTGCTCGTGGTAATCGTTTCTCAATTGCTGAGCATCAAGAACGATATAAAGAGGAATGTCAACGAATATTTGAGTTACAAAACAGAGTACTTTCATCCTACGAAATTTTATCTACTGATGATGAAGAATCCGAAGAAGAAGATCTGGAAATTGAAGAAATGGGTAAAAATATTGAAAATATAATTGAAAACAAGAAGACAAGCCAAGAATTGACATTAGAGAAAGAGGAGGAAGAAAGAAAAGAACTTCATAAATTGATTATGGGAGAAGATTCTAACTTAGGAGGGGAAGATATGAAGTCTTCCAAAAAGAAATCAAAAGGAAAAGAAGACCCAAACGAGGATTCACAAAACCTGGCAGCGAGTAAAGGTCGCCTTCTCAAGATTTACCGTACTTTCAAGAATGCTCAAGGAAAAGAATACGTTAGAATCGAAACAGTAAGGAAACCTGCTGTCATTGAAACTTATGTTAAGATCAGAGAGACTAAAGATGCTGAGTATATCAAACGATTTGCTAATACACTGGATGATCAGCAGAAAGAAGATCTGAGAAGAGAGAAGAGGCGAGTTCAAGAACAGTTGAGGAGATTGAAACGGAATGCTGAAAGGGATAATGTGAAACTTGAACGAAAAGTAGTTTCAAGTCCGTTTGAACATAGTTTCAATCAAGATTCGATAGATACTGCAGATTTCTCAGCGACTTCACCAGTTTCCAATAAAGGTTTTGAACCGTCTAGAAAGAAGTTCAAAAAGGAGAAACTTAATTTGAAGGTTAAGTGTGGAGCTTGTGGTGCCCAGGGTCACATGAAAACAAATCGAGCTTGTCCTTTATATAAAGGTGGTGATGGTTATCCATCTTTGAATGTGGCCATGACTGATGAGCAAATGGAAGAAGAGGAACACACTGGTCTTGATGACGATGATTTGGTGAAAGTGGATGAAACTCGTGTAGTTTTATCAAAGAGTTTAATTAAGCATGCAGAAGAAGTTCGTCGCAAAGCAATGGTATTAAAAATACCCAAAGAAGCTGTCGCAATGAAAAGGAGGCGTCGAACAGGAACAACAGAACACTGTGATTATTTACAAAAACCTGAGTATAGAAGTGCAAACCGTCGAAGAACCGATCCATTGGTTACTCTTTCAATTATTTTGGAAAATATCTGCCTTGAAATTCGGGCAATGGAAGGAACTGAATTGTTCTGGACTCCCGTTAATCCTCGTAAAGTTCCAGATTACTTCAATATCGTTAAAAAACCAATGGATATTCAAACAATTAGGAAAAAAGTGCGTGACAAATTGTACAAAAGTCGTGAACAATTTCTTAATGATGTTCGTCTAATGTACGATAATAGTGTACTTTACAATGGTAAAATTAGCATCTTAACAACTGCGGCACAGCGAATGTTGGAATTGGCTGAAAAAAGATTGGAAGAAAAAGAGGATAGAATTACGATGTTAGAAAGATCGATCAATCCACTTTTAGATAATGACCAAGTTGCCTTTTCATTTATTCTGGACAATATTGTGACAGAGAAGCTGAAAACAATACCTGAATCATGGCCTTTCCATAAACCAGTGAATAAGAAGTTTGTCAAAAACTATTATGAAGTGATAAAAAGTCCTATTGATTTAGATACTATAATTAACAATATCAAAGACCACAAGTATCATTCAAGGGAAGACTTTTTATCTGAAGTTGAACTTATCTACAAAAATAGTGCGCTATTCAATGGACAAGATAGCCAATTCACTAAAAAAGCTGAAGAAATTTTTGAAGCAGCTAAAATAGCAATTGAAGAACAAAGTGAACAGTTGATTCAACTTGAGCAAGCCATTAAAGAAACGAAAGAAGCTGCAATGGATGCTGCTGACAATGAATCAGTCATGACTGGAGGTTTATCGAATCCCGCAAATGATGAAACAAATTCATTGCCAGACGGTGGTGAATTAACTCGTCCTGATAGCTCCGCAGCCCTTAGCATGAAAGATGATAATGAAATGTTAGATTACTTTGACGAAGCTAGTCGTAGTAGTTTCACTACAAGAACCAAAAAATTGCTTCACCAGCAAACTGTAAGTGATGATGGTAGTAATGATGAATGTGGAGATGAACCTATGCAAATGATGAACATCAACTTGGAACAAGCTCAGCCAGCTGCTGAAGATATAATTGATGAAAATTATGATCCTTCAGAATTTTTACTTGAAAAATTCAGCAAACCCCAGGCTCAACCTGTTGAAAAACCTGTAACATCATCGCCTGTGCAAGATTCATCTCAACCTTCACCTGAAACTAGTTACAGTATAGATTTTAGTAAAGACAGTGGTGAACGCAGCTTTAATGAGTCTAGAGAAGGTCAAGATGAAGATATGGAAAAGGAAGCGGAAAATGATGATAATGATAACGATAACGACAATGAAGATGAATCAGATATTTGGTTCTAAAACAATTCGGTTCAATGCAATCTGGCTCTGTAAAATCACCATCAATTATATATAAAACTGTTTATTATCATCATCTATACAAAACAAACTTCATCAACATCATATAAAATTGTACAAGCATTTTCATCATCATAGTTTGTTTTACCATCATTAAGAAATCATTATTGTCAAATTACCTTTTTTCCCTTTATATGATTCACCCTCCTTGGAAAGTTTTTAATCAAGTAAAATACAAATTTTCAATTCGTTAAAATAAATTTATGATTATTGAACTTCATATCTTGATTGTATCCTTTTTGTACTTTGAGCTTGTCAGCTCATTTTCGTGAAAAAATTCTCATTCAATGTCATAAATAATGATTTAAATCTACAATATGTAAAATTAAAATATCGATAAATTATGTTCATGAATCATGATGAACCAAAGAGTAAAGAACTTATTTACTCTTGTGATAAACCAATAAAGCTCAAACGATAGTCGATAAGATCGATCAATCTAATCCTCCTCAGTCAGATGTTTTGCTTTCTCTAACTTAAGCAGTTTAAAATTTAAACTTTTTATTTATAAAGACATTGTCAGACATTCAGTTTGTTCTGTCACAACTTTCTTACCACTTTTCAATTGATTTTTCTTGAATTACTTGATTAACACTTCTTTTGTCTTACTTTATCGTGTGAATCCATCAATAACAATGAAAGTCACCATAACTACTTTGAATGGTGATGTTTTATTCAACCTGGATGTTGCTGATGATCTTGAACTTGGTAAATTCAAAGAAGCCTGTGCACCCGATGCCGGTATTAAAGGCAACCAAATGGATATAATTTACGAAGGGGCAAGGCTGAGTGATGATGCCAAACCATTAAGCCATTATAAAATCAAAGAAGGTAACAATTCTATCCCAACAACAATTATTATCCTCGTTAGTTAACTCTATACTTTCTGTTCCATTAGGTGATGTACTTCTTGCTCAAGCTAAGGCTACAACCCCTGCATCTCCTATACCTCAAACAGGATCTTTAGGATTATCTAGACCATCAGGACTTCCAGCGGCTCCACTTCTTGATTTCAGTTCGGTTGTTATCCCTGGCGCATTGGGAGGAAATGTTTCTCGTCCCTCTGGATCTACAGGTGGCAATAGACCTTCTCGAGACGACCCTGTTTTTTTGAGAGACATGTTTTTATCAAACCCAGAACAATTAGCAATGTTGAGAAGTAATAATCCTCAATTAGCTGACGCATTAGAAAAAGGTGTGGAAGAGTTTAAACGAGTGTTTGATGAGCAAAAGAAAATGAAGGAAGAAAAGGATAGAATGCAATTAAGGTTACTTCAAGCTGACCCATTCGATCCAGAAGCTCAAAGATTGATTCAAGAGGAAATCAATCGACAAAATATTGCTTCAAACATGGAAACCGCTCTAGAATTCCATCCAGAAAGTTTTGGATCTGTGACTATGCTCTACATCAATTGTAGAGTCAATGGTCATCCTATCAAAGCTTTCGTAGATTCAGGTGCTCAATCCACTATTATGAGCTCTGGCTGTGCTGCTCGATGTAATGTCACACATTTAATTGACTCTCGTTGGTCTGGAATCGCAAAAGGTAAGTGATAAATATTTAGTGTAGAATGCACGGTGATATTAGTCGATTTGTTTAAACTTGAAACCAAATTTATTTACTTAGGTGTTGGGACTCAAAAGATCATTGGTAGAATCCATTTAGGACAAATTCAAATTGAGGAAGACTTTTTGCCCTCTTCCTTTTTGATCTTGGAACAACAGGACATGGACTTTCTCCTTGGTTTGGACATGTTGAAACGCCATCAATGTTCAATTGATTTGAAAGACAATGTCTTAATTATTGGTACTACTGGAACAAAAACAAGATTTCTCAACGAAAGTGAAATACCAACAAATGACAAATTTTCTTAAGCTAATCTTTATTTTACCTTTTTATAATAATTGTACAAATGGCAAAGTATTAAGCTGCTATTGAGCTTCAATGAAGACTTTTCTGTCCATCTCTAAATCATAGAATAGAATATTGCTATTATTTTTTACCGATATTATAAAAATCTATCAGTGTCCCAATTCTTAATTCCTTTTTATTGAAAAAATGCATTCAACGGTTTGCAGCGAGAAGTGTTTGAAAAAGCATATTTCCATATGAGGAAAAGTCGAGGAGATTATTAATAGCTTAAGTGTGTTCAATGTAGACGCGATCAAATGAAAAAAGAGACATATTTTCATTTTTATTGCTTTTATAATAAAATGTGATTTTCGAGCCAGAATATAATAATTTAATGATTTTCAAAATATCCAACCTTAAAGCAAGACTAAACTGAATAATCTGACGATTAGGCGGGTTTCTGCCGCTATACAGAATCGGTTTATTGATTGTAGTTTATGCAAGATACATGTATGATCAAAGTGCTAAATGTATTAATTTATACTATTTGACTATTTAAAACTGGATTAGTTTTTGTTTTACTTCAAATAGTAATAGTAATATACCTAAACAACCCCGATGATCGCGATTCACATTAACCTAATCCAGTAACAAGTGAAACCTATTTGCATGACTGAAATAATTCAACATTTCCCACATCTAGGTACATAAATATCATCAGTTTAGGTTTGTGCATTTATGATAATAAACAATTAAATAATTAGAGTTAAAGAACAGGTCATATTGATGAGTGGGAACGACGAGAGAGATAAAGAGTCGATAACTCTTTTCTAGACCTTAGTCTTTGCTAGTTCAATTGTTGATTTGTTTCCGTCAAACTTTGGTAAGATTAACTGCCGATTAATCCTACTTTTTATAAACATTTGTCTATGCTGTTGTACATTGGACAGCTAAATACCCTTAATCAAAATGAAAATTCAAAGCTCTATCTGCATCACAATAATCACAATAACTTTTAGTTTGATCCAACAAACTGTCGCTCAAAGAGTCTTTTTACGTAATTTAACCCAATCAGTTGTTTTACCTTGTCTTTTCCGTGTTTGTTACCCAGATGTGGGCTGCTTCTCGCCCGAGACCTTTGAATTGGTTCCAATTTTACCTCCAGTGGCTGTGTGTCCACATTCACCATCTTTCATTAGACCAAAATATCAACTTTACACAGCTAATGAGCCACGAAAAGCTAAACCTTTGACAGAACTGCCAAATGGTGTTCCACTTGGAATATCAGTTCATGGATTTACACCAACAGCCAATTCTTCATTTACTCAACTAATGAAGGAATCACTGCTCAGAGTGCGTCCTTATGTTATGACAATTGATTGGGATCGAGGAGCTAAAAATGGTGACTATGCTGGCTCATTTACAATACCAATTTTGGACGGTGTAATAGCAGCAATTAACTTACAAATGGTGGGTCGAGTTTCAGCCAATGTCATCAACACCCTCATCCATGAACGCAATCTTAACCCTAAAGACATTTACTATTACGGACACAGTTTTGGTGCTCAAATGGGTCATCATGTCTCGTATTGGTTAAGGAAAACTCATGGAATTAAAATGGGAAGAATGACAAGTAAGTTTTAAACTCATAAATTGACCAAAAATCTCAATGAATTCAATCCAATTTTGAGCATATTTTCGTCTTTTTCTGTCAATTAGCAACATAATTGTTCATTAGACAATTTCATAAATTTTTGCCTCCAAATACACGAGAAAATATGAAAAATTTTAGTGCTTAAACAAAAGTTTGAAAATTTTCTATTTTAATAACTTGATGTTTCCATCGTAAAATTATTCAAAATAACGCCATTAACAAATACATAAACAAAAGATTCTGACTTTCCTCATTAACGTTAGACGATTTCGACCGAAAATATTTTCAAATTTTCTGAGATTTGCAGATGCAATAAGAATCAATCACAAATTTTATGTTTACTTATTTCAATGTTTCTCATCGATCTGTCTTTTCTAGCTCTGGATCCTGGCGCTCCCTTCTTCTATGGTCATCCTGAACGATCATTGTCACCTGATGATGCCGATTACACTGATTGCATCCATTCATCCATTTACTTTCAATTAGCTGTTCCTCACACAGTCGGTTATTATCTTCCAGTGGCTCATAAAGATTTTTATCCCAATGGTGGAGGTGATCTTCTTTGGGCCATGCCTGGTTGTGGTGGTAACTTCTTAGCTTGGTGTTCGCACTTTAAGGCCTTAATTTATTATGATGCTGCGATTGGCAGTTCCTGTCCATTCAAAACACTTCGCTGTCCAAGAATCGCTAATTTTGAGGTTCAAGAAGATTGTGTGGAGACAGATACAGAGTTAGGCTTTAGAAGTATTCAGACCAAAGAAAGGGGCATTTACTTCAGTAAAATAGACGAGAATCCTTACGATTGTAATTTAACTCAATCACTTAAATCAATTTAAGCCTTAAATAAAATAATCTTCTGAATGCAAACCTTAACGATTTGAGGAAGTATTTATTTTGATTTCATAATTTTATTTAATATTTACGAATTTAACAAGTACATGATATTAATGTGTTATTTTACATTTGTTTTGAAGTTGAGAAGTTATTGTAATTTAAGGTAGATTATTAACAGATCATTGTATGAACAAAGAATAGAAACAAGTATCAAAAATAAATATCACAGTTTATCATATCATTATGATTTTTATTAAGAAAGTATCAATCTTTTTGTGCGAATAAATGACCACCTTTTAAATGAAAAGAGAAAATTTGATTAATATAAGTGAAGTGAATTCATTTGCAATAGAATCATGGTTTAGCTCAGATGATTAAACAACTTAAGTTCAGTGAAGTTTTCCTATTTAGTTGAATAGTGCAATATCATGTGGGGGAACTGAAATCCCAAGACAGACGATTTCGTGAAAATTCAAATGTGATTTGCAAAAGATAACATTGAAATTAGAAGCGATATTTAACTTATGATTAATTGATAAATTGTTTGGTGATGAAAAATATTCTAACAAAATCTGTCAGCGAATTGTTTTGGTCCATACAATTAACTTAAAAGTTAACCTTTGTGTTAAGTATTAGATCTCTAAATCTTTTGTAACATGCTTGAGGGAATAAACGGATCACTGACATAAAAGTTCATTAATATCTCTAGATGACTACATTAGAGAATAGAAAATTTAACCAGGAAAAGCATTTCTCTGTACAATGTGCAAGAGTTCAGTTGATTTAGGCGCAAATCGCATTTCTTACTGGTCTAAATGATTTCACGGTTAACTGTTGTAACTGTTCTGAATTAAGAAGTCTAAATAATAGCTTTGAGAAACAACTACAAATTTAAATTCATTCACCGTTATCATTCGTTTACATACAAATTATACAACTTGTCTTAATCTGTTGAACATCAATTGCTTTTAAAATTTTTTTACATTTGTTCATTTTTAAAATTGCCAAAAGATTGTAAAACGCTGTTAAACTGAAATAATTTGAATCTTGGGGATTCACCTTTAGTAATTTGACGTAATTGAATGATAACTTATTTGAACTAAATAAAGATAGAAAAGCTCGAGGAAATAAAGATGCACGTTAATCAAAACAAAGCTTTATAATTAACCAGATCTAAGGTTAAGGGAAAAAGAAAACTCACCTTAAAATTTGATTATCATCTTTTGCCTGCTCGACTAGATTTTTGAATAAATTTAAGGAGCCAAATGATTGGATCCATAGCATACTTATTGTCCCTCTTGTCTTTAACAATTGTAACATTTTCTGGATTAACTGGTCCAATTAAATCAGGATTTTCGTTGTATTTCCTATTTCTTCTCAGTTTGTATCGTTTACGATTGATTCGTTGAATGCAGAAGTGATTTGCTCGATCTTGATATGAATAATAACCAGTGCGTGTATACATGGTAGAGTTGATCTTGAGTCAGGTTTGAAAAAATCTAAATTAAACAATTAAAGAAACACAAAAAAAGACTAAGAATCACAGTAACCATCAGGAATCAAAACAGAGAAAATGAGAAATTAAAAGAAAAATTAAATATGAAAAATTCCCTCTAAAAAGTAAACGCCATCTGTTGATTTTGTTGAATAAGAAGAGTAATGTTGCATTGCACAACATTTTAATAACACAAGTTGTGTTATTAAAATGTTGAATGAAGGGATGAATGATTTTTTATGTTGTTTAGTTTAATTACTTAGAAACATAATTTACTAATTGTCACCAGTCTTCAACCTTTTGATAGCCGCTTGGGTAAATCAGAATTAATTATACATCAAAACTAGATCGTTTGCTCCCTCGCTAGATGGGTTTCTCCCTTGCCATCAGTTTAAAGTTTTATTTTTTTCCTTGGAACGCTTTCTCGTTCATCTGTACTTTTTTTCCTTGTTCTGTTGATTGTTAAGTTTACTTTTTTTTATACAATAATTTCAACCTTTGTTAATAATATCGAGATGGAATGCCTAAATGATCCAAATATTGACCTTGCTGTTATTGACCAGTTCTATACAAATTTTGCAGAGCCCAGTAATCTTGCGGAGATACGAGTCCAAGTTGATAAGTTTATTGAATCTGTTGGAACTGGACCACTAGTTCTTATCACGGTAAGCTGATTTATTCATTATTTATTTAGTCCAATTTAAGCCCTGTTTATTTATTATTATGGATTGCTTTAAACCAGAATATTGATCTTTCATTTTACCCATTCTTTACTATCAGTCTGGAGGAACAATTGTACCAATCGAACATAATACTGTACGGTTTGTGGACAACTTTTCTGCTGGTACCAGAGGATCTGCATCAGCCGAGTAATTATCTCTTATTCATAGTGTTTGATTAGCTAATAAACTAAATTATCTTGATATTCTTGATTTACCGATAGGTATTTCCTCAAGAAAAATTACAAAGTTATTTTCCTTTACCGTCTGAAATCATGTGAACCTTTTACAAGACATTTTAATATGTCACAGCTATTGGAATCACTTTCAATATCAGATTCTGGCCTTTTAGAAGGTTTGTTTTGACGTTAAAAATTATAACAGCTTATTTGTTTTCTAATTTAACCTTTTTTCTTTATTGTAGTTAATTCTCCATTAGGGGAAAAATTGTCTCAAATAGTTAAAGACTACAAGCAACAAAAAGAAAATTTATTGTTGGTTACTTTCACAACTTTAGCTGAATATCTTTATTACTTACGGGAGATATCATTTGCTGTAAAACCCTTAGGATCCAGAGCAGCTTTATATCTCGCAGCGGCCGTTTCCGATTTCTACATTCCTCAAACCAACATGGTGAGTTTTATCTTTTACCAATCTTTATTTCAATAACAACATCTTGAAAATCATGCTTCATCTTGATGTTTCTCTGCCAGGCTACTCATAAAATTCAATCTAAAGACGGTCCAATCAGTCTGTGTCTGGAAATAGTCCCAAAAATACTGAGACCATTGGTAAAATTTTGGGTTCCTGCTGCTTTTGTTGTATCATTCAAGGTAAATGCTTTGATCTATAAATTGTTTGTGCGCTATATCTGAACTAAAATTCTTATTTCTTTTTATATAGCTCGAAACTGATGCATCTATTCTTTTGGACAAGGCGCGCAAAGCTTTACATCGTTATGGACATCACCTGGTCATCGCTAATGAGCTACAATCGCGTAAACGAGAAGTTATCCTTGTAACCGAGAAGGAAAATCAAAAAATTACCATCGATGATTCAGAAATGGAAATAGAATCGCTAATTGTTGATGAAGTAGTTACGAGACACAAAAATTATATCGAGATGGGTCGCAATGTTGAAAAATTGATTTAAATTTATCTTTGATTGAGAGCAATAAGGGAACAGGAAAGAGATCAGGTGTGGAACTCTCTATCGATTTATTTACCCATTTGCCGCTTTTGACCATGTTTATTTTGCAAAGCAAAATTTTGGTAAAATTAAACATCAAACAACTCTCATTAGTTGAAAGGTTTTAATCCAGATTATGTACACAAAAGCGTTCATCTTGAGATTTTCAAAGCACCAAATGAGTAAATAATTCAATGAATCATTTAAGCACTCTTTGCGCCCAGCGATATTATCAAATACTTGACTGTCATACACAGACTTAATCGCTGCAAAATTGCTTTGGGCAAAAAATTCTCCATTTTATTTACATTCTCGTCATAAGGGTTGTTTTTTTACTAAAAATGAACTTGTAATAATAGTTTTAATACACTACAATTTCATTTTAAAACTGGTCTAATTTTCATTTGTACTGATTTTAAAGCTTTATTTGGCTTCCAGGAATACCAATGTATTCCAGGTAATTGTCCTTTGTAATCATCTTGACCACTCAATTCGCCAGTCAAAAATATTTCAAAACAAGTATAGCCATTAAACCACCAACCACCATTGAAATGGCCACATCGAAGTGAGTTATGGTTGTTTACTCTATCCCTTGTGTTGAATGCGCTGTTATTGTAAAGTAATAATTGTTCACCAATGACTGCATGAGGACCTCGAGCATCGGCAACAACTAATCGATAAGCTTTTTCCTCTGAATCCATTTTAAAGTGTCCATAATCAAGGGATATACACTGACCATCATAAGATTCCAGATCAATCTGCAGTTGATGAGGAGTTGAGCTTGTTAAACGATGAATGTGTTCATTGCCTAACCAATATTCATCTTTTTGATCTCCAAAACCGTATTTATAAAGAAACCAATTTTGATTGAAGCTGATTGAAGTTGACTTATTGTCGAAGTTACCACGTCTAAGGATTACCTGTAAATTGAAAAAAATTGGAATGAAAAAGAATCAATCGATTGAAATAAGATTGCTGGAGTTCACATGAAAAAGGAAAATTTGGCAAATGAAATTAGCTGCTGTTAGATGTGAAATGAAAGTTCACATTAGCCTAACTCAACTCAAGAAGACTTTTTTAAACATTAATTCTCATAAATAGCTGATCGATTAATGAACTAAATGGGATAAAAAACAAAGCTGAATGAAACATACCATCCAACCACCTCCATTATCACTCATATCACACCAAACTCGTGAGGGTCGCGGTTCCATCATGATCAAATAGACTCCATCACAAGTTATATTGTCATTATAAATGTCAACGCAAGTCTTCCAGGACGATTTGAATGACATGATTTCACAGTCGACCATTGCTGTTTTATTTGGCTGTATCTGGCATCGGTACTTCTTGTTGGCTAAATTATCGACCAGAGGTTTATCCGATTTTCCTGTCTCATTAGTTTGGGCAGTAAATGGCTCTGTTGTCATCAATTCAATTGATATTGGCAATAATGTGGATGAATCTAATGAATGTGTATCTTTTGATTGATTCCGTTCATAAGAAAAAGATGGAACATTTCGGATTAATGGATGTCGATCAGTCAAATTTTTCAATAAACCCAACTGATTGTCCAATTTGAAATTGATCTCCTGGTTGGCAAATTTCACTTGATTCTCAATTTTATCAACTTTATGGTTAACTTCACTCCTCATTTGATTAAAGACACCCACTAGATCAACATTATCACTATTATCAACAATGCTGGAAGCTAACTCGTTGGTCCAACTTTTCATTCTGTAATCACCAACCAACTCTTTAATCTCATCCTTTACCAGAGTAACATGACGATTAATGAGTTTCTCAGTGTTCATCAACTTTTGCTCCAAGAAAGTCTGTAATTCACCAATCAAATCAGCTGATGCGGATGTTGACTCTTCTCGTTGTCCATTTGTCCATTGTTCATTAAGTAGTCCAGTTACAGTGTTCAATAGTTTCTTTATCTTTTCCTCGGTTGAATTGTGATTAATAATAACCATGGTTTGTAATCCTCTAATAGTCTCAGACATTTCCTCGAACTTCTTTGCCAGTCGGTCAAAATTATTTTCAACCAGCCTTTCAATTAAATTCAACTTGGTTTCCACCAAACGCTGATTTTCAGTGAGTTTAATATTTGAAATGGCATTTTCCAATTTGGCCTCAGTCAAGCTTAGCCGAGAGGCCAAATTTTCCATGAATGTTTCCTCTGCTAATGGTCGACTTGTCCATTGTTGGCAATTATCTTGGAGATTTTTAACCGACTTTAATATTTCCTCGGCAACATTTAAACGAGCTGTTGAACAATCAATTGTTTCAAATAGCAACAGAGCACAAATAATCAAATTTATTATTATTGAACATCTAATTGGACAGATGGATTGATTAACGTAGGATCCATTTGACAACTTATCGTTTAATTTATATTTCATCTTGTTTCTTTTAATAAAGTTGATTCCATCAATTATATTCCTTGAAGAAGCAAACAAGTATTGATTGAAACATCCCACGAAAACAATTATATTCACTAATCAAGACAACATGGAATCAAGTTGAAACAATGTAATTACTTAAACCATCAAATAGCAATCGTTGTAGACAAGTTCACTTTTCAATTTAATTAAGACGAAAGGATACTGATGATGATGATGTTAAAGTTTATTCAGTCCTCCTACTTTGGAAACAATTCAAATGTTAACTTTTGATGTTGTTACCCTTCGCAGTAAACCTTTTATTGTTTCATTAATTTTCTTGCCAATTCGATTTTAAAGAAACATCGAAATGTAATCAAAGTAACACATCAAAACTACAATTTAAGATATAAATATAGACAATGAGATATAAAACTGAAATCACGGCACAAAACAATGTTTACTGTTTAACGGTTTAGAAACAATGTAGTCCAACGGTCTTTGTATCAGTGAATGTAGCTCAGAAGGAAGAAGAGGAGGAGGATGAGGATGAAGATGAAGATTAGGCCTAAGCTTGGGCAAATGTGAAAGACCGAAGGACAACCATTTTAACAGAGTCTATTCAAAATGTAAACGGACAAAACAGCATCTTTCAAGTTTATATTAATAGAAACTCATTTGTCTCGCATGAGAGAAGAGATGACGAGTTGCTGTGTTCTTGTCTTTAACTTATCTTGGTATTCGAAACAGGGTTCAAGTTCAAAGTCACGAATTATCAAATTTACAATCTAGAGTTGATTTAATGTGCACAACAGTATAATGAAAGGGAATTATCTGTACAAATGAAAACGTAGAAAAGTTCAGTTAACATAATTAGCTATAACTAGAGATCCGTTTGTACCACCGAAACCGAATGAATTTGTTAAAGCAATCCGTCTATTATTCTGTGAAGCAGCATTGTCCCAATTAACAGGTTTATTAGCTATTAAATTTAAATCTTTATTTAATGGGTCGTTTAGATTAATTGTTGGTGGAATGACTCCTTTGTTGGCAGCTAAACAAGTGAATATTGCTTCAACGCTGCCAGCAGCTCCTAATAAATGTCCGGTTGCCCCTTTAGTACTAGTGATTGCAATTTGGTTTGCATGAGGTCCGAATAGTTTCTTGATAGCTTCAAGCTCAGCAACATCTCCTTGAGGTGTTGAGGTTGCATGGCAGTTAATGTGACCAATTTGATTTGGATTGATTGAAGCATCTTCTAAAGCTGATTTCATACAATTGTAAGCACCTGATCCGTCATCTGGAGGCGATGTTATGTGAAAAGCGTCACCAGATAATCCATAGCCAAGTATTTCTCCTAGAATTGGAGCTTTACGAGAAAGAGCATGATTCAGTTCTTCAACAACCATTAAACCAGCTCCTTCGCCCATGACAAAGCCGTCCCGAAGATTATCAAATGGTCTTGAAGCTTTGCTTGGTTCATCATTAAAATTACAGGATAAAGCTCTGATACGAGAAAAGGCTGCAATACTCGCAGGACCAATAACAGCTTCAGTTCCACCGGCAACCATAACATCAGCTGATCCTCTTTGTATAAAATTGTAAGCATCTCCTAAAGCATGTAAACCTGTTGTACATGCTGTTGATACACAATGGTTTGGACCTTTCAGACCAAATTTAATTGATACAAAACCAGCAGGCATGTTTATCAACATTCTGGTTAAGAAATGAGGATTAAATCTATTGTAACCTCGATCCTTGAATACTTTAACTTGCTCGTAAATGTCATCAATATTACACATGCCATTTCCTATGGTAACACCAATTCGCTGGCGATTCAGAGAATCTAACTCCAATTTCGATGATTGAATGGCTTCTTCAGCTGCAATTAATGCAAATAGAGTTGAGGTTGACATTTTTCTTATATCGGAAGATGAAAATTTTTCACTCAATTTGAGTTCATCAGGAACATGAGCTGCAATTTGGCATGGTAAATTTTCATATCCAGAGCCTCTGATTTTAGAGACGCCAGATTTTCCACATAAAAGATTTGCCCATGAAGGTCCAACTCCAACACCGATTGGGCTAACTATTCCTAATCCAGTAATAACAACTCTTTTAGATGCCATCAATATAAAAGTAAAGATTCACAACAATTAAAACAAGAGTAACTTTTACGAAATCAGACTGTTTACTAAAGAAATCAGATGTTTGAAAATGTCTCCTTTCATTTTGTGCTTCAAGTTGCTGCTATCATAATTCATCTTTAAGATTGAGTTTGAATATTATTGCGATTGAATTCAGCAATCAAATTTTAATTTTAATTTCAGTAAATATATGAAAGTGACTTCAGTATAGTTCATTCTATGTTCATCAAATAAATCTGCATAATGTCGAAATAAGTCTTATTTTGATGAAAAGAATGGAATTATGACTGTTTTGAGTTTTGTAAGTTTCCTGGTTTGATAATTTGATAAATTGAGAATAAATTGAAAAAACTTGAGTAAAGTTGAAAATGGATTGGCATGTGCAATTTATTATTTCTCATTTAATATGAAATGTAGGAGAATGACGCGAAAGTAAGGAGAAATTACAGGTGAATGCATAAATGTGTTTTGGACCAGCGAAAAGGTAACAGATTTGCCTTTAGCAAAAATGGAGATATTTGAAAATTGCAAAAAGATTAATAATAAATTGTGAACCATATAAGAACATTTGATAATTTCTGTTCATTTTTTTCTGCAACAAAACCATTTAGGTGATTAGGTTTCTAAATATGACATAAACAGGGAAAGATCGATGGTAAATGATTGTTAATTGATGGTAATGTTGCTTATTCCTTCATTTTTGTTACTCATTCAGGATGTGAATTGTAACCATCTAATATTTTAATCCCATATGCATAACCAAGGTGTCATCTTTTGCAATGGCGCATATTCTTGTAACCATTTTCGGCATTATCTTTAACGATAGGAGATCTTGTCCTAGAAACATATACAAATAAGGTATAATTAATATACTGTTATTCAATAGCAACTACAAAAATGATAATTTCCATAAAATAAAATTGATTTTTACCTTTTACGTTTTTTGGCTGTCAGACTTTCTTGTCCAGAATCTTCATCTTCAGCTTCCCCTTCACTACCAGATGATGAGCAACATGAAGAATCAGAGCTGGAACTTGAGGAATCGGTAGAACTGTCAGAGGCAACACCAATATCTCGATTAACATCAATCAAATCAGCAACATTAGCAAGCTCAGGTCTTTGTTCACTCAGTACCTTGTACCATTTACTAGACAGCTTGGGACGACCCCGAACTGTTTTGTGCCAAACAACAGGAAAATTTGTAAGGCTGCAAAAATTTTGGGTGACAGCACAAGTTGCGGTAAGATTTAGTACCACATGCCACCAGCCTCCTGGAACAAATACTGTTTCGCCTGGTTTTTGAATAATCTCCAATGGTGCGTACTCAGGAGACCAATCGGGGGATTGTGTCTTAGGATAAATAACGTTAAACCATGTAATTGCTTCATCTGTTTGTTTTCCTCCTTCTTCGGGCTTGACTTTAATTAACTCTTTAGGCGTAGTAGTGGGAAATAAACACCATCGTTTATAACCATGAATCAACGCATTCCAGGCACTAGTACCTAATGGATCAATATGAATCCCAGTTCCTGATCGTGGTGGACCCATAACAAACCATCGGTAAGGTGGACGGCGATTTTCACCGGCATACTTGAAAAGATCATCTTGAAAATAACTAGGAATATAATAATCATCTAATAAGCGGCTTTTTCTTGGATGCTGTTTAAGAAGAGATGTTGAAAAAAATAAAATTAGAATCGTTTTAAATATTTTGGAAAAGAAGATAAGTTAAAGATAGTAAAAGCCCAGCGTTTTTCAAATAAGATCAACATTTAGGCTGACAAATAGATTATTTTTGGGTTTTTTAGCTATAAGCTGGAAACAAATAGCTACAGTATTGATATTTCACAAGATAAGAAACTAGATGAGTTCACATGTTTGGACAGTACACAAACTCGATTCATCTTACCTCGCCAAAACTACTGTCAAATATATACAAGGGACTGTCATCCTTATTGTTGTTCATATAGTAAACAAAATATTTCATCTTGAGCTTTACACTGTATCCTTCATTATCTTCGCCACATTTAAACTTTTGATTGCGATATTTTTTGGCCAACCGCTGAAAGAGAGAATAGAAACGGATAACGTGAATTGCCTTTGATTTATCTTTTGATGGAATTTATTGTCTTACTGATGGCGTCCATTTAGCGTGAGCTTTCCAATCATCTGTGGCTCCAGTTATGACAACTGGTTTATAAATTTTTTCAAATTTTTCAACGAAAGTACTGTGTGGCACCTCGTTAAAATTGATTCTCTCTACCGTGTCTTTATATTTGGCTGGATCTAACTTGAATTTGTTATAATAATTATGACACCGCCATTGTTCAAAATTATTGCTTGCCAGTTCTGTTAAAAAGAAATAAGCAAAACTGTTATGAGAACGAGTAAAACGTGAATAGAAAAATTGGTTGGGAATGTGTCATAAAAAGCCATTTATGGATGATGACAAATGTTGCTATCACCGAGCTTATTATATCAAGCTTTTATTTAATCCTTTACTTTTATTATCAGGCAATCCCCAGAATATACTTAGCAACACAAACGAGATACAAACATGTCTAATCAAATTAATTAATACCAAAGCATGGCATAAAATATGATGGAGAGAAATGAGAATGGAATAGATAAATAAGTCAGATATGAGACATCATTGCTAAAAATGGTGTGAGTGAAGGTAACCATAGATGTGAAGATGTTAATGATGATAATCATGGAGAATCAAACGAAAAATAGTTTACAATATGAAATAATAAACTCGAACAATTTACAGCAAAATTGAAACATAGTGTAAACACTACAAAGCTTACCTGGCCTAGCTTTTAATTTAGCTTCATCTATCTTTCTCTGGGCTCGTCTTTCAAACCGTAATCTATTGATATCCATTCCATTAATTAATTAACAAACATAAATCAATGAATTCATTAATAAAAACCGTTAAAGAAATAATAAATAAATAAATAGACAAAATAGATTGAAGATATAACAATTTTATACGAGTTGTGATACAAATATAAAGAATGTGAGCAAGAAGAATGCTGAGAGAAAGAGCAAAAACATATGACCAAAGGGAGGAATGGAAGAGAAGAAGAGAGAAGAGGGGAGAAGACTGGTGGAAAGGCGGAGATGAGCTGTCGATTTGATTTTATTTGATTAACTTTGAGAAAGCTTAAATAGCTTTTCGAACCTTTGAGACCCTTAATGACTCAAATATGATGTTAATTAGTTAATAAGCATCTTCGAGATCTAAGAATATATCAACAGACTCATTAAAATCAGAATCAATTTTTTTCCTCTGATTTTTTGCTTTGCAATTTTCGAGTTAAAACATCATTTTGTTGATCCAAATGTCAATTAAGAGTTTCAATTTTATGGAATAATAATCATACTGTTAAAAGAGATATGCCAAAAAAGCTTTGTTAATAATTCTAATATGATTACGCTTTTTGCGGTTAAGTTTTTTTTGATTGTAATGGTTCAAATGTTCATTCAAAGCTTATATTCATCAGTTGACAAGTTTAGATTTTAACACCCCATGAATTTTAAATATTAGTAAGTCAATATAATTGTAACAAGATAATGATGATGATATTAAAATGATTTAATTTTTTGATGATTGACTCAACGCTTGGAAATAGATTGAAAAGTGAAATCAATCACTTGGTGAACAATCATTAGGTGAATCATCAATTGGTGATCCAATTGAACCATCATCACCACCAGTACCAATTGAACCTCGTTTTGTTCCTAAGTATCCCCTGGTAGATGAGCCTGGTCCAGAACGTCTCATTTTATTCTTGAGACTTGCTACTTCTCTATTCAATGCTTCATTGGCTTCAATTGCATCTTCCAAATCACGTTGAGCCTTTCTGCGGAATCCTCTTTCCCTGGAACATTCTTCCTCCATTTCTTCTAATTGTCTCTTTAATCCTTTAACTCGATTATTTGCCTTCTCAATTTGTTCTTTAAATTGATCGGTATGACGACGCTCATCATCGATCTGTATTGTAACTTCTTTCAAGCGCTTCTCCAGTTTACGAGCAGCTTTGGTTGCTGCTTGTTTCTCTTTCATCTCCATGTCTAATTGTTCTTCAAGTTGAGCAATTTTGGTTTCCATTGAAGCAAAACTAGCCTTGGTTCGAGATCGTTGGGACGTTTCGACTTCTTGAAGTTTTGCTTTAAGCTCTTTGTTTTGCCTTTCAATAACAGATTTATCGTTTTCAAGTTTCTGCATAGATGCTCTTTCATTTGCTAATTCAGTATTTAAAACTTCGATCTGAGCTGTTACTTTACGAAGTTTATCTATGGCCATTTCAGCATTGGATTGTTCTTCTTCCAATTCTTCCTGTAATTGGGCAATTTGAACTTCAAGTCGTCGTTTATCTTCTTGCATTAATGAGAAACGATTAACATGAGTTTCAATTTCTTCCATTAATTCTTCTCTGTCATTTTCGGCCAATCTTCGAGCCCTATCACTGGTAGCTAAGTCTTCTTGAAGATGAGCTACCTCAGCTTCCAACTGTTTTGCTTTCTTTTCAGCTTCTTTGGTTTGAGCAACCAAAGATTCACGCATTGAAGAGGTTTCTTCAGAATCCTTTTGGAATTCTTTCATTTGAGCTTGAAGGCGCTTGTATTGACGATTGGCTTCTTCTTTTAATCTATTTGAGATTTCTAACTGCTGTTCAAGTTCGTTGTAATCACTTTCTAATTTCTTTTTGGCCGCCATAGCGAGACTCTTCTGCTTTCGTTCGTCTTCTAATTCAGCTTCCAAGTCCCTGATTTGTTTCAAAAGACCGCGACGTTTTTCTTCAGATTGTTCATCTCGTGCAAGTAAATCACGTTCAAATTGAGCTTTCAAAGCTTGCATGTTAACCTCTAATCTCAATTTGACATCTTCGGCTAACTGCAATTCATCTTCCAGTTCTTCAATTTGGGTCTTCATATCGGTAACTTGATTTTCCAAAGTACGTTTGGCCTTTTCCAATTCATGAACGTTCTTATCGGTATCACCTTGATTACTCATCAATTCATCTAATTCAGTTAATAATTGTCTCTTGAGTCGTTCAAGTTCTTCATACTGTTCCTCTTTTTCTTCCAAGGCACGAATTAATGATAAAATTTTCGTTTCTTTTTCTCGGACCTCTCTTTCTGCGTTATCACGTTCGGCAGCGATTCTTTCAGAGGCTGCCTTTTCTTCTGCTAACATAGCATCAAACTTTCTCTGCTTCTTCTCAAGCTCGGAGACTTTAGCACGTTGATTTTCCAGTTCAACATTCAGATCTTCTAATTCTGATTCAAGTTTTTTCTTCGATTTCTCAAACTTATCAGAATTTCCAATAGTTTCCACCAGCTTTTGTTGCAATATCTCGATTTCTTTTGTTAACCGTTTCTTAACTTCTTCACTTTGAGCCAACATGTCATTTTCATCATCGGTGCGTTTCTTGAAATCGTTGATTTGACTTGACAATTCAACAATCTTTTTCTCAAGTTGTTTCTTTGTCTCTTCTTCTTCCTCAAGTTGCTCGGCAAGGTTTTCTTTCTCTGACTCCATTTGACGAAGTCTAGTGGTAAGTGACAGCTTTTGTTTAGTCTCTTCATGGAGAAGATCTTGTGATTCAGATAATTGAGCCTCCAAAGCTTGATTATTTCTAGCTGTTTGACTGGCTCGTCTTTCTAACTCTTCAAGCTGAGCATTCACATTATCAAGCTCTGCTTGTAATTTGGAAGACTTTTCATTCAACTCAACTTTACTTCTTTCCATATCGACAAATTTGGTGGTCATTTCTTGAAGTTGAATTTCCAATTGTTTTCGACGACGTTCACTTTCTTGGCGAATGGCTGTAAGACTTTTGATTTCATTGGCCATATCAGCGTTTTCAGCTTCGAGGTTAGATTTAGCTTTCTCCAAACTGGCTTTAGCGCGCTTCAAGTTGTCTAATTGCTCGTTGAGTTCGTCGATACTCTTTGAATATTTGGCTCTGAGTTCAGCAACTTGTGTTTCGTGCTGTGAAGCTTCTTCCTCAATAGCACTTTTAATATGATGGAGTTCTTGTTCCCTCTTTATGGCGATCTCTTTTTGTGTAGCAGTCACATCCAGAGAATCCAATAATTCATTTTTGAGAGCTTCCAATTCCTCGTTGAGGTCTCTCTTTTGTTTTTCAGCTTTTGCACGAGCTTGTTTTTCACTTTCCAAATCTTCTTGAAGTTCAACAAGTTGAGACTCAATGTCTCTTAAAACTTTCTGAGCTTGGCCTTTGAGAACACTTTCTTCATCACAGCGTAAATAAGCTTGACTCAATTCCTCTTCTCGTTTACCAAGTTGAGTTTGAAGTTCTTCTAGTTGAAGACGTTTCTCATTCAACTGTTCTTTGACATCGTTGAGCTCAGTCTCAAATCTTCTTTTAACTCGCTCCAATTCTTGACGAATCTATGGTTACAATGGGAGAAGACAAGAGAGAAAAGGCGAAAGGGTGAGTAAGATAATTTAATTAAGGGGTGAAGCAAATGACTAAGATTGAGTTGAAAGAATGATGAGTATACTAGTTTAATTAAATTTTTAACTTCAAAACACAAATAATAAAATAAAATTCTACTCTAAAATGTAACAATCGAAACGAAATTTTGAATTCAACCAATCTTTACTCATAATTTACTGCTTGATATGAAAAATTGTGTCCTCAGCTGTGTTTACATGATACAATTTTTAATAAGTTGAGTGTAGGTTTATGGTAACAAAAAACCATGACAAGATTAAAATTAGAGATTAAAAGAATTAGATCTTCGTTTTAAGCTCAACTTGCAAAATTGTTTTAAAACAAAGGCAACTAAATGAAGCAGCCAGATGAACTGCAAAACTTTCCTGCCAAAATAATGAAACAGCTATGATTCACTGACTACTATTAAACAATTAGTTATTTTTTGTTTTTTTCCCATGAAAATAGACTAGGTTGAAAAGTGTCTTCTTAAATAATTATCACATGATAATATCATACAAAAGTTATTAACCTTGTCGAACTGTATATTTTATAAATAATGTCAAAGAGAAAGGTAAAGGTAAAGGTGATTATGATAATTACCTGAGTGTCTTTTGAAAGACGTTCTTCAAGATCTTGAATGGTTGTTTCGTGTTTGGCTTTCAATTTACTGAGGTGTTTGGCCTTTTCTTCCTCTTCGGACAATGATTTGGAGACTTCGGCCAGCCTTTCTTCAAGAACTTTCTTCTCTTTGACTAATTTGTTGTTGGAATCATCAAGAAGAGCATTTTCCTCTTCTAATTTCTTGACTTTGGCGTCTAATGTACATTTTTCTAGTTGAATTTTCTGTCGATTAGCTTCTTCTTCCTCCAGTTGCTCTTCCAGATCTTGAATGACTACTGCAAGTTTTCGTTTTTCTGCAGCAAGAGCTTGATTACGTTCTTCCTCTTCTTCGATTCGAGCTTCTAAATCATGCAAAATATCTTCTAACTCTTGTTTTCGTGCAGCAAGTCGAACTCGAGCGTCTTCTGCTTCCTGAGCTATCTCAGTCTCTGCTTGAAGCTGTTCAACCAGAGCAGCTTTTTCTTCTCTTTCTGCACCTAGTTTCTTTTCCATTTCATTGATTTCCAATTCCAATTTTTCTTTAAGTTCTCTCACATGACGAAGTTCATCTTCTTTGGCAAGTAACTGTTCATCATGTTTGGTGACTTGAAGTAAAGGTTTTACTTTAGTATACAACCTCCACCATGACCAATTGCGAAGCTTTAAGTAAGCTGCACAGTTACGTTGAATGATTCGAATAGCATTGAGCTGTTGTAAACGTTTCTGATAGTTACGTCGAGCAATCAGACCACGACACATGGCTTGGAAATTTTTGATTAAATCAGATATTTTTGCATCTCTTTCTTCCTCCAATTGCGCTAGTACACCAGCTCGGAAGAAAATTTTACTTTGACCAATACGGTAAAGGTTGGGATCTAAATCAAGTGCTGCAATCATCTTCCCACAAGCTAATTTACCATCCATAAATCCCTTAGGTATTGCATTGGGTGTGAGGAGTTCATACCTATTAAGAAATGGGTAGTAAACGGAGGATGGATGAATGAGAGAAGAGAAAAAAATATGATGAGTAAGATCAGAATGCTATTTTAAAAATGGATGATGAAAATGACTAAGAAAAGATGGGATCACACTCATCATCATCATCTTTACATTGTCAATTACAAACAAATACACAGAAAACCTTACACACTTAAAATATTGACTAACTTTTCACTCAACTCATTTAGCTTATTAAGAGTACGTAATACATTATTGTTCAAGGGCGGTAACGGTGTGTTATTGGAAAAGTGAAACCCCAAAGAGAAACAAATTTATCCGTCAAATTAGCTTGATTACTGTTGATATATCAATTTGATTTCTTCTTTGATTTATTTCAACTCTGACTATTTTGTGAGTTTAACCAGTGCCAATTGAAAACGTAAAAGATACAAACATTAATTAACTCTAAGAAAAAAGGTGATAATCAGCAATAAATAAAGGAGCAAAAATTGAAAAATGACATTGTCAGACAACCTACTGGGACAAGAAGATGAAGGATCATGAGAAGTGGGAAAAAGTTTCAAAAAATTACATATTTACAAGGAAAAGTAAAAGATTGCTGAATAAGCGTCAATTAACTGAGACTTCAGCTGAGAAACATTGAAGCCAGTTATACAATATGATTGGTGAAAAAAGTATCTCAAAATTGATGTATTTTTTTCACCAACACTTATGTCATGCATCTATTGATATTTGTGTAAATAAAGGAGGACAGAATTTAAACCTGATTATGAGTCAAGAATTATAAATGTTTACTTGTAATTGGATGTATGAAAAGCAAAATAATCAACCATTCCTAACTAACATAGGGTGAAGAGTATGTTAAGTATATTCATTGTAACATTTGTTTTAGTGTCAGTAATAATGCAAGAAAAAAAATATCTGCTATTGACAAAAAGGTGTGTATGTACGGCTGTCGTTGAGAGGAGAATGGAAAGAAAGAGAATAGAAGAGAAGAATTGAAGATGAAGTATTCAGTATCATTCATTCATTATTTAGACAAATGAAAGACATTAAGAGGCTATGGAAACCAGGCTAATTGGCGTGGAAATTGCTTTGTAATAGTCGCCATCGAGTAAGGTTGAGGTAAAAAAGGAGCTTGCATGATTAGAAGGATGAAATGGCGTTGAAATGATTCATCATAAGTTAATCAAAGTTTTAACAGTGAGGAGTGAGGGAGAGATGATGATGATGATGAGATTAGGTTGAAAGTAAGGGGGAAAAGCTTTTCAAAATTTCACAGTCACATCGTAAATCACCTAAACAATAATGGAACAATGTAAATATAAATAAAACCAATTAAAAGAAGCGAAAGAAGCAAAACAATGAAAATCATCAAGTCAATAAAGATGAGAAGACAGCATTAAAAATATTAATAATCCTAATAAATAAAATGATCATTATCAACAAAACATGAGTCGATGTTGATAATCATCATTAAGTTGATCATCTTATAAATTTATAATTCCCTTTTCCTATCCCAATTGATAAACTGCCACTTAAACTGTTACTTATACGTTTTTCATTGGGTTTTTGTTTTTTTCATTTAACAGTCTTTTTTTCCTCTCGTTTTTCATCCCACTTGCTGAAAGAGCTAAGAAAATGAAAATGATGGCGAAAAAGAAAAATCATCGACAGATAATTAGGATTCAAGTTGGGATAAATTATTGGCTGTCAAAGATATTTCATTATTCAAATAAGTTACTCATGATTACGATGGTTATTTGTGTGAGATAAAAAGAGGAGTCGAAGAGTAAATAAGTTAAAATGGATGAATGAGAAGTTGAGTGAGATTAAGTAATTGGAAAGGTTGATTCAAGTCAATTTTAAGCATCCTTTTTTTGGGGGTGTGTGAAAATAATTTCATGGGATATCCATGATTCTTAAACGGATATCTATCCAGCTATACATGGAATTATTAAATTCTGTTCACTTTCATTTTTCACATTGATTTCTCTTCCTTTCATTTATTCCTTGATTTCTTTATGATAGCGATTGAAACATCCCGGATGCATTGATAATAAACCTATCAAACAGAAACTTCAGTGTAAATATTGGAATGAAATTAATATCAACAATAACATTAGTAATCAAATTGTGCATCTGCACCTTTAACATAATTTTTGTGAAAACATATATAGATTTGTTTTTGTTTTATGTGCAATATTTCCTGATATAATTTGATAGGCTATCTAATGATGGAAAAGTAGTAAAATAAAAATGGCATGAAAGAGGATTCACCATTCATGGTATTGTTGGTGAGAGAATGAAAAATTAGTATTTTAAAGCAGATATATTTACACATAGTTTAACCTTTTCTGTAGCATGTTTTTAAATACTATTTAGGCAAACTTAGATAAGATCCCAGATATTTCCATTAACCATTGACTATGTTAACTTCACTTCTCTTTACTTTCTTTTCATTCTTTTTGTCACTCTTCTCAATATTTTTATTTTTTTTCTTTCACTCTCTTTTGCCTGGTGAAAAAAAAGCCTGATAGTAAAAACGACAAGTATGTGTAAAGTTCATGTTCTTGAGTCAACAGTACTTTTCTTGTCTATTGATGTTGATCACAGAAAATTCTGAGCTTTTGTGTATCTCTGACAGAAAACAAGATTCAAGCATCTGTGCAATTATGTAAACGATCTCTTTCAATGTTAAATTACTGATAACTTATTTTCTCACTTTTCTTTATCTTCCTCCTCAATTTTACTTTTGTTTGTATTCATGCAAAATCAGGATTTCATAAAGATCACTTTCAATGATGATAATGAGTCTGATATTAGTGAGAAAAAAGTTATTTCCCTAAAAAGACTAACCTTTGTCTGAACTCTTGGAAAGGTATGCGATTAGGAAAACCTTGTCGGCAAATACGGATTCCTTCAAGAACACCATTGCATCTTAATTGATCAAGAACTAGAGTGGCATCAATTTTACCAGCTTTCTTTTCATGGTTAGGAATGATACATCGAACAAAGTTTGGATTGGTATTTCGCAGAGTAACCATCAATTTAGATAGTTGGTCTTTGTAAAACTGACTGACGGTCCTAAACATTCCTTTTCTTGTTCTTGCTCCGAATTGGGTGTCTCCCATGGTTGCCATACCCATGCCAACAATTTCAGCTGTAAAAATCAGAGTTAGAAATCAATGAATTAGTATCAATAATAAAGTCAGCAGCTATTTTCTAACTCAATTTTCGTCATCTATCAGTTACTAATATAGCAATATGATGAATTGCTTAATGATAGATAATCAGATGATAGATAATACAGTTGATTAATCTATCAGCTATAATATGACATTACCATCTTTCCATATTTGCATAATAAAAGGTTCAGATGAGTTTTGTAAAAGAACAACAACATTTTCATTCAATGGATCCATATTTTTCATCAGCCACTGATTTGCTGAATAATCAACCTGTTAGTGAGTGTTTCAAAGCCATATGAGAAGATTAGTGAGAATGAAAAAAAATGTTAAAAGAAAAGAAAAAGAGAATGAATTAGTGCTCAGTAAAACAATAGTAAAGTGACCTTAGACTAAATGAAATGTTAATTTACATACCTTTCCAGCATAGTGAATGATGCTAAAATCAGCAGACACTCGAAAATCAGATTTAATGAATTTAGGGTGCGTTGCATGAGCTGAAACTAATTTTTCAACGAAAGTTTTATCCGTTGCTTTCGGGAACCAACATTCTTCATCTAGAAGTGCAAGAATACCCATTGGCTGAAAAAATTAAAGAAGAGAGAACAATTAGATTAATTTGTTAACATGATTATTAACCGAGATAGCGTTCAAATTAAAACATATGTTTCAATAAAATGAGTTAGTTATTCACCTTTTCAATAAGATCAATTGTTGGCTGAAGATCAAGGCCGAAATCAATAAACTTCCATTCAATACCTTCCCTTTGATATTCTTCTTGTTCCAAAACAAACATAGTGTGGTTAAAAAGTTGCTGTAACTTCTCATTTGTATAATTTATACAGAGCTGTTCGAAAGAGTTGAGGTCAAATATCTCGAAACCAGCAATATCAAGAATACCGATGAAGGAAGCCCCTTGTCTTTTTGTTCTATCGAGTGAACGATTAATTCGATGGACCAGCCATTTAAACATTCGTTCATAACAAGCTTTAGCAATTGCTTCAACAGCTGATTCAACTTGCTCTTTAGTTTGGGCCTTAGTGACAAAATCACGGCCTACCCGTAGTCGTGGTTTAAGGAATGCTTTAGTCATTTCGGTAACATTCATCCCGAGAAGATGGCTAATTTTTTGGGCAACCGTGTTGTCAGGTAATGTGGCTTGATCTGAATTTCTTTCTTGTTTAAATTTCATATTACCGAAGAGTAACACGGCAGAGATTACTTTAAATATGGCACTTAAATCTTCAGGACTGAGACCCATTATTTGCATAGCTTGAAAAGTATTTTTAAATTCAAAGGCGTCATCAACACCCGGTACAGGTACATTACCATGGGTGAGGAATGTGTAATTTTTAACATCTTCCAAAAGAAATTCTTTCGACTGTTCGGGTGAGGCACCATTCAATAATTGATAAAATATATGGAAACACCTTTCATCGACTGCTTGCCTGATTGTCCGAGATTTTTCTAAAAGGTAAGTCTCAATATTGGCTCCCGCAATGAAACCAGAGGCATCAAAATTAATCCTTATGAATTTACCAAATCGAGACGAATTGTCATTTTTGACCGTTTTGGCATTACCAAAAGCTTCTAAGATGGGGTTGGCTTGAAGCAATTGTTGTTCAAGTTCACCTGATTGAACTGCAGCTACGATGGACGGTTTAGGCTTAGATGAGGCAACAAAAGCTAAATACTGAATAACTTTTTTAGTATTCTCTGTTTTACCAGCACCAGATTCACCAGTACAGAGAATAGATTGATCTTCACGGTCTTGAAGCATACTCCGGTAGGCACCATCTGTAACGGCAAAAATATGTGGAGGTACCTCATGTTTCTTTTTACCTTTATACAATTCGATAACCTTTTCTGTGTAGATAGGTAACTTTTTGTATGGGTTGACAACTACACAGAACAAACCGGAATAGGTGTAGATAAGGCAAGAAAAATAACGATCTTTAAGATTGTGTAAAACGGATGCTTCATTGAGGCATGTTAACTCGGCCATATCTTCAACTTTATTAAACCGCGGTGGATTCATTTTTTGAACATCATCTTTGGGAACTATAACTTTTTTCCCCGTTTCAACTATTTCAACCTCATATTCATCACTAGTTTCACCTCTTATAGAGGCTGCCACAAATCCTTGGGTATCATGGGGAATCCAGATTAACTTTTTATTTGACCATTCAGCCTGTTGGGCTGGATCAGCCACTAAATTCCGATCAACAACCAAATATTTAAGTTCAGGATCCTTGGATACATCAATACGACCGTTTGGTTGGACTTCCAACCCCATAGAGGCCATGTTGGTACACTAAATAAAATTAATAAACAGTTGTCAGTTTGACTAAAGGTTAAACTAAATTAACATACACACACAAACAAAAAAAACAAATAAATGAGAACTTAAAAATAATAAGCTTTGACGAACAAAGGCAGAGTGATGATGTTCAGAATCTGAATTGGATATTACTGTAGCCTGTTGAGGTGTGTCAAAAAATGAGAGACTCTCAGGGGCAAAGCAAGGGGATTGTCAATCAAAGCGGTAATTTTAACTTTAAAAAAGGTTTTCCCAGCTTGAAGGCAATATACAGTTCTTTTCGGCATCAATAGATGGCAATTTAGTAGAGGTAACATCAGCATCACTTGGTTTGAGCGACTTCCGTTTAAAGAAGATTTTGAAACATCTTGCAAATCTATTTTGATTGTTAACTTAGTCATTTGATTGTCACCCTCTTTGTTTATTTGTAATCATTTGACTATCGTTCATTATTTAACATGGTGAATGAGAATCACGTTAACGGATCACCAGATGATCTTACCGATGAACCTGATTTTAGTGATCCAGAGGATTATATTGATGATGTACGAGATGAAGGTAAAAAAACTGCTTTACTTTTCTTACAATAGACATTTTTCACTTCTTTACTGTTCCAACTTTACCCTTTTTTATTTATTTTGTGCCTTATGTTTTACAATGTTGAGCTTTATACTATTATCATTTCGTTCACCACCTTTCTGTTGTCTAGTTTCCTAAATTTTCTATTTTGGATCTTTTGTCCAATTTTTACTTTGTTTCCCTTTCATCGTTCTAATTCTGTATACACGTGTTAAAGTTGAAAAATTGTCTTTATAAATGGCACTACTTTACTAGTGGTTTGTATTTTGTTTCTAACTTATTATCTTATGTTTACTTCTAGATCTGTTGCCTGAACTGTGGAGAAAAAGACCCAAAGAACAAGACGGTTTTGACAATGTTATTGTTGTTGATCACATCCCTCAAGTTGGACCAGACCGGATTGAGAAACTTAAAACTGTCCTTAAGAAGTTCTTTAGTAAATTTGGTAAATTAGTTGGAGAACCTCATTATCCTCTTGATGACAAAGGTTATACTAAAGGGTATGTTGTCAACTTTCAATATTTCTGATTGATTCCTTACTGACTCTTTTTATTCATCTCTATTTTTCAGGTATATGTTTGTTGAATATGCCAACCCTGATATGGCTCAAGAAGCTGTCAAAGCTGCTGATGGACATCATCTTGACAAGCAACACGTTTTTGCAGTTAACTTATTCACTGAAATTGAAAAGTATTCTAATATTGAAGAGGATTGGGAACCGCCAAAGCCTCAGCCATATAAAGACCGCGGAAACTTGAGGAATTGGCTATTAGATCCTGATTGTTATGACCAATATAGTGCTCTTCATGATGAGGGAAAGATAGTTACCATTTTTAAAAATGCAACCCCGGATCCAATTGCAGTTAAAGAACGAAAAGCCTGGACAGATGCAGTTGTTATCTGGTCTCCATTAGGTTAGTCTGCAATTCTTTATCATTCATCTCCTTTGTTCATTGTTGCATTGTTTACTATTCTGTTAATTTTTTTTCTTCATTAAATAGGAACATATATTGCAACCTTCCACAGGAAAGGAATCGCTCTTTGGGGTGGTGATGAATTCAATCAAATTGTTAAATTCTCACATGAAGGAGTTCAATACATTGACTTTTCTCCCTGTGAAAAATATCTTGTTACATTTAGTCCAATTTTAGCTGCCAATGATCACCCTGAAGCTATCATTGTTTGGGATGTTCGCACAGGAGTTAAAAGAAGGGCATTCCATTCAGATCAAGAGAAAGTTAATTGGCCTGTATTCAAATGGTCTCCCGATGATAAATATTTCGCCCGTATTGGACCAGATATGCTGAGTATTTACGAAACACCTTCAATGGCTCTTCTAGAGAAAAAATCAATGAAAATTGCTGGTGTTAAAAACTTTTCTTGGTCTCCATCACAAAACATACTCGCTTATTGGGTAGCTGAGAATAAAGATGTGCCAGCCAGAGTTACATTGCTTGAAATACCTTCTAAAAATGAATTAAGAGCGAAAAATCTTTTCAATGTTGCTGATTGTCGCATGCATTGGCAAAAGTGTGGTGATTATTTATGTGTTAAAGTCGACCGGTACACCAAAGTTAGAAAAGAAAAGAATGAAGTTAAATATTCTGGAATGTTTTACAACTTTGAAATCTTTGACATGAGGAAAAAAGATATTCCAGTGGCTAGCATTGAGATTAAAGGTTGGTATTTGATTTGAATATAATAGTTATATTTCGTTATATTTCGTTATATTAAATCGATCATTGCATATTTTTTCAGAGGGAATTGTATCTTTCGCCTGGGAACCGGTTGGCAATAAATTTGCCATTATTCATGGTGATGGACCACAATTCTATACTGTCTCCTTTTATGGTATTAAACAAGGAACTACAATTTCTTTATTAAGTAAGTTTTATTTTTATGGTTTCGAGTCGAGTCGGCATAGTTAACAAATTATTAATTTTTTTCACCAAATTAGAAAAATTCGACAACAAGCAATGCAATCATCTCTTCTGGTCTCCTAGTGGTACTTTCATTGTGATGGCTAGTTTGCGAAGCATGAACCATGGACTCGAATGGGTTGATACTTCTGATAACTTCAGTGTAACTAATACTGGTGAACATTTCATGGCCACCGATGTGGAATGGGATCCGACTGGTAGATATGTTGCTACTGCTGTCAGCTGGTGGGCTCATAAGGTTTGTATTGAATAACATGATACTCTTACCATATAAATTTAATTTAAAACGTGAACAATCTTATCTCATGATATATTTCTCTTTCTTTATATTATTTAGGTCGATAATGCGTATTGGATTTGGTCTTTCCAAGGTAGACTTATAAGAAAACACACTTTAGATAAATTCTGCCAATTACTATGGAGACCCCGACCACAACCCCTGCTCAGTGAGGAAAAGATCAGAGAGATAAAGAAGAATCTTAAACAGTACTCAGCAGCATTCGACATTAAGGACAAGATGATGATGTCCAAAGTGTCTAAAGATATTCTGGAAAAGAGAAAGAGGTTGATGGACGAATTCAAGGACTATAGAGAACGAAAACAACAAGAAGCTAAGATTAGGCGACAAAAATTATTACAATTGCGAGGCATCCGAGATGAAAAGAAGGAAGGTGACAGTGAAGAAATAGTTGAATTTTTGATTCGAGAAGAAAAGATCGAGTTAGGTCCTGATGATTAAAATTATCTGTTCTTTCTATAGAGCTTTGATAAATAAAACTCAACCTTCAAGTATGATACAAAAAATCACTAATCAGACTTGTATTTTAAATAACTTAATCTTTTCGGTGAATAAAGTTTATAAAAGAGACAATAAAGCTCTGTTTGCTCATCACCTTTCATGCTGATAAATTTAAAAACTGGGCATATTCGCGCTATTGAAAATCTCCTGTACACAATTTCCGCGAAAATCGAGTTGAAACGTGAAAACTCGATGACTTTTTGTACAGTTATGAAACAAATTTTTTCCATGAAACTTATTTTAAACATATCTTTAGTCGATACTTAAGAGTCTTTTCTGTTCATTGATATTTCTAATGTTTCATATTTCCTTATCAAAGCAAGAATTGATATCGCATAGTACCGCATCATTTGCTCATGAATCTATTGATTGTCTTTTCAGCGGTGCAAGCAAATCTCTATCACTTGTAAACAATAGCTTTGATAATATCATCCTCAAAGAAGCAGTTGAAAGGTACCAGAACTTATTGAAATTTTGAATCGGAAAAATTAAAATTGAAATAAAAATTAAGAGCGATTAAACCGATTTTAAAGCGATTTCACCTTCATTTTTGTTGCCCTTTCAATGAATAAACTATTTTTTGAGCCACTTTCACAAGCTTGAATCTCCAACTAGCTTCAGTAAAATTCATCCTATTATCATATCTTCTGGTCTCCTAGTGGTACTTTCATTGTAATGGTTAGTATGCGAGGCTTGAATCATGGACTTGAATGGGTTGATAACTCTGATAACTTGACGTTAACTAATGTTAATAGTTGCGTCAATAGTAAGCTTAATATTATTTGATCTTTATCATGTGGTGAAAGAATCTGATACTAATTATTGCATCGGTATTGTTCGTACTTTGCTTTAACCTAATTCATAATATCAAATATCTTATACCTAAAGGTGTTTTATTCAAATTGTGAATAAATTACAATCAACATGATCAATTGCCACCTTGAGAAGCTTATATAAATCTGATGTCTTTGCATAAGTCAGGTTATTGTTTTATTGTTGGTCCATTGATCTAGTAACTATTGCAGTTTTGTTTTGTTAAAATTGAGATTCAAAATGAAATCTACTTTTCTTGCTTTTCTGGTAACCTTTGCGGTTCTTATGGTGTAAGTTCAATTTATAGATATTTAAATGTTTTATTTCTTATCTTGCCACTCAATTGATTGTTATTATTATCATTACAGAATCTTCCCTGTGTTTCATAGTCAGGAATCAACAGCAATGAAGCCTCGTCCCAGCTCATACCACTTGGATGAATTAGCCTTACTCCACAAAGAAGCAATTAAATACCATGAACATCACATTGAACGTGATGGAATCACTAAACGTAAAGCTCCTAAGAGACGTCCTAAAAAGAGGCCAACAACAACTGAAACACCATTGAGTGGCAATTCTGAACCAACTAGTCAAAAAAATCAAGCAACTGAATAACGTTTGACTTACTTTATGTTAACTCTAAGTTTATGTTTAAATCAATGTATCATGTTTATCATTTATTAATAGTTAAATTGTTTTGATCTTAACCCTTGACATTGTTTTCCTAATTGTATTCTGAAATAATAATAAAGTCTGAACAGTTTGTCTTGAAATAAACTCAACAGTTGATTAACTGGCCACAAGTTTGGGTCCAACAAGTAAAACAAAAAGCACTGGTCCGGTAATGATACGCACTTTAATCACAGTAAATCTACAGTGGCAATTTATTGGCAATTTACTGCTCAAATTAAGAGTCATTTCAAGCCCATATATCAAGTAAATGAGTATTTCAATGATTGTATAAATGAGATGCATGTAAAATTATGCAGCATTGAAAAAAATATGAACACAGGCAATTGAAGCATCAATTGTCAATGATTAAATTTCAATGAAACAAAAGTAGATCAATAATAGGCTTTATCCAGTTATAAGTCTATAAACAGTAAACCTAAGATTACAATTGATTGTATTACCATTGATTGACTTAACCGGTCAAGTTAACCAGCATCACAACAATATTATGAGTAATAGTTGAATAAGTAAAGGTAATAATTGAAACGCAGTGAAGTTAAAGTTGATTAAGCAAATTTGCAAAGTCACGTCTGAAAGTCCAATACAAAATGGTGTTCAACTGAAGGTAAAACCACTAATGTAAATATAATTGTTTACTTCTGTGTAATTTTCACATGAAACCAAAGCAAAATGTAAAAAGAGTGTGAAAGGTCATGGGTTAGGGTCAAGTTTCTCTGTGGTTACTTCTTCCTGATTAGCAAGCAGTTATATATTGTTCAGGATTGAAGAGAAAGAGAGAAACCAAATGTTTTCAAGAAGCAAACTAAAAAAACATGGAAAAAGAGGGAAAAAGTTAGCCTTTTTTTCAACAAACTCATGTTGTTGAGGAGAAAATAAAATGTATAATATTGTAAGGAGCCAATGGTTAATGTAAGGGAAAGTAAATATTATGTGTAAGTTCATTTTTTAGAGCTAAAAAATGCTTATTGTTATTGTCAGCCGTTTATCGTCTTAGCTATATCAACCATTCAACTCTCTCCCTCTTTCTCTCTCCTCCTTCTATTCATCATCATTATCATCATTCTCTTCTTTTCTCCTTCTCTTACAGATAAATGGCCTAGATGTTTGTCTCCAATTTTTTTCTTTTCACCTTTTAGTAACATCGGTTACACATTGAACGGTTAGACCATATTTCAACCGTTTTGTCTGGTTTCAACCATATTTTTCTTTTTCACTCTTTTCCTCTTCTTCTTCTAGTTTCTTTAAACAATTGTGATAGTATATAAATAATTGTGTTTATATATTAATTATTATGTGGTTTTGATCATTAACCTTCGAACCATGATTTGTTTCTATCGATGGCCCAATCATATTTACCAACATACCAAATGTAAGTAACAAACACCTCTTTACCATATTAGTTTCAGTCAAACTTATCTTATTGACCGTCTTTAGTCTTTACTTTTGATGACGGTCAACTTTGAAATAGCCAGCCAATTTAGTTCATAAACAGTTTGTTCATAAACACTGAATTTCGTTTAAACCCTCACCAAATACAATAACTTTCCCATTAGTGCCTATTTTTGGGTTATAAAGCGTTCGAAGCAAAGACTTTTCAACTTTTTGTATAATACAACACATCTGCTATACGGACAAATATGATCCAATTGGCTCATGTTTAGCTCTAAATGATAGCCATTTTATATCCAATTAGTGTGACGGTTCATCATATTAATTAGACCATCTTTTATACACCAAAACAACTGTTATATTAACTATTACATCTTTCTAATGGTTTCCGTTTCCTATGATTTTTTCTTTTCTTTAGTGTTTTATTTGTTGTTTTGGGGATAAATGTTATTTTTTGGATCATTCTTCTTTGTTGGAGGTTTTTTTGTTTCGATACAATGGCCAATAATTTAACAAGATGTCGCCGATTCTTGAACTCATTAACCAGCTTATCAATCAATGTTAACCAGGTAAGAATTGATTGCTTTTTCATATGTCTTAACCATCGATAATTGTAATACATTTTAGTCCAAGTTTCTTGTCCCAGGATCATTAAGTGCTCCAAACCAGAAGGTTAGGTAGGAAAGGAGAAATACTTTTCTGGTTTTGTTTCATGAGACTGTTCAATTTATTGATTTGGTATAATTTATTAACTATAGATTGCGTTTCTGAACCATTTATATTTTTTCCCATTGGATATTCCTGAATATTATTATTATTGCTAACAGAATGTCAATGATCTGTAACAGACAATTGAAATGGGAAGAAACAAGTCAGGTTAATGGATAAACAAAGCTGGCAAGTCATCATCATCATCAGTAAATCTTCATATACAGACCCAATGCACATCAACTAGTAATCATGCAATCATCAATTATTTACCAATAAATTATTCCAGGAAGAGCATTTCAATCATCTCTATCGATTCAACAGTTACAATGTTTATCAAGTTAACGAGGAAACATCTCTCATTAACTTAATATCCAATTTACACTTTATGCAAATATTAGAGCTTCAATTTTCGCATTACAAGATGCTATTAAGTTAAATTTTCTGCTATTTAACCAGCCATTTGACAACAATTTCAATAGCAGTTGAATTTAAAAATCATTACCATTAATTGTCTTTCTCTCTCTCTTTCTGAGTCACTTGAATTACACACCAACTAATTTAATCAAATTGTTAATTATTCAGTATTGTTAAGACAATGACAAGGTCAAGTTAACTTTATGGTTATCAATTAACAGCCAGTGATGAGGGAAGAAGCGGGTTTTAAATGAAGGTTAATCAAGTGACTCAAATAATTTAATCAACTTCAAGTGTCTCAAAACAATGCTTTATTTTAATCCTAGTAAATATATTTTTAAGGATCTTGTTAATCAGCTAACTCTCACAAACCTTGTAATTGAATGAGTTTGAACTTGACACTAAAATGTATTCAATTGAATATTGATCGATAGCTTATAATTTCATCCAATTGTTCAATAAGAATTAAATTGTGAATCATTTTTCATCGATCACTATTGCCTAAAGTAACAGGCAATATAAAAATGAATATATTTGCTCTCTACTCGACACTCTTTTCAACCTAATTGATTGATTATTTGCTTTATTTCCCTCTTTTTAGATGCACAATTTTACAATTAGAGGAGCCGTTTTGAGGATTAATAGTGATTTACCTCCACCTTATGAACAAGCCATAAAATATCCATCATTGACATCAATCTCAGGACAGTTGACTGGCCATTGTAACCAAGTTTTAATAGCTGAACATGCTAATTGTTGCTCATCTCAATTGGAACCAGCTCCAAGCTATTTTGAGTCACAAGTATTATCCTTGCCATTACATCAACCCCACACAGCGCCGTCATCTTCATCATCCTCGTCATCATCTTCATCTGTATCTTCATCATGCTCGACGAAACCAATCAAAGGTAGATCAATACACAGGTCTTTTTCATTTGGTGATATGGAAAGCTATAAAAAATTTCACCATTATTTAAACAATGTCTAGTGATGTACACATTTTTGTCAATCTTAAAATTGGACCCGCTTATACAATAAAGCAGTAACTCAAATTATTTAAATTGTTTTTTGTACTATTCCATTTCTAATGTTATAAGGTATTGCTGTCCCTTGAAAAGGATGAGTCAATTAGTTTGCTCAAATTGGTTATCAGGTAAAATTACGATAAACTCAATCAAGCACAGGGCAATGACCAAGCAACCTCTAGTAATTGGATACGATTTATTAAATTCACCATGATTCCTCAGAAATAAATGAAAACAAAAAAGGCTACAGAAAGCGTAAAAAATCAACTGATAGATTAAAGGAAACCCATGAATCTATCCATGGATAATCTGTAAAAAATAATTAAAGCAATGCTATTGAAAATTTCACCTTTCGATGATGTCTTTTGATTGTTGACACGATCATTGTTATGATTCACCAAAACTTTAGGTTCACCAATCTAAAAACCGATTTTGTTGAAGGTTGATGAGAATAGCAATTCTCAAATCTTAACATCAATAACAATTTCGTATATTAACTTGATTTGAAGAAAAAAGCTGAGCAATTAACTGATACAAACAGCAAGAGATGTGAAAGAAGTAATCATAATTGACAAAATACATAAATTGAAACATTGGAAATAAAAGATTTACAATTACAAATTCATGACTGATTTGAATAGTATTATGCACAAAATTAATGAAAAATTAAACTATCTGATGTAAAACTAGATATACAGAGTATTATAATGTTAGTTAAACGTTAATTAAAATCAAAATTTCGTTTTCTAAACCAATTTGTTGGTTAAATCAACAAAACAAAACTAAATTAAGTTAACCAAATAATTTGTGATGGTGCTGCCCTCTCGTGTTTCTTATCCTAACAAAATAATCGAACTCTCGAATATAAGTTTTGAGTCTCTTTGACTCTCTTTACGCTTTTCCTTCCTCTTTCTTCGTCTTCTGTTCTCTCTCTTTTTCTCTCTGTCTGTCTATCTCATCTTTTACCTTAGCATCATCATCATCAGCAATGGTAACATCAGCATCCTCATCTTCCCTCACTCGACCTGTCATCTTTACAGGCTTAAGACTCTCTCTTTGCAACTGAGTTCTCCTTCGTTTCCTGGTTCCCTATTTTTTTCGTAGGGAATTGGGTTTTATGGGCTTTGAACCAGAATTAAATTTCAAGGGAAATGGAGTCAATCAAATAAATAAACCGTAAGTTTTTTTGTCTTCACCTTCACTCCTCTCATAACCAATTAATATTTCTATTATTTATTCACTTCTTTTTTTTCAATCTACTTCATAAATTCACATTTATTCACTTTTTCCCTTTTCCTCTTCATCCTTTTTCCTCTCTTTCTCCTTTTTCTTCTACCTTAATCCTCATCATTATCATCATCATCATCGGCAGTCTCACTGTAATCATTATTGATTATTCTCATCACAAGAATTTTTTTTCATTCTTTTTCTTTCAATTCATCTTCATCTCTCTCTCGTCTTCTCAATGGCTCACCATCATTTACCAATGTTTAAACATGACACATCTTAGTTAATGATTAACCAGTTTTGTATTTGATAATCACTAACTAAATCTGCAAAGATTAAAGAGGAGAGACGAGAAAATAGTAAACAATCAATGAACAAGTTTCGCTTTTCGTTTCATCTTTCCTGATTCAAGTGATGTGTCGATTTTTCATGCATATATTGTGATATTGAACCAGAAGATTTGGCTTCAAGATTTGGTGTCAAACAAATTTAGTTTGAAGGTTTGGTCAAACAAATCGGGGTAGGATTAAAAAATTTGATTCGAGCCAAGTTAACCAGAAAAATACCAAAAGTGAAGAAATTAATTAGCAACCCGAAACCAGTCCAGACGGTGGCCTCAAAACCGTTAGCCTATTCACAAGCTGGTAGAATGGGTAACAAATTGAGTTGCTCTTGTGCTCCAATGATCAAGAAAGCCCAACAACAGGAAGAACAGCCCTACCAACAGCAACGTCGTCGTGATGGCCATTTACTTCGACTTTGGGCTGAAGTGTTTCACGTTTCAGCAGCTTCCGGAGCCATTCGCTGGCAACAGGTAACTTCCGATCTAGTTCCAGTCAACATAACCTGTATTCAAGATTCGCCTGAGTGTATTTTTCAAATTACCGCCTACAATTCACAAGTTGAAAAAATATTGGATGTCAGGTTAGTTCAACCAGGAACACGGTTAGGCCAAGCATCTGAATGTTTTGTTTACTGGAAAGACGTTGGTACCGGTGATACTTGGGGATTAAATTTTACTTCACCCGATGATGCCAAGCAGTTTCGTCTATTGTGTTCACCGTCTTTCAAGATATCACGTAAAGCATCTTCATCTTACTCTTTACGACTCAATGAGCCACCATCTAAAAGATCAGGTGGAACCGGTGGATCGGGTACTGTAGCTGATAGATCATTGGGAGTAAACAAACGCAAGCCCCAATCAACTCCATCTTCACCCTCGCGTCGTGGTTACAATACTTCGGAATTACAATGTACCTGTATGGCTGCTGATACACTTCATAAACAGCGAAATGGACGTGTTAGATACACTGGATCATCGACTATGCCTAAATCAGCTTTTCGTCATGATACACCTGGAATGACTGGTTATCCTACAACAACTTCAGCTCATGCACCAGCCACAGCAACTGGACAAACAGTTAGTAGACAAGTGGCTGGCAGTGGAGCTGGGACAGGTCGACCCTCGGGTCAACCTTCAATGTCTCATCATCATCAGGGCCAAGGTGTGGGCCCATCATCAACAACTCTTGCCTCTGGACGTGGTCATCATCTTGCTCAAACTAATGATGGAAGATCAATTTCACTTCATCAACAACATCAACAACATCCCCAACAACAACAGCACCCTTCCTCATCTCAACTCGCTCAGCATTCTCATCATCACCCACAACAACAACAACAACATCAACAGCAACAACAAGCTTCCCATATTTCCTCATCATCTGCCTCTGCCAATACTCGAAATGCTCAATATTCACGTGCTCAATATGCATCATCAGTGAGAAAAGAACAAACTCGTTCAATGGATTCTACTCTTTACCAATATCATGATAGATCAGGCCATACTGGTGTAGAAAACATGATGAACATGGGAAATCTAAAATCTGGACCATCTTCGGGTCATCATCATCCAATGGATTCCCATGGTTTCAGGCCAAATGAAAATGGACAAATGACGGGTAAACGAATGATGATTAACAACAACATCAACTCCAACAATAGCAACATACATTCAACCAACAATACCAATTACTCGCAACAATCAGCTGACATTAAATCTCGTAGTAAAAGCTCAGATGATGTTCGTCGAACCGTTGCCACCGGAACCGATGACCTTCTTCTAGATGCTAACACACTAAAGCGAATGTTGCACCCACTCCCAGGTAATCACGAGTCAAATGGAGCTAAAATGTTGTCAACCGGAGTCAACACAATAACAACATCAACCTCAACCTCAGCAGGTGGTCGACGAGAAATTAACTTATTTCAACGAACATTAACACGTCCAACCTCAGTTCCCGCTTGGAATTATTCCGATGATGGGATCACTCTAATGGGAGGAGGAGCTCATAACACAATGAGGCTCTCTCGTAGAGAGGAAGCACTTGAACGATCACGGGCTTATCGCTCTGAAGTGAGTCGTCGTCGATCTTTGGAGCGATCTCAATGTGTAGATTATACTGATCAGTCTCCACCTTCAGATCACTATTTATCTGATAATGCAGTTCGTTGTTATGCAACCACACCAACACCATCATCTTCAGGCGATGAAGGGTCAGCTTCTGTTCGTAAGCTTTTAGCCAAAGTGGATGCCGTAACCCGTGAAGCTTCAACCGGACCTGGTGGTGAACTCATGGTTGGTGGTAAGCGACCCTCATCACCAACCATCAAGCTTCTTCAAGAGTACGAGACTCACCTCAGAAATGCTCTAGCCAAAGGATGTGATGCAGACACTTATTCATTGAATACTTTTGAAACCATTTTATCGCAATCAATGGAAAATGTAGTCAGTTTAATGAGGGAAGTTCAAAATGAATTGGATGCCATTAGACGAGAAGAGCAACAATATCGATCAACAGAAGATCCAAGTGCATTCATTGCACCCCATTCAACACCCACCTCCTCAGGTCCCCACCATACACCTCTATTTGGAGGTTCCTATCATTCACTGCACCATTTACATCACAACCAACATCCTTTACATCATCATTCATCTTCCTCTATCCACCAGCTCACCTCAAACCAGCCAACTCAATTCCCATCAAGATCATCTTCACTCGTCAACAAACCTTATTGGACTCGCAGTTACACCTTACCTTCACGAGGAACTTCCCTTCCACCTCCAAGTCTTCAGGGAAGCTCAGCTTCAGATTTATGCTCAGTGTTAAAGAAAAATTCAGTTCCACATTTGCTGGATACTCTGTCGTCTGATGCAATCGGAAGACCTGGAGGTTTATTTCCAGGCTCTATGGTGGCTCAGGCCTCTTTTGAGAGCACTGACTCTAAAGCTTACTTAACATCATCTGAGGTAAGACTGAACAATTTCATTTTAAGGTTTCATTTTCAAAAATACAAATCAGCGAAAAAAACTCTGCACTTAGATTACTTGAAAGCATCCTTTGCCATCCAATAATTGGGTTTAGAGTTGGGTTTTCGAGGCTCAATTTCCAGTCTTATTGCGACTTACATCTTTCATCTTGTTATTTACAAATCGATTCTTTGATTGTGTAATTTTACTAAGCTTCATGATGATCACCATGATGCAGTCTTGTCAGTTTTATCTTCAATTTACTTCATTTATTCTGCTCTTGTTGTTTAAATAATTGATTACAGTCACTATTTATATTGTATTATTTTGTTTCTTCAATTTTATTAATGCATTATTGCATAAAAATTTTGTCATTTGTTACATTTACTTATCTGAAGTATTTTGTTACTCGACTAGTAAATTGGGACAAATAATTATGATCATCAAAATACAAATTAAAAGTGAATGTCCGAATAAATTAGCAAACAGTTGATTTTAATTGCCAGAGACACAAAGAAACAATTACCTTTTAACATTTATTCTGTTTATTCAAACTGTCTAAACAAGATTAAATTGCATTAAAAAACCAATTTAATTTACTAAATATTTCTCCATGTTATCACTGTCAGAACATTAAGTCTGATGGTTCCAAGTTTCATTGTCAGTGATCAAAAAATTGTTGCACTTTCATTGAAAATTAGCTTAAATCATTGAACCAGCTTGAAACCAGATTCACAATTTTCAATATTATAAATCAGTAAATCGTAAATCACATCATTCAATATATTGTTACTGACATAATTTGATCATCAAAAATGCTTGATATGCCAACAAAAATCAAAATGAAATTTATTTTCTCATGAAAAGATGATTCTTTGATATCAATGATAAAATGAAGTCAAGTACGGCTTTGGGTGAAAAAAGGTTACCAAAAAAGCCTTGTGCGTTGTTTATAAATACAGACATTTGGCATCGATCCAAACATCAAAAGCATAACCATCATTTGGCTAAAGAATCAGATTTTTGAGCTCATCTGATAACAATAAACGCTATTCACATCTAGATTACAATTTAATTTTGACGTTTACTGGCAAAGCAAGTTTACAAATTCTTGTTATCGTTTTTCAAAACCAATGACCTTAATTATGCTTTACTAAAATGATTACAAAAGCTCATTAAAATTACATATTCCCCAACAATTAGTTTAACAATTAGTAGCAAGAATGGTCAAAGAAATTGAGAAAATTTTTGGGTTCAAACAAGTCCTTCACTCCAATTATTCTGATAACTTCAGGGTTCCGTTGAAATTTTTTTGTATGTTTAACCATTTTATAGATTGATTCAAGCCTTTCATAGGTCCAAAGATACGGGCGATCAATAGTTAGTCCAAAGAAAATCTTAGAATCCCATGAACTGTTCAAGATGTTTAAGATTATATCTGAAACATTCGTGATAAAATGAAAACAGTTTCAACCAGCAATGTTATTATTTTGATCAATAAAAGTTGTAGTCGTTATCAGCTTTGTTGCAATAATAGTTGAACATAACCCGATAACATCACTATTAATATTGCATTAATCAAACCAGTTAAATCACAATTGAATTAACAGTTACATTTAAATAATCAGTACAATCTGATTATAAATTGAATAGCAAATCATTGAATCAACACTTTTAGTTAGTAAAAGTCATTTTGATCATTTTTTCATTTCTTTGTTAATTTCTTGTTTATTACTCCAACTGTGATTGAATCTCTTGAAAGTCAATCTGACTTTCAACACAAAAGCATTAACTAAATCACATTTCAAGAATGAATCTTCCAGTGAATCCATTCGCAATGAGCCACTAAATCATCCATTTGAATCAATGTCATTAAGACAATTTGTGTCAATCAATTAATTATAATTGATAAAAATTTATAAAATGTTGAAAAATAAATCTTAAAACCTCGAGTGAACAAACATAAATTGAAAAGTTACAAAATGAAAACAAGAAAAAAAGTTTCACCAAAAAAGTCGAGTGACGATGACTGGGATGAAAATTATGATGTTTATGATGATGATGAGTGAAATATTTCAAGTAACTCAAAGTTGATTGTGAAGATGCTTGAAGAAAAGGCAGAAAAATTTTTTGTTTAGAAGCAAAAAAAAGGATGAAATGAAAAGAAAGGAAAAAGAAATGTTCTGAACAAAAGGGATTGATATGATTCTGAAGACAGAAGAATGACAAGTTTCAGAAAAGTTTCAGACCAAAAGACAGTAACAATGATTTACTGAAGATGAAACTTAAGATGAGACAAAATTTATGAAAAAAATATGATAAAAAATGTGCTTATTAGTATATATTTGGGAGTGAAAAATATCAAAATAATAACAAAATGAGTTAACATAACATCATTTATTGAGAAAATTAAATATCTTTCAGAATATTTTCATCCTTTTAATGCCAATGTTTGCTTCACTTAAACTTCATTTGAAGATTATATTTATTCAATTCTGTGAATTGATTTGTCAAAAGATTACCTTTAATTCAACAGAAATCATTGTTACTTCCGATCTTCCAATTTAAATTATTGGACTTTTGTCTCAAAAGGTCGAACTTTTACGATTGTGACAAATTCGAGTTATTTTGATATGAAATCTTGTAAGGTTTTCAGATTCTCATTTTGCTTGGAATCCTGATTTGTTCAGTAACATTAAGTACAATCTTGTATAAAATTGACTGATTAACTGATACTTAAGTCTTGAATGTTTAATCGTCTTCCATCTCAATCGATTTGTTTGTTTTATCGTTGCATCTTTCCTGATCAAAATAACATTAGTTATCGATTAACATGAAAAGGATTGTTTAACCTTAAAATTTATTTAACCTTTCAAGTGTCCAAGTGAATGGAGTCACTTAAAAGGTAACCCGATTTAAGCCTGAATAATGATTAAATCATTTTATCATCAACTCCATTTGATATTGAGTGATTAATCAATAACCATGAAACATCAAACACAAAACAAAACAAAAACAAATGCACAAAAGCAACCAAATCAAGCTTCAATCAATCTCCAAACATAAACTGTTAACCAGAGTAAAAATTAATTTTTATCAATTTTTCGAAATTAAATTTAGATTAATTAAACAATCTCAAATGACGAGTCTATCGATGTCACATTAGCACAATTAAGGTACAATGTAACTCTTAATTGCAACTGTGGTTATCAAATTAAAGATGAAGCATTAATTGTTTTGATAGTTTTTTATTAATCATACAAAATAGAGTAAAGATGAAAAAGCGTTTCAGCATCAGGATCATTAATCAATGTTATCATGAACCTCTTTTACAGTTAGATTAATCACTTATTATAAACATTAAACCATGTGTTTCTGGACAATCAGATCGAAATGTGATAATAGCAATAACAATGATTATGATTTGCTTTATATTAATAAAGAGTTATTGATATAGCAAACAACTTATCATTATGAATGAAGTGAGGAGAAAATAAAAAATGAACTCGAACCAGTGTTATAATGAACACTGATGAACCTTTTGATAATCATAATGATGAGAAATGAAAAGTCAATTGTAAAAATAAAGAATGACAAAAGATAGATTTATTAATAATAATATCATGATGATTTTCATGGTAATTATTCTGTTTATTATTAAAAGTGGTGAAACTGGTGAAAGTGTTGAAAGATTGACAGTAGATAATGAAAAAAAAGAGAGGCAAAGATTACAATGATGATGAGGATGAAAAGGCAAGAGAGGGTCATCAAAGCGTGAATGAAATTTATCATTCAGTAATCTTTTGCTATCATGTTTACTGAGAAATCTGAGAATTTTTTGTTGTATCAAGTTCACACAGTTTCAATCTTGTCTTTTCCTTTTTATACGCTTATTTGCTCTCACCTTCGCCTGCTATTCACTTTCCAATGCCATTTACTCCATCATTATCAGTATTATTAGTGTCCTTTACCTCCAACAGCCATTTCATGATCGATAAAATACACTTTTAATTTATTGATTCACATCGAGTTTCATCATTTGAACACAAACACATGCTACAGTCAAAACCGTCAAAAAAACCAAGCATCGAAACATTCATCATCTCAATTCACAAGATAATTTCATATTTGCATTTGAAATTATAAACTAATTTCCATTTTCAAGTTGATTGGTAAAAAATTAAAGTCCATATTCAAGTCCGTTTCATTAACTTCAGTGAAGGGTTATCCAAAAATTTTGGTAGAGCATAATATTTCATTGAGAATTTCACCAAAAATCTGAATAATGAACTATGAGCAGTTTTAGATCATCGAGATAAAGTTGATCTTGATCTTACTATTCACAGCAGATTCACATTCATTTTGTTCAATTGTTTCTGAATTTTCATTAATCCTCATTTTCCGTATTTCATTGATTTTTCATCAGCATCATTAAGCTTCATAATTAAGTAAATGTCAATCTTCATCTTATCATCTCCATCTCCATCTGCATCATCACCTTTATTTCAATGTTTGCCTTTGTCTCAATTGTCTTCAGGATTTCAGAAGGCAAATAAAGTTAACAATTGAGAGACGTGGAGACTCGGTTGGTATAGTTAATCAACTGTATTAGTTAGTTTTTAATGTATGAGAATATATATATATATACAAGTAAAGAAAGAAGTAAAAGGAAATGGACATTACTGATTGTGATGTGAAGGGAAAAGCAAAGAAGGGGTTTGCGTAAGAAGCAACAAAAGGGGAATAAACTAGAAGTATCCCTCACACCACCCCTCAATCTGTAAGTCCAATCATGCTAGCGAACTTTCGGTGTTTATTGCTACCAAGACTCTTAGTTAAAATGTCCGCTGGCATGTCTTCAGTATTGACATGATCAATCTTAATCAACCCTTGTTCAACCCTATCTCTTATAACATGAAATTTGATATCTATGTGCTTTGTTCTTCCGTTGCTAATCGGGTTTTCAGATAATTTAATAGCACTCGTGTTATCGTTATAAA